ATTTTTTCAAGAAACAGCCTCTACATGACAACTTGGCATTGGGATGTTCACTCTTTCTGCTAACAGCTCCTTACTGGGGATTATAGTACCCTCCTACTATAATCTCTATAAAGGATTGGTAGTAAAAGGGAGAACATCCCGAACTTTGACTGGCTTCTGCACACCCTCTTTCCAGCACCCTGTTTTGGGACCTAAACCTGTAGCCCCAACCCTATCTCCCTAGAAATGAATGGGCTATTAGGTCCAGGTTGGTTAAAACCAGCTCATTCCAGGAGATAAACCTATCAGCATGCAGGCAATTGGGGGGCGTGCTCCTTCAAAACAGCTACACATCCTAAACCCTCTATATCCCCTAGTCCCGAAACCGAAGCCCTATTAGAACCCCAAACCCTGCGCGCCTAACCCTAAACCCTGAACCCTGAACCCTAAACCCTTAAGCCCAATGCAGCCCAGGTCTCCCTCAGCAGCGCCGCAGCGGTCGCCAGCTCTGGGGAGGAGAGGACATCTTCCTCCTAACTTTATAGGACTTTAAGGGTTTTTTTGCCTAGGGGGTTTAGGGTTTAGCGTTTAGGGCTGCTTTAGAGGTTTAAGGGTGTTTTGGGGGAGGGCAGGCTTTGTGGGGTGGGTTTTTTGGGTTTAGCTTCTTTTGGTTTCGGGTTGACATTCAAGTAGTGTTTGCTAGAAGAAGCTGCAGCGCAAGGGGCATCCTGCAAATGAGGCCCCAAACCTCGTAACGATGTAAGACACGAGTATTCCGAAAAGCCATGACGCTAAGCCCTAAGCCCCTAAGCCCTTAAGCCCTTAAGCCCTTAAGCCCTAAAGCCCTAAAGCCCTAAAGCCCTAAAGCCCTAAAGCCCTAAAGCCCTAAAGCCCTAAAGCCCTAAAGCCCTAAAGCCCTAAAGCCCTAAAGCCCTAAAGCCCTAAAGCCCTACAGCCCTACAGCCCTAAAGCCCTACAGCCCTAAAGCCCTAAAGCCCTACAGCCCTAAAGCCCTAAAGCCCAAAGGCATCTACCAAGGCACGGAGCCATCTGTCTCGGCCGCACGGAGGCACAGCGCGCGGGGAATGGAGACCACCAGCTCCCCGCGTCGGAAGCGCCGCTTCGCGAAGAGCCTCGACTGGGGCCCAGACTCGTTCAACGGGTGTTTAGGGTTTAGGGTTTAGGGTTTAGGGGTTAGGGGTTTAGGGTTTAGGGTTTAGGGTTTAGGGTTTAGGGTTTAGGGTTTAGGGTTTAGGGTTTAGGGTTCTTTGGAAGTCGGTGGCCGCGGCCTGACGCCACCGATTTTCATGTTGGGGTTGCTCCCAAAATCAGCACCCTTTTGTGGGTCAGGTCGCAACTCCAAACCCTAAACCCTAAACCCTAAACCCTGAACCCTAAACCCTAAACCCTAAACCCTAAACTTAGTTCCTGTGGCTGCCCAAGTGCCCCCAGCCAGCGGCAGAGTCACGACTCGCCCGTGGCTGCACATCCTGCAGACCTGCCAGGGTAGGGTTTAGGGTTTAGGGTTTAGGGTTTAGGGTTCAGGGTTCAGGGTTCAGGGTTCAGGGTTCAGGGTTCAGGGTTCAGGGTTCAGGGTTCAGGGTTCAGGGTTTAGGGTTTAGGGTTTAGGGTTCAGGGTTTAGGGTTTAGGGTTTAGGGTTTGAGGGTCGAGGGTTGAGGGTTTAGGGGTTGAGGGTGTGAGGGGTTGAGGGTTTCGGGTTTAGGGGAGGTGTTAAGTTGGGATGTTCCTCCTGATACTCCTTAATAGGCAGTAGAGTACCGAGAAATAGTCATGCTCTTCTTAAAACTCCCTTACTCCCTTACTCCCCGCCCTATGAAGCATTCCGCATGATACGATAGTATGCCACCCCCGCCATATGAAGCATTCCGCATGATGCGATAGTATGCCAGACAAAGGAAACATCTGATATTGGGGGGGGGAGCCTCCACATTGTGCTTTGGGGTCTTGAGGTTGTAAGTCATATTGATTATGAATAGGGCTCTGATTGGAACATTAGAGTTCCGGCCGCACAACTACCCTAGGGTCTGAAAAGCGTTTTGGGTCACCCTGCCGACCGCTGGCGCCGCCGCGCTCCAAGTAGTCGAACAGCTCCGACAGCTGCCCGACGGGTTCGGCTACACCAGCTCGTCGCCTGCGTAGAATGACACTATGGACCCAGTCACTCCTAAACCCTAAACCCTTAACCCTGAACCCTAAGCCCTAAACCCTAAACCCTAAACCCCTAACCCTAGACCCCAAACCCTGAATCCTAAACCCTAGCCTCTAAACCCTATCAGGCAAAGACCACCTTTAACTCTTGCAGTGCTCTCTTGGGACCTGGTCTGATTTCCTTCGCCTCTTGGAGCCCCAGGCCTTCAAACTAGAGATTTCATGGTCCCTTCATGACACATCAACTTAGCCACTTCGCCCAATCTGACGCCGTCTATGTCATGCTTGCGACCCAGGAAGGAAGACATGCAGGTCTTGCCGAAATGACGCTTTCAGTGTTGAAAGCTCGCGAAACGAACCACAGACAGCAATTGACGCCGGTGGCCTTGTGCTGGCAGAGCGCTGCCGCGGTGGCCCTCGGCCGGCCCAAGCAACTCCTTCTGGCGGACATCGTGGTTCGGGGTTTGGGGATTGTGGGGTCTTAAGGGCCGGGGCGACAGGACATGTAAGTGCGTGTTCAGGGACTTGTTCAGGGATTGTGGGTGCAGTGTGAAACAATATTATATATATATATATATATATATACATATATTGATACGGCCTTGATCCGCTGCAGCCTTGAGTGGGTGAGATAAAAAAACCTCGAGACGTGATAGTCATCAGAGTTGTGGAGCACCCACGACCCCTACAAGAGCAGCTGCATGCAGGTTAAAAAATGGACGAGAGTTACAGATCCGAAGCTGCATGTTTTCGTCTGAGGGCATCAGGCGACACTCATGCAACACAACACTACCAAACAAGGTTTCTCCGCTTTTTGCATCTAAAAAGTTAACAAATTGTAGATTTGGTGTTTATGAGCAAAATGCTGAAAATCCTACCCGTCCAGTCTTTCAGCAGCGTTGAGTGCAATATTGCACGAATGCTTTCACAGGAAACCGACCGTTCTCAGCATTTACGAACCTTCCGATGTTTTCATCGGAAGGAAAAGGGCGGAGGGTCCCTAGTACCTAGAAAATTCTGCAGTCGCCCGTGTTCGACAGTGCCCCAAAACCCTCTAACAGTCCGTAATGTGGATTGTAGTAGGGGCACTAGAATCCTACTAAGGACTGTTTGTATACCGGGTAACATCCCAAACTCTCAACCCTAAACTCTATACCCTGAAAACCCACAGCCAAAGAGATGGTATTACCAACAATAAGCCAGAGACCTCACAGATTCCCCTAAACCCTTGACCCTATAAATCCTAGTGTCTTTATTTGTGGCCGTGCCAGCTTTTGCCAAGCGAAGCGAAACGATGGGCCCCCAATTCAGAGGTTATGACCAGCAACCCTTCAAGTCGGCCGCGCGGTTTAGGGTTTAGGGTTTATAGGGTATAGGGTTTAGGGCTTCGGGTTTAGGGTCATGAGACATTCAGGTCGTGGTTGCACGAAATCTTGCACTACCCGCACCCCCCTTTCTAACACTTTCAGGCTGGGATGTTCCCCTTATACTAACAGTCCTGAACAGGGATAATGATAGGGGGTACTATAACCCCTATTAAGGACTGTTAGTATAAGGGGGAACATCCCAATTGGCCGTGTTGCTTGCGAGGTGGCGCAAGACTTTGGTCGTTGGAACAAGTCGCTGCCGAAGGCTTCCAGAGCCAACGTTGCAAAAGGGGTGCAGGGATTTGACCAGCTAGAAATAATGTTCATAGGTGGTGCAAGATTTCATCCACCCACAGCACAATCCTTACTTCCGTCGTTAAAGCCTTCAGTGCTCAAAAGCCTACTAGCCAGGGTTTCTGAAACCAAGCCCAAAGCCCCATGACCCAGATTCGCAAGGACCGAAGGGGCCTGCAGCGAAGATGCTGGTTGCCACCCATGCGGCCCACAAAGGCCCGCGCGGCTTCATGCAGAGCTCTGGCTGTTACGGGCTCATATGCTTGCCATGGTCGGATTTATAGGAACCCTGCGGAGCCTCGACGGGAATGATGTTTTGGCTTGCATGTCGCTGTACTCTTTTCCTGCATACCACCAGGGGCTAGGAATGCTGGCCATGCGAGCCAGGAGTTGTGGCCTGATGTGCTGTGGCTACTTGTAGGTGTAAGGTTTGAGTCCAAAGACGCTTTATGCAGCTGTCGGCCATGAAACATCTACCCGGCTGCCGGTGCAAGTGAGCATGACGTGGTGGGTGGGCTTGTTTTGGCCTATGCTTGATGAAGCTGCAAGACATCATTGCAAGCGATTGCAGCTGCCCGTCGCTCATGCTGACTCCTGCGTAGAGGAATTGGCCACGCCAGATGAGGTGTCTTGCCGAACCGTACATTTTTTGTTCTCACCTTCTGTCACTGCTACACTGACACTCTGCTGGCTTTGCGCTGTGTCGTTGGCAGCAATGGCGACCACCACGAGAGCTACTGCAGCCTTATGGCCGGGATAGGCACGATTGGAAAACACATCAATAATATATGTATGTATATATATATATGTATAAATATCTTTACTACATTTTTGCACACATGTTTGTCCATCTCTGCATCTAACTTGGCCGAATGCTTCGCCTACCAAGCGGCAGTAGAAGTTGTAAGCAGCTTGCAACGCAATCTGCAATTGCATGCCGTGCATGATCAAGATTAAGATTCGTATTACTAACCTATCCACCGTGAGGCAACTGCAAGGCAAAGAGGGAAGGCCGTAGCAAAAGGCTCTTGCAGAGGCTGCCGAAATCCTAAACCTCCCCCCCAGAACCCTAAACCCTAAACCCTAAATGCCCCAAACCCTAAACCCTAAACCCTAAACCCTAAACCCTAAACCCCAAACCCTAAATGCCCCAAACCCGAAACCCTATTGCCAAGCGGCCAGGGCAGCCATCACAGCTCGGGGCCATCGGCTTCTGCGCTCCTGCACGATGAGGTTCGAGGTCGTTTAGGGTGGGTTTGCCACCTTGGTAGCGCAACGAAATGCCTTATGAAGCCCATCGTTCGCTCTAAGGCTCAGCATAAGACACTTCAATTCAGTTGAACATGAAGCCGGCCAAATCTCCAAATGGGTCCAAGTGCAGGTTCGCACAGGCCATACCCAAAATCATGAGGTGTCCTCATGGCTCTGGGTGACAAACCATCGAAAGCTGCCATTCCCTGAGCCCTAAACCCTATACCCTAAACCTCAAACCGGGAAGTAATGTTCAACACTTCTTTTGCAGGTGCACCTAAGCCTCAGGGTTTAGGGTTTAGGGTTAGCCCTAAGCTCTAAACCCTAATTAGGGAAGTTCTAGCCCTTTTGAATACTGGGCTCCGGACAGTCTCGCCAGCTGCATGTGTGATACAAACTTGGCCCCACAATCACTGCAGGGATCTGAAACTTAGGACGCGGTATGAAGTTCTAACCCTAAACCCTAAACCCTAAACCCTAAACCCTAAACCCTAAACCCTAAACCCTAAACCCTAAACCCTAAACCCTAATCAGGGAAGTAGTCTCAGCCGCTGGAAGTGCCCTGGGAGTTGTCTGCCCCGCTCCTCCGTGCTGCCCTCCAGCAGCTTCGCCGACTCGCCTTCCAACCTTTGCTCTATGAGAGGCTGACCATTTGGTGGTGTAGGGTTTAGGGTTTAGGGTTTAGGGATTTCGGGATTAGAGTTTAGGGTTTAAAACTTTAGGCTGATGTCCTGAAAGCTGAGGGCTCAGTTTTTTTTTTGGGGGGGGCAGGGGGGGGCAAACATGCAGCAAAGAAGACCCCTGAAAACAGCCAGGGGGGTGGCCTGAATCCGAAAATAAACCGAATCTAGGGGCCTTAAGAAGTCGAACAGGGTTGTAGGGTTTTTTGGTTTTAGGGCTTAGGGTTTAGGGTACCCCTCAAGGTTGTCGGGGGGGGGGGGGGGGGGGGGGGTTCTTATAGTAGGGACCATAAGGGGATACTCTTCGGAACTATTCCGACCCCCGAGGGTAAGCCCTCCAGTTGCCAAATCTCGACTCGGCTATGGACCGACAAGTAGACTCCAGGGTTAAGGGTTTGGGGGTTAGGGTACCCCTTATGGCCCTGATATTCCCTGAACTAGGTGTCGATAACAACAGTCCCAAAATTCTATATATATATATATATTTTTATTTATTTATTTATTTATATATTTATTTTCTTATCTTTATATTTATTTATTTAAGGCTCCATATGAAACAATAAGGGGAATCAAACATTGTCCCAAATCGATACCTAGTGAAGGTAACCCAAAACCCCTCGAAACCAAGCGCTCCCGTCGCCACGACGAGCGGCTGCTTCGTCTCCTCGGGTGCCTGCAGCTTCCTGGGCGCCTCCTCCTCGGTTCCTCCAAGTAGGGAGTCTTTGTTTTTGTGTTCTTTGCTTTTGTGGGTAGGGTTTAGGGTTTAGGGTTTAGGGCTTAGGGCTTAGGGCTTCGGGCTTCGGGCTTAAGGCTTAGGGTTTAGGATGCAGGGCTTAGGGTTTAGGGGTTATAGGGTGTAAGGTTTATAGGTGATCAAGGGGTTCTGCGTTTTAGGGCGGAAGGGCTGCGATACTAGTGCGTATGTAGGCTCCAGGGCCCCATGTTCTCAAACTCCCCCCCCCCCCCTACCCTTAATCCTTACTTTTGACACTACACGAACCACTGGGGAGGAAAGAGGGGAAATCCTAACCGGTCCTAACCCCGACCCGAAAACCCCAAACTCTAAACCGACCATAAACCACAGGAAACAGAATGAAACCCCTAAAGCCTTCCTAGCCCATAACTGATGCCTAAACTTATACCCAACCACAGAACCCCGGAGGGGGAGGGGGAGGGGAAACCTCTTGCACCATAAACCCCTAACTCCGTCATGAACTATTTGGGATCAAAGCGAATTTGAACCCAGACTCAGAGAAGGTGGCCCCACCACTCTAAACAGAGCTGGTACCGATTTAGGATTCCGAAACCCTAAGCCCTAAACCCTAAACCCTAAACCCTAAATCAACTCTCTGGCCTAGATAGGGTGGAATATTCCAGTGCGCTCTGAGAAGCCGAGTGTCGGGGCTCGTCCCTTGCCTCTTCCGAGCCGTACCCAAAGCCCCACCTTGTGCTCGCTCTGTACACCAAAGAGGGCCCAATACCCCTGGAACAAGGAATACACCTTGAATTATAACGGGATCTTTAGTATGATCTAAGGTGACTTCCTCAATGAAGGAGTATTGGGCTCTCTGTACATGTGTTTCGTTGGATGTTTCGGGGATAGCATGACTGCCCACATCAGTACGCCTGTACATGGTGCATATAAACAAAAAGAGCAAATTAAACATACATACATACCATACATACATATCTATAATATATATATATATATTTATTATTATATGTATCTATACCCCTATATATATATATATAGTATGTGCGCATACTTATGCTTACTCATTGATATTCACGTATGTACAAGTCACATAGATCCCTGCTGAACCCGGCCCGGGCTTGTGGCATGAACCCTATCTATAGTCTGTGTGCGGATATGGTGTCTGTAATATATGTAAATAAGCAAACACACACATAAATATAAATATAATATATATATATATATGTAAAGACATTTATGTATTTATGTATGTATTGTAGAGTGTTTACCCTGAAGCTCTACGCAGCAGTCGCCTCTTAGAGCCTCTGCGGCGCTCTTTGGCAGAAAAAAGCGATGGAAGATGCCTTAGCTTCGGGCGCATCAAGGTCAAAGCTAACCTTAAATAAGGGTTTAGGGTTTAGGGTTTTCAGTTGGTCATGAAGACGGCTGAGCAGGTCCCCATGCTCAAAAAAAAAATCTGCGCCGTGAGAACGACTGACACTCCAAAGCCTCAAGTGGGGGGTTTCCGAAATCAGCGGTATGCTTATGAGAAGGGAGTCCTACTATTTGGGGGTCTGCATTAGGGGTTTTACTTTCGTAAACTCCCAAATCGCCTTCAATCCTCCAGAACCTTCTCCCATGTTCGACAGTCCAGATCGGGTGACTGATGCTGCCACACCCACTTCGCAAGTTCCGACTTCTCCGTGGCGGTCCCTTCAGGCAGGGCATTTGTTCCAGGTTCCCGGCCCGTTGGTTCCGCCCCCTCCCCCCCCCAGTCTCTCGATCTGGCTGGTTGACTTTCTTTGGAGACAGGGATCTGCAGAAACGATTCGAGGCTCGTCTGGGAAACAAGGGGCAGCTGATTGGCCGCTACGCCAAGGCGATATACAATTGCCATGTCGCATCCTTGCAGCAGCAGCAGCAGCAGCAGCAGCCCCAAAACCACAAACCCTAAACCCTGAAATCCTACCGCACCTGTTCTTCCAAACCTTCCCTCACATCATCCTCGAAGATGCAAGCCTTCAGGGACGCCGCGCTCTGCCAGCCTTAGGAGCCCGCAGTCCTCCTAACCGGCTAGTTTTCAACAATGATCACGACCCTTTTTCTGTTTCAATGTTCTGCAAATTATTAATGGGATTATAACAGGATCTCAAGACGTGAAAGCTCCGTCTGCCATCGGCATGCCGGAGGTTGAATGTCCGACACTCTGGGTTTGCTTCATGTTGCTTCGGGAAGACCCTAAACCCTAAACCCTAAACTTGTCAGAAACGCCCCGCGACTCGACCACGCTACAGCACGGCTTAGATCTTTTTAGGGTGCAGCAGTCCGAAGTACGCGCCGTGGCAATGTAAGGCGGACCAGCGCACTTGCTTGACACTGCGGTTTTTTCCAATCAGGGACAGCAATGGCAACCTCTTTCTGATTTGGCTCGGGGCCACAGAGACAAAACACCATCAGACCATGACTGTCACAGTGTCGCGCACAGGCGCGATAAAATCCAAGGCGCATGTCTTTCAGCTCTGCCACCGACAGCTCCCGCAGCTCATGAATGCTCCGAGACTGCATCCTGCATACCCGATGCGTGGAAAGGGGGTTTAGGGGTTTAGGGGTTTAGGGTTTAGGGAATAATTAGGGTAGAGGGTTTAGGGTTTAGGGTTTAGGGTATTTCGCACGCCCCTACCATCTTTAATCTCGGGCTCTCTGGCATGCCAAACCCTGAATCCCAGCCTGCTGTTGCCGCGTTCAACTGCAACAGTATGCCCTTCAGATCCCAAGTCGCCCTTTCAGAATCCCAGGCTGCTGCCCTTCAGATCCCTCGTCACCCTTTCAAGGTTCTGTGCTATATTGGCTGGTGGTCTCTTTAAGCAGGGCTTCTGTTTTGTAAGGGGTTCTTATTCGGTATCTAGGGGCTATTTTAAGGTATAAGGGTAGCAGACCGGCCTTTATAACTTCTGTCTGCAGACCACCGCCCCAGCAATGAAGACTGCTTGCCTACACCGGCTGCACCAAAGGGCGTAGTTCAGTGATGTGCCGTCCTCGCTCCATCCGGCGTTGCTGCCGGGCGCGAAATCACCGGCAGATGCTGATGTTCATGCACCTCAGCTACGGTGGCAGAGATCTGCATGTCTATGAAGACTCCTCCACAACTCCCGTTAAAAAAAAGTTCGTAGTTGCTGAGTTCATAAGCCCCAAAAAGTGTACACGTTTAGTTCTGTAGGGGATTATAGCATCCCAAAAAGTGTAAAGTGTGCTCACTCAGCTGCTAAGAATTTTAATCAGCCTCTCTGCAGTTTGCTCCGGCGGCATGAAGCCCCGTATTCAGTTTCTACCCGAAGGCTCCAGTAACTAGCAAAAGGGAGTTATAGAAAACTACACTTAAAAAGGTACTGCCTTAGGAGCCTTTAGGAATAGGCAATGTAGGGAAACAACCAACTTCCTGTGCAAGAAGAGGAAGTCCCGCCAATCAATTCATCGATGCAAACTGCTCGCCAGGGCACCCATTTTGCGAGGTCATCCTTGTCCTGGTCAAACATGTTATATGGCTAAACCCTAAACCTATACTCCCCTTAGAACTTTAGTAAAAAAATTGATATCCTCTTGAGTTTTATATAAACAAAAAGAAAAAATTCCCAAGGGGGATGTAGAAACCCTAAACGAACCCTGCATCTGTCCTTTCTCTCCCCTGGGTCGCTTAGGAGCTCCAGAGTACTTTTACGCAGTCTCGGACGGACTCGCCAAACCCCCGTCTCACAAAGCACACATCTAGGGGTTTAGGGTTTAGGGTTACCGTAAGCCCTGGCCTAAGCCGAGCTCTAAAGCGTTGCGAGAGACAGTGGACAAAAGCTTTGCTTGCTGTGAAATAAGGTCTTAGGTGGTCAGGACTGCTATCAAGGTGCTGTCGCGGTGTGCCCGGACACCCCTCGCTCAGCCAACATTTGGCTCAAGTCACCTGGGCTTCGGAACGCATCGAACGAGGGATGTTCAAGGCAGGCAGCATTGCTGGTAGACGACAGGTAAAAGTGGGACAGTCTCTAGTGATGCACTCAGGTATGTGAATATATATATATATATGCATATACATATATAGTTGATGGGTATACACACTTGTACTGAGTGGCTCAGATTCGCTTCTGGAGGGGCCGGCAGTCTGCCAACTCCACAGCAACCAAAGCCCCGGGTGGGGAATTACATCGTACCTGAGCCCTACGAGTACACATGTCAAGCAAGGCAACCTAAATCCTAAACCCTAAACCTAAGTACTGTGTCCTTTCTTGAGAAGCGGTTGGATGATAGGAGCGGCCGTGGTTCTTGAACTTCTGCATGCTCATCCTATGCATACACATATACATGTATCTACGTGTCTTGGTGAGTGTCTATAAAACAAAGGTTCTCTTAAACTAGCTTTCGCGGCCCAATTGTCTGAAATCCCTGAGCCTGAACAGTTTCAGCTCAGAACCCTGAGATCGTACTCAGGCGTCTGCTGGACGGCAGCTTCTTCAGCTCCGCCAAAGACCGGCCTTGGGTTAAGCGTTTACTACTATTTGCTTAAGAACCCCAAAAGAAAAACAAACAAAAGTCTATGTTATCCTTAATAGGGAAGAATCTGCTTATTTTATTTTGGGGTTCTTAAGCAATTTGTAGTTTATAAGGTTTACTTTAGTGCTTGGGGCTTCGGATCTCGTATTCGCACGCAGCAGGTAAGGGTGTTTTTGTTTGCCATGCGCAAGAAGAGTGGAAATAGCAACATGTCGGGTCGTTGTGGCCCTTGAGGCCGTGACACGAATTGCTGGCTTTTAAATTCTTGCAAGCCCTGATGCTCAAACTGCCAGCTCGAAGGTTCGGTAGGCTCGGCAGCCGATCCACGGATGAGCACATGCTATTTTTTCGGCCCCTTTTCATGACAGTTCCTTGCTTTAGAAAGGAGTATCGCATTGCTCTTGTAAAAATGGTGTAACTACCCCTTGAGATATGCCCACACTCGAGGCCACTGTGAAGCCGGGCCACTGCGCGCCGGCGCCGCCGGCGCTGCCTCCGCCGGTGCGGCTGCAGGACGTGGAGGAGGCGCCGGAGCGGGGCTCTGGATCACCTTGCGCTGTTTAAAGTAGCTACTTGGAGGTTCAGGGTGCTTGTTAACCAAAGAGAACTGTACTTATAACTCACTTCTTATAAGGCCCTTTGAGTGCCCTAATCTGGCTACAAGTGCAGTTATAATTGGTGGATAAGCACCCTGAACCTCCAAGTACTAGGAAGCGACATTGAAGCAGCGTAGCACGCAAGGATGTATACATGTGTACCCAGTAACAAACATGTATGTACTTACCGAAACATGCGCAACATTGAATCTACAAATGAAGGCATATCACGTTTCCAATAGATGGTTTGTCAGCAGCAAGGCTTCATTTTAGGGAGGCGGACGCTACGCGAACGAGGCTAATCCAGCCTGACTGCTGCACGTTTAAAGAGACACCATCGCGCAAACCATCGAGAACTGACCAGCTTGTCATTCCCTTGCCTGCGACAGGATTGGTGAGCTCGGTGCATAGGCCGTGCCTGTGGCGCTTCCCTTGAGGACGCCAGCATTCCTTGCACAAGGCGACAGATGCCCTAAACCCTAAACCCTAAACCCTAAACCCTAAACCCCATAAATGAAACCCTAAACCCTAAACCCGAAACCCCATAAATTCAATATTTTGGAGCCCTAAGCCTCCCTAGAAAGCTTGACTGGAAGAGGGTCTCAGGCCAAGAGGCCCCCTGAAGTTGAATGAATGAGATGGGCGACATGACGCTAAACTGTGTGTGCGAAACAGCATCTACTAAAACGAAGGCTGCTCGAACGCCGACTAAGAGGCTAAGTTTGGCAAGATAAGCCAAGAGAGCAGCCTCGCCGAGGTGTGGACCCCAAATTTTGCAACCTTGGAGTCCTCCTGAACGACCTGAGAAAAGTAATCGCCGATTTCGGAGCCAGGGCTCACCCCCGCGGCAAAGGAGCTCAAATCATTTCCGATACCTGCCAAGGCTCGTCGCTCTCTCTATCTCTCTCTCTCTCTCTCTCTCTCTCTCTGTCTCTATCTGACTCTCTCTCTCTCTCTCTCGCCTTGAACTCTTTCACCCTCTCCTTGGTCCTGTTAACGTGGCTCATTTAAGTTTTGGGTGGCCTCTGCTTTCTCACTCTACCCACTTCATCTGTGGAATCCTCGTATGAGTCGCTTGACTTGACAGCAGCCCAAACAAAACGTTGCCTACGCTTGACACCCTGGGATGAGCAGTCACTAAAAACACCACATTCCATGCTAGTATTCTTAGGGTAGTTAGGCCCTTAAAACCGGACCCCTTATATACCGCTCATCTACCCGCTATATTAAGGGACCCTCAGGAGCGTATAGAATCAAAGCTCTGGCTAGGGGATCGCCTGTCGTCACCTTACCGAGCTCATTGGCCTTCTTGTGAAGAGGCGCAACGGGCGCCTGTCAAGCAGCTTGCCTTAACCCTAAACCCTAAACCCTAAACCCTAAACCCTAAACCCTAAACCCTAAACCCTAAACCCTAAACCCTAAACCCTAAACCCTAAACCCTTTCTTTCTTTCAAGTTCCTGGAAAACTGAGCAGCATGTGTTGCCTGTTTGACTGCGCCTCTCCAAGCTCCCTAATAATGACAGCAACGCTGGCACGCCTAAACCTCGGGGAGCATCTCCCATTCCACGCAAATCTACTCCCACGGGGCGCAACTTGGGCTTCTGAAACCCATGAAAGCCTCAGAAATGTTGAGCCCCAAACTCGTTGAAAATCTGAGTTGTGCTAAAAAACCCTTCGAGAACTATTTATGAATAGGCTCCCTTATAAAAGAATAAGTGGGAATTTAAAACCATCCCAAAGCACAACGTGTCGCCTCCTTCGCCCGGGCCAGAGCATTGCCTCGCTGTCCGGCGTCCCGTGCGAAACGATGGAGCACCCGGCGCATGAGGACTCCAAGATGCACCTGCCTACAACTAGGATGGCCCTTAAAGCCCTCTGACAAAGGTTCATGGACAGGATCCTCTTCAACACAATGAGGGGAAAAAACGGAAAATATCTCAAGGGCCTACCTTGACAGCGCCCTTGCAGTGGTTTAGGGTTTGGGGTTTGGGTTTAGGGTTTAGGGTTTAGGGTTTAGGGTTTAGGGTTCAGGGTTCAGGGTTTAGGGTTTAGGGTTTATATAGGGTTTAGGGTGGTCGAAGGAGCTTCGCACCTACTTGGAGACATGCTCTCTCTTGCAGCTACCTGGAAGCCAGATGTTGCCTGCATTGGGCAGTGGCAGCGCATACCTCAAAATAAACCCTCGAGGCTAAAGCCTTCAGCCCCAAAACGGTTTAGGGTTTAGGGTTTAGGGTCAGCCTCGTGCTACATGGCCCGTCCCTTGAATTACTCTCTTTCTCGTTTCCGAGGTTGTCGGTTTCAAAGTGAGAGCCTACATCGGCAGAATCAGGCTTAGGATCCTTGCAGCACTCTTGTGGCCTATTTGGCCCTCTCTCGCGTGCTGAATTCAGATCATTCGTGCGTGTTCAAGACGTCACACACGAGGCTACACATGGCCACACAATACTTGGAGGTTCATGGGTACTTTTTTCAGTATAGGGTTGCAAGTAAGTGGTATAAGAATAATTACCATAACAACCCTACTTATAACTACCCATGAACCTCCAAGTATATGAGTATCAAGGCAGGAGAACATGTTTTATGGCCGCTTGGGATGGTCCACTCACTTCTTGCACTCCGCTCGCGGCAGGCAGCAGCACCGCAAAGCTTGCCTCATCGCGAAGGGTCTTCGTGTTGTGAATTGTTGTAAAATTGTAAAGCAGGCTTACTGGTTCTCGCCGGCAACGATGGCAGAGCGCATCGCAGCCTAATCCAACGCGGGTTCACGGCGGTCCCTTCTTGACTCTCGGCTCTAGTAGTCCTCGTACAGTACCCCTCGCAAGCAAACTCTCACAAGCAAGCAGGTGCACGACACGCGATTTCTGCAGGGAGTACCGGAGAGCTGCTTTGGCCAATTCCTGTGGATCTGAAAGATTCCTGCAATCGAGGTCCCTGTTTGACAGTACTTCTCCTTGCCCCGCCATCGTCCACACAAGAGTTTAGGGTTTAGGGTTTAGGGTTAGGGTCACTACAAGGGACCACAATTTGGGGGAATCTTCCATATATTCATATCTGCTCGGGCATCCTGCCTTTGAACTGCCCAAGCGAGATCGCGCACGATCCTGAAACGCTAAGCTGCTAAGTCGCCCAAAGAGCCCACTACCCCCTAACTAAGGAATAGACCTTCAAACTACATTAAGGATCCCTATTAATGATTTAAGGTAATATTCCCTTTAAGGGGGTTTTCTGAGCTCTTTGGGTCAGAACACGTGGTCCCCCCTTTAGAGGCGCTCAACCAGACCTGCGGCCTCAAGGAGGTCCTCGGGTCGAAGTGTGATCTCATAGGGCGTCCCCTTGGGGAAGCCTGACCCGGAACCTTACTTCTCCAAGAACAAAAAGGGGAAAAAAAGGTTAAACTTTGTTGTTTGCTCCTTTACTAAATTAAGGAAGCCCAAAAAGTTATTTTAAAAAAAAAACTACTTTTATAACTATCAGTAAGGAGCGCATGCCCTGGTAGGTGCCATCGGTGGATTTCTTATCTTTAGGCAGCAGGTGCGCGTCCAGGTCTGGCACCTGGCAGAGGGCCAGATCGCCCTAACCCCTAAACCCTAGAAACCCAAAGCATGAGTCAGATCTTTAGAATGCCCACCCATGAAGCAACAAGAAGAGAGAGCAAAAATTGAGACCTAGAAACCCGAAACCCTAAAGCCCTATACGCCCCACCTCAAGACTTTAATGTACTTCCTTTTGGTCCGTTATGACTTTCTCCCAATAAGGCTTATAATATTTCCCCCCAAAAGGAACTACATTAGAGTCTCCAGGTAAACCTACCAACGACTCTTCGGGGCATCATGCATTTTCAGTCAAAGGATTCAGACTCCCAACCCTAAGGTCGTACCCCTAAGGGTTCCCCTTACTATACTTCTAATTTGGTTCTTAGATTCCCTTAGGGATCCTTAAAAAAGGGACCCCAAACCCAAGGGGTCAACCTTAAGGGTCCAAGGTAGTAAACCCTAAACCGTAAACCCTCCGGCCTTGGTCGCTCCGGAGCAGACGCTGCTCGGCGCCCCGTCGACTTGGGTGCATTTGGTATCTGCTATGGAGCTGAAGGATGCCACAACCGTCACCTGATCGAAGCGCGTCTCAACAACCTCATAACACCGTATTGATGATGTGGCCTTGCTAAACGCATTACAAGTAGTAACATTCATCATATTAGTATTCTGAATATTACTAATAAAAATAACAATACTGCCCGAAGAATACAGCAATATCAAACTATAATCACTGTTCTGCACCATCGTATTAGCCATCACCTCGGGAAAACCGAGTAACTCAGGCAGCTTTTCAAGGGACTACCGGAGGGACTCTTATAAGGGACCTTAGGAGGGGGGGGGGGGGTACTTAAGTATATAAGGACTATATAAGGTATACATACGGCTTGTATAGGGGAATAAGATTCAAGGCTCCCATCTAGGGGTCCCTCCTTTTACCCCTTAAGCTTTGGATGCTGCAGGGTTGTCTCTCCTTGCTTCTCGTTTCTGTTCGCGGTATCAGGACGAGCTTGCACACGGCTGCGCTCCGCCGTCTTCTCTACTATGAGTCTTCGCTCTCTCTCTCTCTCTCTCTGTCTTTCTTTTTCTCTCGCGAATCTTTCTTTCTTAGTTTGTGGGGAACTCTGACACAATCGAAGGGTAGCTTCATGGGCCTTAATCTGGTCCATTTGCCTCCTGTAAAGGCTTCTGATGTATGGGCCCTTAATTTCTTGTGGGGTATATAAGAGGTATATAAGCGGTCCCCTGTTAAGGGCCCCATACTAAAGGATCATGTAACTACCTCAAGACACAACCTGCTCAGCAGCCTAAAGCACTAGTAAATTTGGAAGGCCTCGCGTGACCATGGTATCTGACTTCGTACCCGCATTGGGCAAAGACTCTCTCGCACACTCAGGCAAGGCTCACCCGTCTTCTTAATATTTTTGATCTTGATATATCAATATTTTCTACGATCATGAATATTTTCAATATCACTCATATCATTAATATCAATAAGATCATTAATCGTATTAATATTTCTAAGATTCCGAATGTTATGAAGATGATTCATCCAGAAGACCACTGTACAGAGCAACGCCCCCTAGCCTCATCCGGGAAATACAGCTTCCAAGGCGACGCCGCGCGGATCTGCGCGTTGCTTTTCACACCCTCCTGCACCGTCAGAGGCAATTGTGGGTTTAGGGTTTAAGGTGTTGTGCATTGGCGTCTGGTCTTCACAAGGACGATAGGCAGAGGAATGCAGGTTCCTATTATACCTACCAAAATATGATCTGCACCTTGCGGACCAAATTCACCCTAAAAGTATACCCTGTACAGTCCCTATACTACAAGAATCCCTATTAAGACGAGGGTTCATAGTTGGTCCCAAAGAAGGAGTTACAACGATCTGCACCTCCACCTACTTTGCTTCCTCACACCCTAAACCCTAAACCCTAAACCCTAAACCCTAAACCTGAGCTCTCCTCCAAGCAGGTCAAGAGGGAGCCTGAAGATGGCCCAGAGTCGTCGTCTCGAAAGGACTTCTTGGGGCCACAGTAGAGGGACACGGAGATGCCGTAGACCCCGGTATCGCTGGAGGTCGGGAGGGAGCTTGGGGCAACGGTGGAGATGAGCGTCGGATCCGCCGTTCGCCAAAAGCCGTTGGCGGAGACCTTGTCCTTAGGAACGCAGCTGAAGCCTGATGCTTCACACTGGCCGCTGCAGGACCACCAACTTTGGGTGCTGCATGTTGCCAGGGCATCGCCCGAAGCGCCTTGCGTGGTTACGGAGGCGCCATAAGTGAGCCACTGCGAATCCGCCTTTTTGGAGTTGTCTCGTACGAACAAGCGGCCCTCCCCGCGGAGTGTGAGCTTCGGCACAGGAGAACTCAGGGCATCCTTCACGCCATTCTCATAGGCAGACTTGATCATCTTCCTACACTCCCCTTAGAACCTAAAAAAACACTATTTCTAAATTATTCTCTTAAGGGTTTTCTAGGAACCAAAATTTTAAAAAAAATCCCAAAAGGGGGATAGAGCTTCAGAACCACCCGACTCCAGAGCTGCTTCGTAGAGAACTCCAAGGCAGGGTCGAAGTCTTCACATGGCATCGTGACGACGTAGCGCTGATAGCGCTCCTTCCTTGGGGACGTTAAAGGTACCCTAAACTTGAGGTCATATAGCCCTAAACTACTATATTGCCTAGTAAGGTAAAGGTACCCTAAATTGAGGTCATAAAAGCCCTAAACTAATATATTTCTCTAGTAAGGTATGTGAACCATAAACCCTTTTTAGGGGCTCATGTGGTCCCAACAAGGTTCGAGTTGGACGTGTGGTGGCTCGCTCCAATGGTATCCTGAAAGGAGAGGGAGTGCAGAAGAGGGCCTGCCTCGGCAGTCTGGAAGATCTGCTCTTCCATGCGCTGCTGCCGCTGCTTGCTGCCGGGAAGTTCATAAGCCACCGAGTTCCTCACCAAGAGAAAAAGGACGGCTAAACTTTAATATTCCCACGAAATAAAGGAAACCCAAAAGAGTTTAAAGCTTCATATTCACACTAAGTAAGGAAACCCAAACAAGTTTAAAGTTCTTCTAAAGGCGAAGCAAGGTTCACGGCCGAGGTTGCGGTGGAGGAGATGAGGCGGCCGGCTCCTGTCAGGCTGTCCCAGAGATCTTCACCGAGGTACGTGGCGGCCTCTTTCGCCTTGTCCCCTGCCGAGCCCCCCTGGCTCAGGATCTTTCCGTAGGAGCTGAGTGTCCTTACTGTTCATTGAGGTACCCTATGTAACTATGTATAATCCCTTAAAGGGTAGATATAGGGGGATGTAGGGTACCTCATTCCCTCATTCCCTACTAACCCCTAATCCCTAACACCTAACCCCTAACCCCTAAACCCGAAACCCTAAACCCTAAACCCTAGCCAACAGTAAGTGTCATGGTGATTGAGGCTGTGCCCATTGCCACCGAGCCAGCAGCCGCTGAGCCAAGTGTGCTCGCAATTTCCGTCATGGTGGACCACCTTGGGGGACCAATGATGAACCCTAAGTTTGGGGGGTCCTTTACCATATACTACTACAATTCCCATTAAGATAATCTGAGCCCCTAAACACTGTTGAGGCTTCAAAATAACCCCTAAGTTTGGGGGTTCATATACCTCATACTACCATGATTCCTATTAAGGCAATATGAACCCCTCAACCCTTTTAGTTTTCGTTATTGGGCCCCAAGGCACTTGTTGTGGAAGCGCGTTGCGCGGCAGAAGCGAGGGCTGTGCTGCATCTCTTCTGGGCTACAGGTGCGCGCAAACGACACCTGGGGGGGGGGGGGCGGGGTTAGGGTTTAGGGTTTAGGTTTAGGGTTTAGGGTTTAGGGGCTTCGTAAAGTCCCACCTCGCCACTCTGCGGGACCCTTAGGAGCTTGACGAGCTCATACTCCACTTGGGGCAAGTTCGGCTTGCGCTCGTACTGCCTCCTTGCCTTAGTAGCCCAGTAACCATATTATAATAAGGGCACCCTTTTTTGGGTTGCTACTTTATAAGGGAACCTTGAAACCCCCAAAAAAAGGGGAAAAAAAGGGTACCACTGGGCTACCAAGTTGCGGGAAAGTCGCCGTTGTACTTCCACTGGTAATGTCTCAGCTGCTGCGGGGTCATGTGCAGGAACATTGTCCTGACTTCCTTGGGGACAAAAAAAGGAAGCAAAACAAATTGGGGCTCGGCTTTTTAGGGCTCAGAACCCTAAACCCAAAGCCCCAAACCCCAAACCCTAAACTCAATTGGTCTTGAAGGTTCTCCAACAGCACCTCAAGCTGTTCGCTGGCGGGCAGAAGAGCCTTTGCCGGACAGAGGAATGGATCTGCAACTCCATTCTCCGTGTACTTCTCCGGGTGATCCTCCCAAGGAGCCCAAGATCCCTTACATAAGGAATATACCTTAAGGTCTGTAGAAATCCTTTATGTGATGTCTGAGGTATATTCCTTACTTCGCACTTGTGTTGGGACGTTCCCCCTTAGACTAACAGCTCCTTCATAGGTATGATACTCTAATCCCTATTAGGACTGCTAGTAGGAGGGGACAACGCTGGTGAGGAGTTTATGCGCAGAAAAACACACGAAAGCGCCCGAAACAACGGAAATGCAACTAATGTAAATGCATCCAATGATCGGCATGCAGCTCAGAGATTTCGCAGACCTGACTCTTGGGGAACTGCGAGGCATCAAAAGTGGGTTCGGAGCAGCTCTCGCCAGGAACCTTTGCTTTGTGGCCTGTCCAGGAAGAGTACGCCTCTTCTTGCAAGTCCTGCAGACAAGGTTTTACAAGGGGGCATGACAGGATTTCCCACAAGAAGGTACCCATAACCCAACATAGGGGTAAATAACCGTGTAGCTTAAAAAGGTTTCAAGCCGACAATAATGGGGGGGGGGGGGGGGGGGGGGAGTTTGGACGATCCTACGTGGCTTGACATCACTGTGCGCTGTGCCTGCAGCGCGGCGTCTTCGACGCCAAGCTGGTTGTCCAGTGCCTCCAGGTCTGCGTCGTTGCGGATGGGGCAGACGACCCACTTTGAGACGGAACTGCTGAACAAGTTCGCCAAGCCGGTCTGCCGAGGGGTGTACCTATACTGAACTTGGATCCCTGGCAAATATTCTAATTCTAGCTGTTTCTTTAGAATTAATTAGAGTACCCCAAAATTAAAAAATGTTCCCAAGAATTCCTAAAGTACAAGGACGCAACAAGGCCCTCAGCCGTGCTTGAAATGCTACTGCCGATGCCCGAGACCATGTCCCAGGCCCGGGAGGAAAGTGTCTTAGAGGGACCCCAGTCTCGAGGAACCACATCGACGTCCTTCCCTTCAACGACTCTCCGCTGTGACTTCCTTTGGGACCAAATGAGCCCTCGAAGGGTTTATGGGTCGCAGACCTTACTAGGAATTATAGTAGTCTAGGGCATATGACCCCAATTTTAGGGTACATTGGGCCCCCAAGGTTCTCATCTTGGTCCCACACCACGGCTAACTTGCCCTGGGTGTTCTCCACGGTGCCGTATTCTCCCTGAACGATATGAAAGTCACAGCCGTTGGTGCTTGAGAACCAGCTCTCTTCACACCCCACCGGCCAGCGCAGGTCGGCCTTTGCCTTGACGCGCATGCCGTCGACGTAGTTGACACCGTTCTCGCTCACGCGGCTTGGGTCAAAAGGTGCTGGACCTTGAACAGCTGAGCTCAAGAGACCTTTGTCGTTCAACTCCTCGTCATTCACCATGGACGGCAAGGCTTTGAACAAGGTCTTGCTCATTTGGGAGTACATGAGCAAAATCTTGCGCTTGATGTCATAGGTCATCAGTGCCATCTGGCAGGTGGGAGGTCGCCATAAGTTCACAGTCCTGCGCAGCATGTCACTGAGCTCCTCGGCATCCCAGAAGCCATGGCAACCCAAGTTGTTCTGGTCGGTCAGAACCTCGAATGGCACTTCAAATCCTGTGAAAAAATAGTATTCCTGAATATGACACTCTTAGACCCAATAAAGAAAAAATGTCCCAAAGGCCTACCGAGGAACGTAACGTCCCGAAGGCCTGCGGTGGAGCTCACCTTGGCAGCCCTGGAACCCCAAACCCTAAACCCCAAACCCCAAACCCCAAATCCAAAATCCAAAATCCAAAAAAGGGGAAAGAGCACCACCGGGCTACCAAGTCACTTGCCACGCGCTTCCCGAAGCAGGCCAAGAAGCGTTGGCTGGAGGACGGCGATGACGCCGAGGGCATCCCGGAGTCCTTGCTCACGAAGCCTCGGATGGCGTGTAGGGTTTAGGGTTTAGGGTTTAGGGTTTAGGGTTTAGGGTTTAGGGTTTAGGGCTAGGGTTTAGGGTCCTAAACATTATCCTCTTCAACCCCAATTTCTCTAACGGGACAATATTCTTAAACAAATATCCCAAAGGGCCCTGCACCCAAGCAGCTGTATGTAGTAAGGGAAGTATCCTCTTAGACCCCCATTCTGAAGGGAAACAATATGGACAAAACATATCCCAAAGGGGCCCTAAACCCTAAACCCTAAACCCTAAACCCTAAACCCTAAACCCTAAACCCTAAACCCTAAACCCTAAACCCTAAACCCTAAACCCTAAACCCTAAACCCTAAACCCTAAACCAAGCAGCTGTAGTAAGGGAAGTTGCGCTTCCAGGACACCATGTCCTTGTTCCAATCGGGAGCCCCGTCCGGCGCATCACCTGAGGGTAGCCCACAGGAGCTGTATTCTTTCATAGTAAAGGGCACCCTTTTTTGGGGGTTGTTTAGGGTTTAGGGTTTAGGGTTGCTGTATATGGGAGCCTTGAACCAAAAACATGGTACCACTGGGCTACCAAGTCGCTGCCGAAGGATTTGAAGATGGAAGCCATCGCGCTCCACTTTTCCTCGCTGCTCTTGGCGTCCCAATGCCAAGACCCAAAGGCACTGGTCATGCTGCTCATCCATTCATCGAACTTCTGCTGGCGGCCACAGGACGGGTCGTTCATGTTGGCCGACCCGCAGAAAATCTCATCTGCCGATGCCAGCTTACGTGCCACTGTGCCATTCCCATGTTCACGCAGCCACGTCGCCAACCCCCCCATTTTCCGTTCAAAGGTCTTGAAGTAAGTGTGGTCCTGCGGATCTTTCTGGTCGAAAACATTGATGTTCTCCGAGCAAAGTAGAGGCACAAACTTGTACTTCTGGTAAAGCTCTGCGATGGCCTGCTCTATCTTTTGCTCATTGTCAACAACAGCATCCAGGAGGTCTGCTGCTAGCTCTTGCCGAGCTAAATGCCAAAAGACGGAGTCAGGCACCCAGCGGACACAAATGTACATAGTGAACATGTCGCGTGCAACTTTTTCAACGTTGTTCACCTCGACAGTCTTCGCAACGGACTCAATCAAGGTCGCTTCCATTTCAGACTGGGCATCATTTCCACCATTCTGCAAGGCTCCATGCATGTCCAGAAGGGCAGTGGCGTTGCAAAACCGGCGCACAGTGTCCGCGGGGGTTGTTCCTTCCGGTTCCTTCTCCGGCGTTGTTGGGGAGGCGTGTCCCCAGCGTGAATGCATGCCTGCTTCATGGTCCAACCTTGTTGCGGACTGCGACAAAGTAGGTGACGTCTTCAGCTGCATCAGACCCACTTGCCCCTCGTCTTGGCATTCCGTGGCCGCTTGGGAAGGGATCAGCCATGCCAACAACGCCAGGGGCACGAGCTGCAACATCGTACCAGGCTCTGCGATGCTCTGCGCCTACCAGAACTCGGATCAGTGCCTGCAGCCCAGTGGTCTGCGGAATTCTGCGGATGCAGACAGGATGGAAGCAGCCACGCAACGTGACAACTGAGCAGCTCACAACTTGTTCTGTGCTCAGACCGAGCTTGTAGCCTCTAAAGTTTAGGGTTTCAGGGTTCCTAAACTCCTCTTCTCTCACTCTGGTCTAAAACACCAAACCCTGGTACTGGGCTCCCAGCACGCTGTTCTGCAAGGCCTCTCAGGCCCAGCACAACCCAAATCAGTCATTGGAAGATCTGGAACCCTAAACCCTAAACCCTAAACCCTAAACCACCCCTTTGCGGGGAAGTCGGGGTCGCCATTTTTGGGGATTCCCACGGCAAGGCTAGCATTATTTTGCTGTAGTCATCCAGGGGGGGTTCGGGAAGTAGGGGTAACCCTGACGGAGCGTATACATATGTATATATATATATATATCTGTATTAATATAATATAATATATACATATATATACAAACATATAAATCTAAATATAAATAAATATATATTTATGTGTATATATATGTATATATATATATATATGTAAGTATATGTTTTTGGTGTATTTTAGGGATCCCTCATTTTGGGCCTACACCATATCCGAACGGCCCCTCCTGCGGGAACACTGAGGGCTCAGATACTGCGCGAGTACAGCAACTCGAAAAGGATCTCAAAGCCAAAAAGCCAAGACCAAACCTAAACCATAACTTCTTCTGGAGCATGGTCTGGCAGGCTTTAGAGTCTTTAGAGTCTGGCAGAACCACCAAAAAGCCAACACAATCCAATTGAACAGCTTTGAAGAGCTTCAAGGAAGTCATGGCTGGCCAAGGCAGATTTCGCGATGTGCAGTGGAGATTTTGTCTGGGTCACTCTACCATTCCTCGAACTCAGAGCTTTGATGCATACACACTCTGACAGAGGGTTGTGATGATGGGGTGGTGGTGGTGGTGGTGGCGATGGTGCTGGTATGGTCATGCTGATGCTGAGGAGACGGAAGTGGAGATTGAGAGGGGGGACGAGGACAAGTAAATGGCAACGAGGGTGATGATGCTAACAAGAAGCTGAAGAGCGGCCCTAGGGTTTAGGGTTTAGGGTTCAGCATTTGGAGCGAAGTGACCCAGAAGAGAGTACGTGATTCGGACTCAAAGAGCAAGAAGCTAGCGCAGGGTTTATGGCTCAGCAAGAGGTACAAGATCCCCATCGCGCAGGCACGGCTCCGGGAAATCCAAACCCTTGCTTTACAGCAGGCTTTGAGAAAAACTAAAACCCTAAACGCAGAACCCCAAAAGAGACGTTGGCTGCTGGTGATTTGCTTTTTGTAGCAAAAAACTCATAGCCCTAAACCCAAAACCCCAAAAGAGACATGCAGCACTTTAGTTGGAGCCCGTGCTAGGATGGAAAGGAGTTCCAGCTGTTGAGCCTCGTCAGTCATGGGCCACAAATCCACCATCACCGGGCATCCCATGATTTCAGGGAGGTTTAGGGTTTAGGGTTTGGGGTTTAGGTTTAGGGGAGGTTCTGTTGAAAGCTTCTGGGCTGTGTTCAGATAAAGCTTCATGACCCACACACATGTGCGAGGAAGGTTTTAACACTTGGAGCCGAACCAAAATAACTCTTCGCAAAAAAAAAAGTTTTTGACCCTGAATCCTAAACCCTGGGGTTCCGAGATTAGAGTACCATATTGGGGGTCCTTATTCTAAGGAAGATCCTATTCTTTGGGGGGTCTCTATTCGGGCTCCGAATTATATTCGTAAACCCCCCCATACCTCCATCATAAACCCATGCCCTGAATGCGCCCCGAGCTCGGAGGCACCCCGAAGCCCTTCTCAGAGGGTTTAGGGTTCAGGGTTTAAGGTTTAGAACAGAATTTTGAAGACTCATTCACAACCCTCCCTGAATCCTAAATCCCTTTTGAACCTGGAAACTGCTCCACGCCTTATACTCCCTAAACCCTGAACCCTGAACCCTAAACCCTAAACCCCTGATCCATGACGTGGCACAGGAAAGATCGGGGGTGAGACTCGGCCTCCGGAAGCCTTAGTCTCATGCACTACTTAGGGTTTAGGGTTTAGGGTTTAGGGTTTAGTTACTTGGAGGTTCATGGGTAGTATATAAGTAGGGTGATAAGTAGGGAAACTATACTTGCAAGATATTGAGGGTTTAGGGTTTAGCGTTGTGGAGGTTCATGGGTAGTTCTAAGTAGGGCTTTTGTTCGGGTAGTTTGGGGTCTTTAGGGTTTAGGGCTGGACTCAAGGGTAGCCATAAGTAGGGTGAGAAGTATGGTTGTAGGCCTTTGGGGGGGGACAAACCCAGCGATGCAATGATCAGGGACCTCCTAGCTTGGCTCACTCGAAACTTCATCTGAGCACCATGAATTCTCGAATTTTCAGGTTTGGGGCTTAGGGAGCCATAGGCTAAACCCCTATGGTTAGGCCCCCTTACAGCCCTATGAAGGTCCTGAAGCCCTTGGCGGTGTTGATCTCTTTTCGTTGCATTCGCCGTCACTCGCCACTTCAGCCACTTCCCCAGAGCAGAGGAACTCTGCTGTCTTCTGAAGCGCCTGGTGGGGGGGTTCAAGGTTTTTGAAGGCCTAGAAGGTGTTTAGGGACTTGAGCGTGGAGGGTTTGCAGGGTTTATAGGCTTTTGTGTTGGGGTTGTTGGCCACCTGCCTAGCCACGCACTGCGAAGTAACAATTTCGGAAAAGACTTGCTTTTGCAGGCAGCCGAATTTTAGGACATTACTGTGTGATGGCAAGGGTATGCTGAGGGTTTGGAGGTTCCACGAACAGCTCGGACAAAACCAAGATCCACCTGCAGAGCTGCGCTCTTCCCTTCAGAACCTTCGGGCTCACGGGATAGTTCCCAACCTCTTACCTTGGGGACCACATGACCGAAACCCTAAACCCTAAACCCTAAATCCTAGAACCCCCCCAAACCCAAAATCCCAAGAAACCCAACATGGGCTGGTAGGGCCTTATACAGGGTGTGGTACTGTATATAATTATATATAGGGTCATATTGGAGAGGGTTTCGGGACCTACTCTTGCTTTATGGGGCTTATAAAGGGTCTAAGGTTCGATATAGGGCTTTACTATGTTGAAACCCAGATACCCTCCCGATTAAGGGTTATGCCTGCAATCACATTCAGGATCCATTTATGATTTAAAGTCAATTTCTTTATTGGGCTCTTTGGGTTTGCCCTCATGGTAGGGATTACTTGTATTTTTCTTATCCAAAACCAAACCCTAAACCCGAATCCCCCAAGCCCTAAACCTCAAACTCTAGTTTAGGGATGCATTATATACTTGTAGTCGGGCTTATTCGGGTTTAGGGTTTAGGGTTTAGGGTTTAGGGTTTAGGGTTTAGGGTTTAGGGCATAGCCAGAGCCCAGCGCAGGAAGCCTCTAGGCTTGGATCCGCCTCGGAGAAAGGCCCTGGGACTTTGATCCACAGCTTCGTGTCCTGTCATAGTAGAAATATGAACATACATATATGTATATATATATAATATGTATGTATATATATATATATGATACACACATATTTCTGATATTCTTTCTATTCTTACCAGGATAGAGCGAATATAACCTGTGTGGATACTCCTCTTTGACTACGCGCAAGATCGAGTTCGTATCATTTCGGAGGAGACATGGCTTTACTACGCGGGTCTCAGGGCTTTTTTGTGATGGTTTAGGGTTCAGGTTTAGGGTTTAGGGCTCGAGGTTCAGGATTGAGGGGAGGGCTTCTTTGGGGGATGGGGGTTGCTGGGGGTGTATGGGTGCTGGTTATAGTTCAGGCAGGGCCGCAAACCCACGCACAAGGAGCAAAGTGGCAGTGTGTTTGCTCTGGCATCATGTCAAGTGGTGAGCAAGTACTATGGTTATTGCATCATGATGATTTCATGTCTATAGCAATAGTCATCACTTCGCGAGGTTTACCATAGCAGGTCGGTTTACCCTTACATCACAGTACAACCTGTGTCGCACACGTTTGCAGGCTGATACGAGGGGGAGAACTGGCGGTCAGTGCTTTGAGGCTTCGCTGACCAACCCGAGCACGAGCCACAGACTGTACAGGCTGGCTGCATGCAGGCGGCGCGAAACAGCTTCGAATCCTCGCCCGGGTTGTTCCCTGGACGTGGGGTGAAACCGAGCTCTGAGTTGCAAGCTCACACCTCCAGCTCTGTGAAGTTGTAGCCTTTCCTTTCCAGCCAAGCAACCTCGGCCTTCTGGGAGCTTCCGAGGCCCTCCGATGCCCTAAGGAACGCTTGGTCTTTGCTGGAAAGAGATGCCAGAAACAAGCGGTCGGCTTCTCCTGGGAGGATCCAAAGACAACTTGATCCTCTTGCACCCAATAAGGGTTTGTATAGGTTTATAAGGTTTAGGGCATTCTGATCCTCTTAAACCCCAATAAAGGGAACAATACAGAGGTATCCCAAGGCCGTAGCTAGGTCTCTGCTGTATGGCGACGAGCCATCTTCGCCCAAGTCCTTGGAGAGCCCATTCAGACCGGCTGCCAGCGCCTCCCGGAATGAAGGAGTGCTGAAGTACGCCTGCTTCCTCTCCTTGGGTTTAGGGTTTAGGGTTTAGGGTTTAGGGTCTAGGGTCTAGGGTTTAGCGTTCAGAAGAAACGCCATGAAAAGAAAGGATGCCAATGGGGCAAGGTTTAGGGTGTAGCTTCTCTGAGAACTAACTATCAGCCTAAACCCTAAACCCTAAACCTGACAAGAATGGAAAGGTTATACTTAACCGGTTCCGGCTTCATGCAAGGCTTCCTGGCGCCGGTTGTCTTCCCCAACAGTCACGAAGCTCCGCGCTTTGCCAAGTCCGCGCCGATTCTTCCAGAAGTATACCTCGGGGACCACATGAGCCCTAATTAAAATTGGGGTCATGTAATCTCCTATAATTCCTATTAGGGTTATCTGAACCCCTAAGCCCTTTTAGAAATTGGGGTCGTGTACCCTCTACTATAATTCTTGTTAAGGCTAAATCTGAACCCCCAAGCCCTTTTAGAAATTGGGCTCATATACCCTCTACTACTATATTTCCTATAAAGGCATTGTGAACCCCCAAACCCTAAACCCCAAACCCCAAACCCTAAACCCTAAACCCTAAACCCCTTAGCCCTTTGTTCGGGTTCACTTTTGGACCTCCAAGGTACCTGGAGCTCGGCCCCGCTTCGGATGGCCCTCTCGATGTTGGCGGTCCACAAAGTCCACCACATGCATCCCCAGGTCTTCCTGCCACCATACTTAAAGGACTGGGGTTTAGGGTTTAGGGTTTAGGGTTTGGGGTTTAGGGCTTAGGGTTTTTTTTGGCACCCGACTAGCCAGGTTTAGGGTTTAGGGCTTATAGGGCTTAGGGTTTAGGGTTTAGGGTGTACTTGGAGGTTCATTAGGCTAGCTATGAGCAGGGTTCGTAGTACCCTAAATGGGGTTGTAAGTACTAGTTACCATACATATAGCCCTGCTTATAACTACCCAGGTCTTCCTCCCACCATAGAGGGGAGTACACCAGCAGTCGCCGTGCAACTGCTCTGAGGCCGGGATCTTGCTGTGCTTGCCATAGGCTGCCGCGCACTTCGGCAAAAAAACAGTCGCAACACTTCTTTCCGCCGAGCTGGAGACCAGCTTCTCAAAGGCAGTTTCATACTTCCCAGGCCAGGAACAGATGCACACACGGTCGGGAAGGACGCGACCCTCAAAGAGGATGGTCCTCTCCATCCTCTCCCCGGTTTCTTCCTGGCCTTCCACAGGATTGCCCTTTGTTTGGTAAGGGATATCTGGGCCAGCGAGATTACGCACACTGCCGTCGTAGCACATGTACATCCCAATGATGCAGCAGCAAACGCCTGGCCAAATGATCATCATATCTTGCCAGAAACCAATGATGCTGTGGTGCACTGTCATGACCACTAAGCCAAGAGCTGTCGAACTCCAGCATACAAGGATGTAAGCCCGCAAGCGCGGCCGGTGGCAAGCGTGGGACCAAACAAAAACCCAATGGATGGCGGCACCCCCACCCGCGATTTGCCAAAGGCGGGCGTTGCCCATGTTGATGCCGTGACATAAGATGACGGCGATGGCACTTATCAGTGCGCCCTGCCGGGCATCGGTTGGCTGAATCGCCGCGCAGACGAGCAGCGCAACCAGAAGGAGGGAGGTGGGAATGGCGACGTACACTCCGAGTCCCCTCAGTGGCCTCGACTCCGCCACACGCAGTAGCATCAGCGCCTCCAGTTCTTGCCCTCTTCGTCGCCGATGGCTGTTTTCAAGAAGAGCGTCCCTGCGCTCTTTCTGCATCCGCTGCTTTGCTTCCGAGCTGAAAGTTTCGCCGAAGCTTCGCGAGGCATGCAGAGTGCCCGACGAAGAGCAGCTGCCAGAAATTTCCGGGTACTCCCGTAGCCGGATCATGACCTGAGTTGTGTGTTTAAGCCCTTTGAAATTTCTATGAAGAGGTTCCCTTTTTTCCTAGGACAGAAGGGAAATAAAGCAAAATATCCTAAAACACAACCCCGTGACCGACGACTCCTCGCTTCGGATCTGTTGGGTCCTTCTCGGGTAGAGGACCTGCCAGTCTCCTTACTGGCCCAAAACCCAAGGAAATAAAAGTTGAAACTTTCAGAATAAACTACCGTATAGGAAGCCCAAAAGTTGAAAAGTTGGGCTTTGAACCAGTAAGTCTCCCCCACAGAGCACTTCGATACCCATCTCCAGGTCGTTGAACACCTCCGCATCACGCTCCTGCGTTGAAACTGAGAGCCCCCGAAACCTAAACCCCTTTAGCCTAAAAACCCTATAAACCCTAAACCCTACTTGTAGGTTCATGGGCAGTTATAAGAAGGGTGATAAGTATGGTCACTATACTGATAACCCCATTTACGGTACGTATAACCCTACTTATACCTATATACCCATGAACCTCCAAGTAAACCCTAAAACCTAATCCCTACTAAACCCTAAACCCTAAACCCTAAACCCTAAACCCTAAACCCTAAACCCTAAACCCTAAACCCTGAGCCCTAAACCCCAGTCCTGCGACGAAACCGAGGGCAGTGCCATGAAAGAAGGATCCGACTCGGCCTCGGGTGCCTAAACCCTAAACCCTAAACCCGAAACCCGAAACCCTACACCCTACACCCTAAACCTTGCCTCTGGTGCCAGACTTCTGCTTTGCTCCGCCTTCCATGCCCCACTTGGAGGCACTGCAGCTGCCACCTCCTTCCCTGCACGTATGCGGGGTTAAGGTTTGAGGGTTCTAGGGTTTACGGTTTTTAGGGTTTTAGAGTCTAGGAATCTTTGCCTTTTATTTTTGCCACCCGCCTAGCTGCCACTCAGGCCACATTGCAGAGACTCAGTCCACAAATGTCCGATTTTTGTTGCCAGGGTTTGGGGGTTGTACCCTGGCAGCGGCATCCTCCTAGTCGGGTTTAGGGTTTAGGGCTCGGTTGGCGGCCCCTGTCTTCAGGCCAGCTGCCACAGTACCGGGAGTCAGCTTTGACGTCTCTGTTTTGCTCACCTCCTGAACCCTGTGCACAATAGCTCCAAGAGGGGAGTCAGATCTGGGCTGGGGCTACAGGAGACACGGTTTAGGGTTTAGGGTTTATGGTTTAGGGTTTAGGGTTTAGGTTTAGCTTAGATTAGTTCAGGTCTGTAGGGTTGGCAATCTAATTACAAGGTTTGCAGAGAACAGGGCTCAGAAAAGAAAGCCATGCCGCCAACCAAGAGTGAATCAGGTCAGAAGAAAGAAAGCCTGGAACGTTTGTGCAGGCGTTTGGCAACGACATTCCTCATTATAGCATATAGCCGACGACGCAAGTAGCTACTTCTTGCGGAGGATTGACTTGCACGATGCCATCAGAACTTCGATTCGTCTTGCATGAGCCGTTTGTCATGGCTCTGGTGCCTTCTATACTCCCCTCAGAACCTTAATAAAACTCGATTATTTTCAATATCCTCTTGGGTTTTATACGAACAAAAAAACATCTCAACAGAGATATAATCTAGGCTCTGGTGCCTTGCGTTGCAGGAAGACTTCGGCTCTCACCGGCTTGCTTCGGCGTCTCTTCCTGGCGTTGCCCAGGCCTGGCAACCTCCGCACATCGCCCGAGGCACCCAGATTCCTCTAGTTCATTGTTGGGATAATATTAAAAGTTTAACTGTGTATTCCTTATTGGGTTTAAGTACCCTTAAACATGCAAAATGTTACCCAACCATGACAAAGTCCTTCTCTGGTGCAGCGCACCTCGAAAGCCACATGCGCTCTGGACTTCAAGCACCTGGCTTTGGCCGAAGCACATGGTCATCGGCAGATGGTGCCATGGCCCAGCTGCCACTAGGCTTAACAATCATCGTAGCGGAGGCACCCTAAACCCTACACCCTAAACCCGCAACCATGGCTGCACAAAAGGAAGGTGCCTTGGAGGACACGAGCTTTGAGTGGAACGACAAGACGCAACTCGGCAAAGGCCTAAACCCTATAAACCCTAAACCCTAAACCCTCAACCCATCGTGCTGGTCGTGCTTCTCCGGCATCTGAGAGCTACTGCGGAGACGCTAGTCTATGTTCTCGAGCTCAAGCCTAAAGCGGAGCATGCCACAGCACACTTGCAGCGATCCAGATGCTATGGGGGGGGGGGTAGGGTGTTCTAGACACCGGCCCCATCCCCCTTCAAAAAATATTTTTTTCAAAGGCCTAGGCCCTAAACACCAAGAATCATTCAACGTCATTGTTGCCCTCTTGGGCTCTCTTTCCTAGTTCTGTTGTATGTAGGGTTCAGGATTTGCCTGGTTTAGGGTTAGGGTCTAGGTGCACTTATCTAGAAGGCGTGTCTGTACCCCGCTGAGCCCCGCTCACAGAAAAGAGCAACGACCGATGCAAAAAAGGCCGGCTGGACGTGAGGCAGCGGGCACTTTGGATTTGTGCAGTCCTGGTAGAATGGAATCCGGGTTTAGGGTTTAGGGTTTAGGGCTACCCGACTTGGAACTCGAGGGGATCTTTAGCAAGGACTGCGGTTTAAGGCTTTTGCGAGGTAGCTTGATGGGATTTGGCAGTTACTTATGGGAGTTTGTAGCTTCCAACTAGTGGTCGCAGGATCGGTATCCGCCGCGCGTTGCCATCGTTTTCTCTTAATAGGAAAGAACAGGTGTTTTAAGCCAGCCGATGCAGTAATATCACCGAGCCTTGACAAACAGGCTCAAGGTCGTGCCACTCACATATGATCACGGACTAAGCATGGGGAGCCATCAAAAGAGCGCTCGGGAAGGACCCTGACAACCTCGATGAAAACCGGGCCATAGCGTGGGTTGGCACTTGAAACTTCTTAATCTGCCATGCGCGTGCCATGTAGCTTAACATGCCGAGACGATCATGAAAGCAGGGTAGATAGAAAGGATGAAGTCCTCGGCCGATACATGGGGCGACCCGCACAAATCAGTGCTAACAAAACCAGTGGCGAAGTGGCAGTTGCAATTCAGAGTGCCAGGTGTTTATGTCCAGCAGCTACCGGTGCAAGTGAAAGTGTGTTCTCGCATTAGTCAGCGCCCCGTTCCAGCAACATCCGCCGTAGCCGCAAATCGCCGGAAAAGAACACCTCGGCACGAAAGCTACCCTTTGGGCTACCAGATCCTTAATAGGGATTAGAATAGGGGGTACTAGAATCCTTAGTAAGGAGCTGCTAGCATAAGGGGGAACATCCCAAGCTACCCCTATTAATCACACACTCAAAGATCGTCGTTTACAGGATGCTGAGCCTTTGGCAGCAGTGGGCGGCCATCCACGCACAACGCCCTGACCAGTGGCCGGCAGAGTGACACGTCCACAGCGAGGCAAGTGAGGTCAGGTGGATTTGTAGGGGTGGCCTCACTACTCCTAAACCCTAACCCCAAAACCCCAAACCCTAAACCCCCCCTACGTAGTATAAGGTATACACCCCGAATTCGGAAGCCCCAGAACCCTAAACCCTTTTTGAGCACGGACTGGGAAACTGCCTAAACCCTAAACCCCAAACCCTAAACCCTAAACCCCCAGTTGCCTGCGTTAGCTGTGATACCCCTGTGTGCCAGCCTCCGTCTCCGGATCGTCCTTCAAGCGCCGCCCAAGCTCCCGGCCTTGATTTGTACTTTAGGGTTTAGGGTTTAGGGTTTACGGTTTAGGGTTTATTGGAGGTTCATGGGTTATAAGCAGGGTCAGAAGTATTGTACTTCTACTTTCAACCCCATGTAGGGCACCTTCTCACCCTACTTCTAACCTTGGTAGCCCAGTAACCATTTTACAACACGGGCTTCAAGGGCACCTTTTTTGGGTTGGTTACTCTATACTATATAAAATGCAAACAATAACCAACAAAAAGGGAAAGGGGTACCACAGCGCTAGCAAGTAAGTACCCATGAACCTCCAAGTATCCCTAAACCCTAAACCCTAAACCCTAAACCCTAAAGTACCCTAAACCCTAAACCCTAAACCCTAAACCCTAAACCCTACATGACGACTTGCCTTCAAGGATTCTTCTTGCGCCGCAGGGACCTCTGGGCGACCGGCCCCATTCTTCGAACCTTGGCTGTTGGGCTTACTTGGAGGCTCATGGTACTTACTAACCAATTATAACTGGGCTTATAACCCTACTTATAGTTGGGATAACCCCTATAAGGCTCTTTAGGGGTATTATAAGTAGGGTTGTAAGTACAGTTATAATTGGCTAGTAAGTACCATGAACCTCAAAGTAGGGTTAAGGGGTCCGCAGAAGAGGCCTTTATAGGGTCTGCAACAGAGCTGAAGGGCTTTGAGGCTTCAGGCGAAATAGAAACTAGTGCATCCTAAAAAGGGCTACGCACTGTAGAGTGGTCCAAGGAAGCAAAATGCAGGGTGTCCCCCCAAAACCGAAGCCTACGTGCCTTAAAGACCCCTAAAACAGCATGGGAACCACCTTTTTCTTCCTATTCCGCCGTGACTTCGGAAGATCAAGGGCTTGGAGCTATCACAGGGGGCTAATCGGACCATAGGCCTTGATTTTGTTGGGGCTTGCGTTTTTCCAAAGGGGGGGGGGGTTGGGGCTACGGGCTTACTGACAAGAGGATCCACCCTGCAGATAGAGGGGTCCTGTTTCAATCGCCTAGCAGACTTTCAGGTTGGCTTTTGGGGCTCAAGTGTCTTAGAGTCTTCGAGCACAACCTCCTGCCCAACGGACGCGTGCGCCCGGGGCCTGTTGAATTGAACCCTAAAACTAACCCCTAAATCCTATCCCCTGAACCCTAAACCCGAAACCCTAAACCCTAAGCCCTAAGCCCTAAACCCGAGCCTGCTGAATTGAAGCTCAAGTTTTGAAAAGGGAGGGGAGAGGCCTTGGCGGCGTCTGCAGAACAGCACCCTTCATTACCCTATCCTTCCTGATTATGGGGTCCCTAGGGGTTCTGCCGACAGAGTTTGCTCCGAGGCCACTGCTTACTGTTGATCTTCTCGAAGAAACGCTTGGCCTGTGATCAACCGGTGAATTCAAGCTCGGGTCACCTACATGAGATGCGAAGCCATGACAGCGGAATCAGGGCTTTGTCCAACTAAAACCGCGTTTGAGGTTTGAGGTTTGGGGGCTGAAGGCCTCTGTATGTCAAGACCTCGCGAACCTCGAACTACCTGAGCCCTAAACCTTTGTGCGTGACGAACCCTAAACCCTGAACTCCGAACCCTAACCCTACACCCCCGAAGCACCCACACCCAAAACCCCCAAAACCCTAATCCCAGAGCCAAACAGCCCCCCGCGACGTTGTGGCGCCGCAGCTTTGCTCCCGCGGATCTGCCGCCATAGCCGCGCTTCTTGGCATCCTGCTGAACAGCTCATGGGGTTTTGGTGTTTAGGGTTTGGGGTTTAGGGTGTTTTTGGTAGGAAAGCTGCACAAGGGTTCTGTCCCTACTCTATTCCTACATAAGGCTCCCTGTGTTCCGTAGGGGCCTCCTTAACGTGGCTCTGAGCATGGGCTTGGTCCAGCCAGCCATTGCAACACCACAGCCTGACCTGCTGCTCCCAATGCCAAAGGTTTAGGGTTTAGGGTTTAGGGTTTAGGGCAAAGACTATAAGCCAGGCCAAAAGCACGTTTCCCCATGTCCAGCCATGATCACAACAAGCGAAAGCCCTCGAACCCGCCTGACTCGAAAACAGCTGAGAAGTGGGTGACATACTGCATCAAGTCTTTGGACTCTCCTTCCGCGCCGAAACCCGAAACACCTCACTGCATGCCCCTGTGCCTATAGCCTATTACTATGACTACGTCTATCTGTTACAAAACCACCCGCCCCCAAGCCTCAGAAATTCAAGCACCAAGCGCGACGGTAGGGGGTCTGCTTGCAGGCTCAGACCCACGCCAACATTTAAACTGAGTTTGCGCTGTCACAAAGTTTCTGCACGCGGCCAGATCGTCAAGGAACATGTCCAGCCACGCGAAGAGCGGGTCATCAATGCCATCTTGAGTTTTGTTCGAGACTGCAAAAAACAGCCATCCTCTCTGCTTTGCAAGTTGTTCGGCCTCCTTTTCCGCGACCTCTGGATCCGCAATGTCTGCGTGCGTGGCCACCATGCAGACACGTCGACAACACTCGGGCTGTTTTCTTTCTAAAGCTTCAAACATGCGCAAGACCTCATTTAAGGTCTCCCGTTTCTGAAGCGAGAAGAACAACATCAGCCCTTCCGCTCCTCTGAAGAATGCATTCGTGATTGTCCTGAATTCTTCCTGCCCGGCAATATCCCAGAGGTGCGCTTTGAGCCTATAACCATCCTCCGACTGCAGGCGCAAAACCTTGAAGCCCGCGCCCATTGTCGACATGTAGTCCTGTACGAAGCCTTCACGGCAGCACGCCCGCACCCACGACGTCTTCCCAACCTCTGCACCGCCTATAAGAAGACACTTCACAAACGTCACCGTTTGAGCCTCTGTGTCGCCATCGTCGGACCAGGGAGTGTAGCAGCCAGTAGGCTTTCGGACAAGGTACAGAGAATCCTCCTCAGTGAGGTTCAGTTCTGATAACGTCCTGCTCTGCTGCACCACCTCGGTGCCGTGCAGCAACGTGAGTCTGCCGGGTCTTCCAACAGAAAGGGTCTCCAGCACAGACCGCACCGTTCGGCTTCCGGGCAGCTGCTGCTCGACAGCCACCTCGCCAGCAGGGGTCAGGATCCGCACTGGGACCGGGAAAGTCCTTTGGGCATCTGACTCCACTGGCTCTGCCCGAGCTGCCGGCCTGCCATGCCATGACCCCATGATGCCTGAATTGCACAATGCCGACCGAGGAAGAGAGCGGAAGAGAGGGAGAGAGAGCGAGGAAGAGAGAGAGAGAGAGCGAGCGAGAGAGCGATGGAGTGTGATCGTTTACGAGAGCTGACAGTTCAAGGAACGGTGCCTAGCTAACAGTCGGCAACTCAACCAACACTGAGCCCAACCCAACACTGAGCGCAACCCAGATTTGGGGGGGGGGGGGTGTCCGAAAGCAGGGGTACCCTACTTGGGGGTCCCTTTAAGGGGATTCTATTCTATTTTTTTGGGTACAAAAAGGGGTAGCCACTTTTTTGGGAAATACCTAACTTGGGTTGCAAGTAGCATTACCTCATTTTCAACCTACTTCTAACTGCCCCATGAACCTCCAAGTATTGGGACTCGAGGTTTGCACTGAAAAAAAAAAGTCCTAGCGCCCCTTCCCGAAGAGCCAACACCCCTTAAATGAGGAATAATTATACCCTTAGACCATTTTAAGGATCCCTATTATCATGTGAGGCATCTTCCTTAATGGGTAGTTAGTGGGCTCTCTGGGTTCCCGAAGGTCCCTAAACCCTAAACCCTAAACCCTAAACCCTAAACCCTAAACCCTAAACCCTAAACCCTAAACCCTAAACCCGAAGGTGAAAAGCCGGCTTCCGTGACTCGGCTCACGCGGTCCTCGAAGAGTTGAAAGCGGCCCGCGCCTGCAGCAACTTCCAGCTGTGGAAGCCTAAACCCTAAACCCTAAACCCTAAACCCTAAACCCTAAGCCCTAAACCCTAAACCCTAAACCCTAAACCCTGAACCCTGAACCCTAAACTCCTTGGGATGTTCCCCCCCCCCCCTTCTTCTAACAGTCAGTAAGGATGATGGTGCCCCCTAAGATAATCCCTAGCAGTGCTTAATGAGGATTGAAGTACCCCCCCTATTCTAATCCCTATTGAGGACTGCTAGTATACCAGGGCACATCCCAACTCTAAACTTTAAACTTTAAACCCTCAAACTTGTCAAACCCTAAGCCCTAAACCCAAGCCCCTCAAAGAATGATCCGAGCAGGATCTGAGTACATAGATTGTCCACCAAACACAGCCGCCGGAAGCTTCCCACGAGGCATCTCTGCAACGGGGCTCGACTTGCGCTCCCACCGCCTACACCGCATGCCTGGGCCGAAATCCCAAACCCCTCTGCGAATGCAAGAAATCTGCGGCCGTGGAGTGTAAGCACTGTGTGGCCTGCGTATTCCAGGTTTAGGCTGGGCATCGTTGGGGGAAACCGGCCTTTCTTCTCCTTGCCGCGGACTGCATAGGTGGTGATCACCTGACCGAAGGGAGGTTATATCTTGGCCAGAGAAAAGGTGTGCTGGGAAGATCTTGTGACAATCCTGTGCTTTTCCCCAGCAGGGCTTCCAGAGGCCAAAAAACGTATCTGTGCAATTTAAGCACTTGCCGTCTGCACAATAGCTGGGAGCGCAAGAAGAAGCTTCACGAAGCCACCGCCTTGTAACCGGCCTGCTGAACTCCTCACTCACACATCCCATTGGGAGCCGCTTCAGCTGACGCTGCCTCGTCGGTGTGCCTATGACAGCATGCCAGGGCACTCTCTGAGCACGCGTGCGCACGAAGGCAACACTTCGTGCATGTAAAGACCAGCTGCGCTGAGGCAGAAACTGACGATCTAAATCGAATCGCGCGTTTGCTTCGTGTTGGTGAGGTCTCGTCGGCCCTCTTGTCTTGCTCATCTTGATTTCAGGCTGCAGAGCTCCCAACCTCAGCTTTCCATGTGGTTTTCCCAGGCGTGCAGGGTCTTAGCCGGAGTCTTCAGAATCAGACGGCTCTTCCTCGTCAAGTCCGAAAATGTCACGTATCAGCTGGTGATGCACATACCCATGGCCGATCTGCATGTCGTGCCAATAATTCACGGCGATGGTGATGCCTTGTTGAGCCACACCTCAGCTTGTCATTTGGGGGTTTACGATATTAGGGGATATATACCTTCTTGCGGTCCTTATGACATAAGGGGATTTTACTATTTGGGGGAATATGTTGGGGATCCTCTATTCTCGCCGCCAACCCCCCATTTCTGCTGCAGGCACTTTGTGCGAGCTGGCCACAAGTCCTATAGACATCCTAGACCCGGGAGTAACATAGGAACAAAAAAAGGGTACCCTTTTTAATGAAAAGGGGATTATAAGGGAACCCCAACCCTAAAAAAAAAAGGCCTACTCCCGGTCCTAGCATTAGACTCTCCCGGCCGGAGGGATGCAGTGGCGTGGCTGGGCGAGTCGCAGGAGGGAGTCGACAAAACCAAAGCTTTGAGTCGGACAGGGAGGAAGAGGGGGGGGGGGGGGGGGCATGGACCCTTTTGGGTTCAGGGTTGAGGGTTGAGGGTTTAGGGTTTAGGGTTTAGGGTCTGTACATGCTGCCAACACCACGCCCGAGGCACGATGGTACCACATTGCGGGCAAGTACCTGGTTGGAAAGTCGGGCACAGGCACAAGGCACAGGGAAGGGACTTGGCATGCTTGCAGTGCGCCCAAGACAGGTCTGTGGTGACATCACTGGCACAACCACACAAGCGCCGGCCGAGCTTCAGAAGCTCTCCAGGGCCCACTGTGACCTGTCAGGCAGCTTTCACTGGAAGGATCGACCCCAAAATGGGTGTTTTCGAAATAGGGGTACCCTTTTTGGGGGGCCTTTAAGTGGGGTCTACTCTCTTTGGTGCATTACAAAAAGGGGGTAAACCCTTCTTTTGTGAAAAAGCCCTATATTGCTCAAGAAGGAAAAGCCCAGTGCCTCCAGCTGCAAGCCAGAACTTTCCAGCCCCGCTGTCGTCCCCTTTCCACCTCTAACTCCCTGGCCCTCGCCTCCACTGCCAGATGATGCCGGAAGCGGGCAAAGAGGGGAAACCTTGGTTTAGGGTTTTTCCCCTCCTGCATCTAGGGTTTTGGGTTTAGGGATTTAAATGCACCGCGGATGTCAAGGTCTCTGCTGTCAGAGGTCTTCGTGTTCAGGGTGAAAGACCCATGCGCCCTGCCCTCCGAGAAGTGGGCCTCAAGAGTACTGCCACAACTCAAGCGCAAACTGCCAAAGACCTGAAATCCTTCGTTCCTACTGCAGGGCCGATGCTGCGATTCGGAGCACTACCATTTCGAGACCCAATTCGGGGACAGCAGACTCATAGTCCTTCGGGCAGCCTCCATGCCTTCATACACGCCGAAAGACTAAACCCTAAACCCTAAACCCTCAACCCTCAACCCTAAACCCTAACCCTTAACCCTTAACCCGAAACCCTAAACCCTAAACCCCCCGGTAAGCGGCCAAAGGTGCTTGGTTTCATCGACCTGGCCAGCGACGTCGAAAGGAATCCTGGGGCTTCTTCTACCCAAACCTATACTCCCTTAGAACCTTCATAAACACAATGTTGTTTAATACCCTCTTGGGTTTTACATAAACAAAAATAATCCCCAAGGGGGATATAGAAACAAAGAGAGTTTTTAGGGCTTAGGGCTTGGGGTGTTCCCCCTTCTACTATCAGTCTTTAAATAGGGAGGATACTAGGGGGTACTCTAATCCCTATAAAGGACTGCTCGTATACGGGGGAACATCCCAACTTAGGGTGTTAGGGCCTGGAGGTTGTTTTACCACCCTCGCTGACCTCTCGGCCACACCGTGCGTAGGGTTTAGGGTTTAGGGGCAGGGTTGAGAGTGTACATGTCTAGGGAGGAGGGCTGAGAACCAAAACGCGACATGCTCGTGTAAGACTAGGTCCAAGCCTTTCCGCACACATGGCCTTGCGTGGGTATCGCCAGATTTACGTCTTGCTAAACCCTAAACCCGAATCTTGAGTGTTGACTTGCATGTTGCGGTAGACTCAGTAGACTTTGAGAAGGTTGGTGTGCTCGCAGTCAAAGCTGTGGCGACCCATGTGGCCCCCAACACAGCTTCCCCCACAGAATCCTGCGAGACATCTGGCCGGGTAGATAGAGTGCTCTCGACAGGGCGCTGTTGAAAGAGGGCTGAAGGCTTTTGTCAATGAGGTGGAGGGCGACTTGGATGACTGCGTGCTCAAATGCTGGCGGTGGTTGAATTAAAGCTCTGCTGATTTCGAGGGTGTTGTTTCTGCGAATGCTCCTGGCACCGCATTCTCACATGCCTCTCCAGTGCACTCTTGCAGCAGCGCAGTGCGCAGTGCGCAGTGCGCAGTGCGCAGTGCCAACCTTTCGGCCGCGTTACTTTGCGGCGCGGTTGTGACATATTGCTTGTGCGAGTGGCTTGAGCCCCGTGCGTGTCGAATTCGGGGTGTGGGGCTCTTGGCGGCAGCAACAACAGCAACAACAACCGGAGGGTTTGGGAGGGGTTTGGGGTAAACCTGTCAGAGCTAGCTGCAAGCTCCCAAAACCCGACGCATGCGCCCAATCCCTGCCTCGAGAAAGAACAGCTTCAAACAAAACAACAGCTTGTACATGTCGAACTTAGGGTTTAGGGTTTAGGGATTCATCCCACCCGTGTCGCAAGCGTTTACAGAAGAGCCTCAGTTCAGACTGGGATCTTACATGGCTTCGGGCGGGCCGTAGGGTGGCACTCAAAGCAAGTAAACCCAGCACCAAAACCCCCAAGGTGTAAATCGGAATGACCAAACAAGCAACAGTGCCTCAGATGCCCTCCCTACTCTCCCTTGAAAACTCCCGATCCCTCCCCCTTGCTGCCGGCCTGCCTCTCACCATAAGTCAGTATGCAGAACCAACGAGTGTAAGACGACTAGGGGATAGGGTTTAGGGTTTAGGGTTTAGAGTTTACTTTCTATTCTTTGGAGGACTTCGGGGGCAGCTGCCCTGCTGCCCTGCCACACGTGATGCACACGCATTCGTAACAGTAATAATAACAGCTTCAGCAGAGTAAGCGTTGTTTAGTAAGTAGTGCCAAGTACAGAGTTTTTAGCACTTAGTAAATGGGGAGTAAACCAAGTAGTCATCGTAGCAACAAGAACAGTCGCCAGCTACTTGCATTCTCTAGCCCTCCGTCAAACTACTCTCCCATTTTTCTTCTCTAGTGGCGAAAACCCATACTCTTCTGCACAGCGAAGAGAGGAAACCTGCTGGCCCGCTGGTCTGTCCAGTCCGGTCGGCAAAGTGAGGCCCCGCTCCACCCCCCCCCCCCTCCTTCCACTGCACCCCCGGTGCTCTCTCTCTCTCTCTCTCTACGGCCACTCGCTCCAGCTGTCAGACGCGCAGCCTCAAAATCCCGACAGTCTCTTGCAACTTGGTCGGTCCAAGAGTCCAGGGCACTTCAGGCGCAGAGTCCAAGATTGGCCGAAGCTTCCTTGAACGGTTGCAGGGCGGGGGGGGTTGGGATTTGAGTTTGTAAGGTCCACGTGAGCTCATGGACGGGTCCAAATTCGTAGATATGGCTTGGTAACTTCCGGACGCTCGGGCCAAGATGCGGCAGTACAGCGATAGACGGGACCCGACGACCCGCAGCATAGTGGCAGTATAGCAGTATGGCAATATAGCAGTATAGCAGTATAGAAGCATAGCAGCAGCAGCAGGAGGAGGAGTAGTAGTAGGTAGAACAGGAGTGGTCGTGGTAGTGGTAGTGGGTAGTCATAGCAATACTAAATGCAGCTCATGATTCCCATCCGGCTGTCGAACATGCGTTGCTGGCATGCAGAGCTGCTCATGCCTAGGCAGTCTGAACCAAACTTCTCTGTTCCAGAGCCTATGAACCTTCTGCAGGTTCCGGGCTTGTTTGGGGCTTGATGGAATCAGGGTTACCTGTCAGTATGTCCAAAAATAGCGGTTGGCGCACTGATGTCCAAGAGTTTCGGCAAGATACAAGAAGGGTGCGCTCGCGGGCGGCATGAGGGTGAAGATCTTCCTTGGCTTCTTGCGTGTTGGATCCAGCATGGGCCGGCAAAGGCGCTCGAGGCTGACTTAACCACTTCAGTCCAAGGAGCTCACCCCGCACTACCAAGTAGAGATTCTCGTAAGGATCCTCGCAGTGGGTGAGGGCGGGGGGGGGGGGGGGGGGGGGGGGGGGGAAGGGGGGTACCCCTGGGTAAAAGCTGAGGACGACTCCTTGTGGCACGATGAAACCGACTGCTCGTCGCCTATCCACAAATTCACGGCCTCCGGCTCGTTGCCGAATGCCTCCCAGACAATAGGAGGAAGCATACTTTGGCCATGGGGATGAGCTCAGCCGGGGAATTGCTTGGGTTGAAAACACTCCCGACTCCCGAGACATGCAAGCACTTTCCTCAAGGCGTCATTCGCCAGGTTAATGCTCTGTCGTCCGTTTGCGTGCATGACGGACGCAAGTGTGTGTGTGTGTGTATCTACTTCCAAGAGCTGGGACAACGGCCTCCTGCGCGAGGGGTATCACAGCCGGAACATCCGATAGCAGACTGGGAAACTCCTCTCGCAAGGAGTCGTTCTGCCTCAGGGCGGCTTACAGTACGGGGCGAAAGCAAGATGCATGGGGCCCTGTAAACTCACCAAACAATAGTTAAATGTAGACCCTGCGCCTCATAATTCATGCTTAAACATGCGAAGGCCGAAGCTCTTGGCTGCATCCCCATAGGCCTGGAAAGATACAGAACATCTCCGGCGCTCCCGGCGCGGAGGTGCCCGAGAAACTCGCCAAAGCACATGCTCTCCTGCCACGGTGATGCCTATTTTTTTCCGGATGTGTTCGGGCCCTGAAGGTTAATTGTACATGGATGTGCAACGCCTACTACTTCTTTTAGACCAACTGGGAGATACGGCACATGCCCCGACATGACGACGTCTGAAGCATGCTTGAAATAAGGAGCATACCTTAAACCATATTAAGGATCCCTAGACGGTCCCTAGATTATATAAGGTATACTGTATCCCCTGCCTCCGCAATCTGTGACTGACTTAGCCCCGTCTCACAATAGGCAGAATCCTCAAACCATGGGTCGACGTCAACTCCCCAATTGTATAAGGCCACAAGACATCGTGGACGTGTCCAACAGACATGTCTCGACTCCAGGAAGAAAACTACAAAACATCTCGAAAACAAATTTCCCAACCTTAACACACACCCAAATACTCTCATCCTTACCATCCCCAACCCCCCCCCCCCCCCCCCCCGCCCCCACGAAAAACAAAGGTGCCCTAAACCGCTATGGGACTGGGAAAAGCACCCGCAACTCAAAAACGGCCGGAACCCTGTACGTCGACGAGCCAAGGCTCAGGCAGCTCTGAGATCAGCAACCCTAAGCCCACTTAGCTCTATTAAGGGTTTAGGGTTGGGATGTTCCCCCCCTTGTACTAACAGTCCTTAAAAGGGATCAGAGCCAGGGGTACTATGACTGTTAGTATGAACATCAAGTCCGTTTCCTTTCCAACCCTAAACCCTAAACCCTAAACCCTAAACCCTAAACCCTAAAACCCTAAAACCCTGCAAGTCCATGACCTACCCGGCCTCCAGAGGCTGCACAAAGCGGCCGTGGCTATCCACGGAGTCAGCGCGGCCGTCGGGAGTCCTCGGGTATGACGGCTTAGGGTTTAGGGTTTAGGGTTTAGGGTTTAGGGTTTAGGGTTTAGGGTTTAGGGCTTCAGGGTTTAGGATTTGTAGGGTTTAGGGTTTGCGCTTAGGGTTTAGGCTGCTTAGGGTTTTCACGGTTTAGGGTTTCAGGGTTTCAGGCTGCATTTTTGCCACCCGCCTACTAGCCACGCACTGCCCTAACTCTCGCTCGAAGTGGGGGTAGCCTTTTAGGCCTCCCTGCCACCCTAAACCCCAAACCCTAATCCCTAAAATGTGAAAGTCGGATCTTGTAAGACGTGCCTCACATCCCAAGCATTGCGATTTGGGTCTCTTGTGCCTTGTGGAATGGAAGGCCGCCTAAACCCTAAACCCTTTTCTTTGCATCAACCCTATAAACCCTATGAACCCTAAACCCTCCACCCTATACCCTACAAAGCCGGGGCGCACATTCACGGAGACCTGTGCGTCCCCTGCAACAGACAGGAGGTGATCGTCGCTCCACTTTGTCAGGCAGGGCCACTCGTCCTCCTGAGTGCTACATGCTACAGCAGCTGAAGACTCTAATGTAATTCGTTCCTTTTGGGGGGGTATACTATAAGCTTTGATATCCTTAATGGAAAATACATGACGGGCCCCAAAAGGAACTACATTAGAGTCGACCTGGAAAATCTTGCGCCCAAGTGCGATCATGGAACTGAAAGATCCGTCAGCACAACCGGCTGCGATAAGGCCACAAAATCTCGGAGAAACTCCTGAGCTCTAGCAGGGGCTGGGCTTCTAGCAAGGGCTGGGTTTCATGGCTCATAGGGTTTAGGGGTGCTGAGGGGTCCTGAGGGAGAGGCAAGGGGCTGGAGAAGGGTTCTTCAAGCCTCTGCGCTTGCAGAAGCCAATTGTGCACCAACAACCGGACTCTTAAGAAGAAGACTCTCCAAAATCCTGTTATACTGTCTCCAGCTCCCCCCCTGAACCCTAAACCCTTTTTGCAGCAGGCTTGCGTGGGTCCTCGCCTGGATCAGGCTATCGCTCTCCGAGCTGACAGCACTAACTGAAACCGTCTTGCGCAGAAAAAAGTCTAGCTTTTCGACGCTGTGTCTTGGCAGCAAAACCCTAAACCCTAAACCCTAAACCCTTCTAATTTCTCATGCTTGCTTTTGCTGAAGGCGGGCGAGGTGCGGCCGTCGTCAGTTGCGTCACATTCCTCCGTGGCACCTCCCTGGCCACACACGCCACTGTCTGAGCTGCTTCCCAGAGAGCCTAATGCACCTTAAATAAGGAATATACCTTCTTGAACCATATTAAGGATCCTTATATAATTAAAGGTATACTCCTTGATTAAAGGGTATTGGGCTCTCTGGGTTCTAGTTGGTATGCACACTTTTGGTCTGACAGTGTCGTCGTCATTAAATTAGTTCTACTGGTTGTACGACTTCTCCTTATCGTCCTCACTGAGGATTTAAGACTGTTCCTTCGCTTAGAAGCAAAGCCCTCCACCGACAACCCATACCGACCCTCATCGAACACCCTAACCACATAATTATCAACCCTGAACTATAAGTGCAGCTGCCATGGGGGCGCCTGGGGCGCCAGAAGTTACGGATGTTCCGCGCCAAACGTGTCAGGCTTCTGTGTGAGGCGGCTGGCCTTAAGTTTTGAGCCCCCCCCCCCCCCCCGAAAATAGAGACATCCCCCGCTCAAACCCAAAACCCTCATGCAAACCCTATACCCTAAAAACCAAATTAATCCCCAAGACCTAAAACCTGCAACCCGTAAAGCCTTGAAAAACCCTAAGCAAAACCCACACAAAACCTTGAAAACCCTGAGCTCTAAACCGTTTAAGCCGGTGCAGACCCTAAAACCGTAAAACCCAAAACCCCTAAACCCTAAATCCTAAACCCCCCACCACCCCGGAGGGCGCACCGGGGTACCCGGATTATGGGGGGAGGGGCGGGGGTTGGGAGGGCAGGACGCTGCGCCACATACGGACCTAATTCGCTTATTTCCCTACTAAGTAAGAACCAGTAGGTCTTGTCTACGGTACTCGTGCGACTATGGTGATAACTGACGGAACGTCGACTTTGCAAAAGTCCCAATGTCTGCTGGAATTTGTTTGCTTGAGAGTCGAATCCTTGCTTACGGATTCCATCTGATATGCTGCAGCCAAAGAGTCCGTGCTTTACGCAGGGAAGCCCCATACCCAGCGCCATCCATGGCAGGCTGGTCAGAACTGCGTGTTCATCTGACAACCCCCTTCTCCGAGGTACGCTGGACTAGACACGGATTTGGCTGAAGGCCGCACTGTCACAAGCTGCACCTAACTGCCTAACTGCACGGGTGATCATGTCCTTGCAGGGTCTAGGGTAAGGAATCGAACCAAGAACTAGCCAGCAACATATGTCCACAGCCTGCTTGCTCTGAGCTGTCAGCGCGGAAACCCTGAAAACCTTAATCTCCTCAAGCCCATGGTGCTGTTTTTGAACCCACCCGGGTCTCGCAGAACCCCGAGCCCCCTTGAACCTCGAGACCCTCGAACTTTTTTTAAGCTCAGACCTAAAGATGCGAAGTCTCAGAAGCGAGGAAATTCTGATAGACACAAAAAAAACTCAACACCCCCACGACCCCACGAAAAACGCCTAGATCTTGAATCTGCAAACCCTTTGCGTTGCAAACCCTAAACCCTAAACCTCCCAACATGGCCGGGTACATCCCAGCCTCCCAAGCCCAAACATCCGACATTAGGGGTCCCTTATTGGGGTCCTTATCAGATGGGGATCCTACTCTTTGGGGATCTGTGTGAGGGGTCCCCTATTTTCGTAAACCCCTGTTTCGGGAACCCAAGAAACCAAGCCTGTACCAGCCCTTTTGCGTCCGGGCTTGTGGCGTCGGCCGGAAACTCCAAAGCACACGCCAAACAAAACACCACACCCTAAACCCTAGACCTCGCGCTCTTTCTCTGTCTTTCTTGGGGCCTGGGGCAAGCCCCCGCACTCTCTCTCCCTCCCTCTCTGCCTTCCTCCCAGGCATTCGAGATGTCAAGCCGATCCTGAACCCTAAACCCTAAACCCTAAACCCTAGAACCTCCAAGAACCCTCCAGGTGTGCCTTGTGCTCCTGCAGCTCCCAGCCTTTCGGCTGGCGCTTCGTGGCCGCTTGGCGCTCCAAGCTGGCCGAGGTGGGTTTAGGGTTTAGGGTTTAGGGTTTAGGGTTTAGGGTTTAGGGTTTAGGGTTTAGGGTTTAGGGTTTAGGGTTTAGGGTTTAGGGTTGCTTAAGAACCCCAAAAGAATGAGAAATAATAATCCCTATATTGCCCTTAATAAGGAAGAGCTGCTTTAGTTTTTTCGGGGTTCTTAAGCAAGTAGCAGTAAAGACACGAGCTTCACCTACGAACCAAACGCTCTCTTCCCTAAACAACCCTAACCTCCCCCCCCCCCGCCCATCACTGTGCCTTCAATGAAAAAAAGGGTTTCGAATGTTATAGCAGTAGTAGAGAGGGCGTGTATGACCCCAATTTTAGGGTGCATTTGATTGCAAGGGAGATAGAAAACAAAACTGCTCACATGAAGTCGGCTTCAACCGCCCTTCAAGTCTGCAGCCCGGGAGCTCAACGAAAGGGTTTAGGGCTTATATTATAGGGTTTAGGGTTTAGGGTTTAGGGAGCCCACCCTGAACCCAAAACCCCCAAAACCCGAAGCCCCTCCTTCAACCTGGTCAGCCCTGCAACCCCTGCAAGGACTCACCTGCCTCCGGAGCAGCCCAAGAGCCGCGCGCCCTGGGCCGAGCAAGAGGACCTTGGCCCATTTTCGGGAAACCCCAAACCCTAAATCCTAAATCCTAAGCCCTAAACCCTCAACCCTAAGCAAAAAGGTTAAGCCTTCAATTATAATTGGATTTTCTATACAGTGACTTCCGGAACCCTAAACCCTAAAACCCTAAAACCCTAAACCTTAAACCCTAAACCCTAAGCAAAAAGGTTCAGCCTTCAATCAATAATAGGATTATATATACCCCGAAGGATAAAAGGCTACCTACTCAGCTACTCAGGTCTGCCTTTATTTCTTCGGATTTTGCCAACCGCACTGCCCACGCTCTCACGCCGCTCTTCTTTTTTTGGGCTTAGGATTCGGGTTGAGGCGGTTATTAGCGGTTTTTGAAAGGGTTTCTGGAGGGTTTAGAGGGTTTACAGAAGATGGTCTAGGGCCTTTGGAGGTTGCAGGTCCTGTTTTGCAACATCTGCTTCAGGGGTCTCAAGCTCCCCAAACAGGAGAGTGTTTGGGTTTAGGGCTTCGACTCTCTCACGCTCGCGCACAGGCGGGCAAGGCACACCAGCTCAGTCCAACTGACTACACTGACTACACTAGGGACGGATCTCTGCACATATGAGAGCTGACAACTTACTTCCAATCTGGCTGAGCTAACCCCAGACTTCTAAAGTATTGTGTTGTTCCGTAAGCTATGAGTCGTGAACTCTCCACGCCAGAGCACGAAACTGAGGTCCAGGCAGCTACAGCCTTGGCGCGGGGAAATTATTGAATGACTCTAGCGGGGCTCAGAAATGCAATCTCGTGGCACCATGAAGGGTGGCGGGGTGATGACGACATGGAACTAGCGCAACTTTCTTTGCACATCAAAGCCGGCCAACTGGGAACGACAGCAGAGCTGCTCAAACAGAGGACCGCGGAAGCCAGCGCAACAGCTAAGTTCATTCCCAAGAGCCCTGATTTACACAGTGCCCATGTTCCGCTGGCATGGATGGAGATCCTAATCCTAATCGGCCATGATCCAGAGAGTCATGGCCCAGCGCTGCTCTCGAGGCTGTCGCACTGCATGCCAGACATCGCGAGATCGGAACATGACAATGCGCCCGCTCAGTGGCGCAATGTCCACAAATCGGTCCATGTCGGGCCTGGGTTTATTTATTGGAGCCTTATACGGACTAAGTATGAACCTTAAAAGGGCTTTTGGTTCACATTGCCCGAATATATGCTGATCGGGATTATTGTAGTTATAGGGGATATGATCCCAATTTTCGGGATCATGTGGTCCACAAGGAACTTAGGCTAGGATTGCCACTACGATTACCTAAGGCTTCATGATCTCTGTCTACGTTTATCTCTGTACAATGCCCCATGAAACCCTATAAACCTTTTAGATACAAAAGTACTGACAGCCGAGAGACATGCTCGCGGCCTCCTTTCGCAGGCCTTCCGGCGCTTGGGCGGCGTCTTCGTCCAGCTTGTCACCGTAGACGCGCAGTTCCCCGCCGTCGCCTGGGCGCCAATCATCGTTCAAGTAGAGCAGGACCGTGACCATACGTTGGTTGTCCGTACCGCTGTAGCTGTCCTTGTGACAGTGGTACTCCGCCCCATGGCGGTAGGTGGCAGCCATGATGTGCGGATGCACACGGAGTCTCGGGGCAACCACCGAGTCGTTGGGGCTGCAGGATGCGGCAGCCCGGAGGAGGGCATCTGGAAGGCCCAGCAGCTGCTCGCAGAGCGAGCGCAAGGCCGGGGGCGTCTGCTGCGTCTCCTCCGGGCTCTCAAAGTGAAGCCACACCTTGGTAGCCCAGCAACTATATATTTTAATAAGGGCAACCTGCTTTGAGTTGACTACTTTAGAAGGGAACCCTAAACCCTAAACCCAAAAAAAGGGTAAAGGGTACCACTGGGCTACACAAGACACTGATCGAGCTCCCACATTGCAGGGATCCTTGGAAGGCGTCACTTGTCCTGCATCCTCCAGGGCCGCCAGCTCCATCCGGGCCTCTACCAATTGCTTCAGAACCCCGAGAAAATGTTCAAAAAAATCTTCCTTATTAAGGGCAATATACGGATTATCATTATCATTATCATTATTATTATTATGTATTCTTTTGGGTTAAGCAAATAGTAGGCCTTGGCGACGACCGCAGCGTCGACCGTGTCGTCGAGGACCGTGACCCCTACGCCAAGCCCCAGCCAGTCTTTGTCAGGCACTTGCCTTGCAAGGCAGGGACCCCAAAGTTCCGTGACCTCGGGAGCAACAGCTAGGGTTTAGGGTTTAGGGTTTAGGGTTGAGGGTTTAGGGAGCAACAGCTGCACAAATTGCAGCAAACTATACCACAAAATTAAGAAACGCTCCGCGACGTGACTTCAGTCCGATCCTCTTAGCTCGCAGTTCCAAGCGGCTGTCCCGCGGGAGACTAACTGTTGCGCCCACGAGCAGCCGAAGGCCTCCGGCGGCTTCGTGAATGTGTCCAGAGGGGTAATCACGCGGCTCAGCATCTTCTGCAGGTAACGCTCGAAGAGGTCCAACCTGCAAGGCTGCGCAGCGTACGCTCGTTGCAGCTGTCACGTAGCTGCACTTCTGCAGCTTCCCTTAGGGTTTAGGGTTTAGGGTTTCGACTCTCACACTGGCGCACGCGCTCGAAGTAGCCGGTCTCCACCGAATACTCTTGAGCAAAATCGGTCCTGACAACCGCGCCGACTAGAGCAAGTCAAGGCACAGCTTGCTCTTCAGCTGCTCATCGCTGGCACCATCTGCTTCCTGGAGTTGGGTTTCTAGGGTTTAGGGTTTCGACTCTCACGCTAGCGCACATGCAGGGTTTAGGGTTTATAGGGTTATAGGGTTATAGGGTTATAGGGTTATAGGGTTATAGGGTTTAGGGTTTAGGGTTTAGGGTTTAGGGTTTAGGGTTTAGGGCGCACAGGGGCTGGGAGATGATGGCTTTGGTACAGTGGCTTCGGATACTCAGCATCGTGGCTCCGAGGCTTCTTGAAACTCATCTACTTGGAGGTTCATGGTACTTATTAACCAATAATAACTGTACTTATAACTGTATCAGGGATTAACCAATAATGACTGTACTTATAACTGTGTTCGGGCACTTAAGGAGCTTATAAGTGGGGTATTATAAGCACAGTGGTAATTGGCCAATAAGTACCATGAACCTCCAAGTAGAGGCCGTGCCTCCGCGCGGAGAAGCTTGCCCTCGCCGACGACCGACTCACGACCTTCGAGGCTTTGTGGGAGTTCTTGAATTGTAGTTAGGGTTCAGGGTTCAGGGTTCAGGGTTCAGGGTTCAGGGTTCAGGGTTCAGGGTTTAGGGTTTAGGGTTTAGGGTTTAGGGTTTAGGGTCCAGGGTTCATGGGTTTAGTGTGGCGTAGTCTTGTGCTTGTAACTTGTAACATCTTGTAGCTTGTGTATATGCAGTGTCAGCTGACTGCGTGTGGCCCGTCTTCGAGGCGAGCCACGTTGCTGTAAATGAGTCCGTGTGTTTGAATGTTTGTGTCTTGTGTGTTGTGTTGTGGGTTGTGTGTTGCGTGTTGTGTGTTGCGTGTTGTGTGTTGTGTATTGTGGGTTGTGTTTTGACTGTTGTGTGTTGTGTGTTTTGTGTTTTGTTTGCTGTGTGGTTGTGTGGTTGTGCGTTAAGTGTGTGGTACGTGTGTAAGTTGTGTCTGTGAACTCACGCTTAAGAATTGAGATCTGGAGATGGTCTTTCATGCACGGCAGGGGTTCAAGTTGTGAGACATCCGGAGCAGGCACAGGAGCGAGGCTTCCAACCGAACAGATGGCGATTTCTCTAAACTATGGTCCCTTTTAGGGTTGCTATTATAAGGCGGCCCCATATATCTAGGATTCCCAAAAACGGACCATAATTTTGAGAACTGACCATATGTAGACACCACACGAGAGCAGAGACATGCCAAAAGTAAAGCAATTCCGAAGAGTTGGGCGCCATTTTTCGGCACGGTTGCAACTGCCCAGCAGGCGTGCGTGCGAGATTTCATGCTGTGCTCATCTTGCTTGAGGATACAATTAGAAGAGAGAAAAACACGAATACGGTTTGCCATTCGCGAGGCCCGCCCGCTCAAACGTATGCGATGGCAATAAAAAACACGGACAGGCACGTCTGCTGAAGAGGGTGAGGTGCAACCGATGTACACAAGGGTAAAGCACCGCAGGAATACAAGCGCCTTGATCCCTTCACCCTAAACCGATTGCGATGTATTGTCCGTCCACTTCTCAGCTCAGTACAGGAAGCTTATCCCACAACCCTGCTGAAAAAGACCTCAAAAAGCAATGGTGAACCCTACGTAGGCCTCAACCTAGATGCGTGCATGCACACAGGCTTGTACATACATATGTGATACAGGTACCCTTTATGATAATCCCGATGCAGGACTGGTAGTGTAAGGGGGAACATCCCAGATTACTTCGATGAAGCTGCACACTAACAAGATGTCAAAACTAAGCTGGTGCATTGGTATGTCTCTTACGATGACAACGACTACTTGATACTTACCCTAAGGATCTATGTACCTACATAGTATACACTTATAAGCCCTAAAGCCACTATATAGGAGCCCCCTTTAAGGCCCAAGTTTTTCCACGTAGGTACATGGATCCTAAGGGTTAAGGTGCGAAAGTTCCAGCCTCGGGCCAGGTGATGTTCTGCCAGCTCCTGTGGCAGGCCCTATTAAAAGTGTCACGGGCTATAATATCGTTAAAATGGAGTTTAGGGTTATAAGGGTTGAGGGTTTATACAGAGCTTCGGGGGTGTAGCTTGGAGGGTTTAGAGTTTCGGGCTTAGACTTGTTAGGGCCTGTGTTGAAGGGAATGGGGAGAATCCTTCCAAAACCCTACGTCCTGAAGTGATTGGGTGCTACCACTTACCTCGCGTGCCCATAAGTAATACACAGTAGGCCCAACCTTGGGCCTTCGGGACCTTCTCCTCCGCCTCTTCTTTCGGGGCATGTTTCTTCTGTTCTCTCTGCGTCCTTTGACGTCTTGAAAGCGATCTCGCTCTTCGAGTTGAACCTCCTCCTCTTCTCAGATCCAGGGTTGCCCCTTACACCCCGCGCACAAGCGATCTTTCGATCCCGTTTCAGCCCTAAGCTGATGAGACTCGACTGCAGGTCTCAAACTCCCCCCCCCCCCCCCCCCGCCTCCAGCAAAACACCCTAAACCCTAAACCCTAAACCCCAAACCCTAAACCCAAAAGCTTGCCAAGGACGCGCCTCGGCCCGCTTGTGGAGGCGAGGCACTGCCTTGGCGATCTCCAAGGGGCTGGCTTTGTACCTGGGCTCCGAAAGAGCCCGTCGGAACCCATAGGGTTTAGGGTTTAGGGTTTAGGGCTAGACGGGTTTAGGGCTCCAATTGAAAGGGACCGTCGGAACCCAGAGAGTTTGGGGAACTTTTTGGGGTTTAGGGTTTAGGGCACTTTTTGGGTTTAGGGCTCAGGGAACTTTTCGGGCTTTAGGGTTTAGGGCTGGACGGGTAGGGTCTTCAACCGAAGAAACCTCTAGGAATTGCTAAGGGAAGCCTTCTTTTGCTGACAGAACGGGGCTTCTAAGGGAGTCCCAGCAAAGAGAGCCACTTTTCAATATCAAGTTTGTGGGTGATTCCAAGCCCAAGCCCAAAGTCAGGGATGACTAGGATGGCCCTTAAAACCCTTTGAAAAAATACTCCTCAATATGATCCTCTTAATCCCAAGCCCCTTAATGTTGGACCTGCTTTAATAAGTTACCCCCCCCCTCAACAGTCGCAACCCTGAATAAAAAAAGACCCCAAACAGTCGGGGGGGGGGGGGGTCCCGGAGCCCGGAGGCCTCCCTAAGCTACCCCCGGACCCTGGAAAGGTCGAGGCTTCAGGCTTCAAGTATCCCTTCTTCTCGAGAAAGCTTATGCCTTCCTGAAAACCGAAGGACTGAGCCCCGGGTCCCGGGAGACTTGCATTATAGCGGGCCCCCAAACAAAGGTATTAAAGTGTGTCCGGAGGCCTCCGTAAGGTACCCCCTTTCCGGATATGATTCGCCTATGGAATCATCTAGTTTTAAGTAAGGAATTTATAAAGAAAAGGCGCCCTGAAAAAAGAAGATTGTCGGAGATCCTGGACAGGTCGAGGCTTCAGGCTTCAAGTATCCCTCCTTCTCGAGAAAGCTTATGCCTTCCTGAAAACCGAAGGACTGAACCCCTGGCCCCGGGAGACTTGCATTATAGCGGGCCCCCAAACAAAGGTATTAAAGTGTGTCCGGTGGCCTCCGTAAGGTACCCCCTTTCCGGATATGATTCGCCTATGGAATCATCTAGTTTTAAGTAAGGAACTTATAAAGAAAAGGCGCCCTGAAAAAAGAAGATTGTCGGAGATCCTGGACAGGTCGAGGCTTCAGGCTTCAAGTATCTCTCCTTCTCGAGAAGCTTATGCCTTCCTGACCCTCAAAAAAACAGTCACGGCCCGACAACTTTTCATTATAGCGGACCTCCAAAACAAAGGGTCCAGATCCTGAATAGCCGAAAAACTTTTCATAATAGCGGCCCCCTAGAATATTGCGGGTGCAACATTAAGGGATTAGGTATTGGGGGCCCTCATTCCCTACTAAGAACCAGCCAGGAAAACCTTGTTCGCGCAACCCTAGGCCCTTGTCTCAGCCCGTGGTGCGGCAGCAGCAAGGCCTCGGCAAGCGGCCCACGAACGTCCAGTGGCGCCTGTTCAAGAAGTTCTGTTGGGGGCGCGATCAAGGCCTTAATTAATGTAGATTAGCGTGCATACCTGGCCGGCATTCTTCTCGCAACCTGGCCAGGAACACGCCTGCCAGATCCTGCCATAAACTTCGCTGGTGGGATTGCCGAATTCCCTATGCGCGTCGCTCGAACATTCAAGCCCTGAACTTACAACCAAAATCCCAAGCGCTCGACTCACAAGAGTCCTTCCAAGGACTTCCACCCTAACCCCAAACCCTGAAAACCCTCAACCCGCCCAATGCCGACCCCTGCCCTCCCCACCCCCACCCCCACCCCCACCACCCCTAAACCCTAAACCCTAAACCCTAGACCCTAAACCCTAAACCCTAAACCCTAAACCCTAAACCCTAAACCCTAAACCCCAAACCCTAAACCCTAAGCTCCGCCCGCCCGCCTTGGAAATCTGACTCTCCAGCTGCATCAAGCCATCCTCCGCCTTCCTTTGAAGGCTCCGGAAGATTCAGGGACTAGAGGATGCAGGGGTGATATGTATATATATATACATATAATTATATAAATATATATATATATATATAAAGATATATATATACACATATATATCTATATATGATTTTAGTTTACTGTTTATGCCACGTTAAATTATATACTATATTATAAGATATTTTTATTAGATTATGTGTATATATATATATTATTTTGTTTTATTGTTTATGCCATATTATATACTAAATTATATTATATTATATTGGATTAGATTATATTATATTGTACTGTATCTATAATCGCATATACACACGTATACATATATGTATGTATAAATTTGAATTAGTAAATAAACAAATAAACAAATAAATATTCTAGACCTACATATATATATATATATTTATTTATTTATTTACACCGCCCGCCGAAATTTTCGCAGACTAAACATTGGCGTCCTTGGAGCCACTGAAGGTTGAAGCACTTAGAGCGCCAAGGCTCTGACGTCTTGAAGGCTTCTGGCAGAACTGCATTCAGTCGATCCTTCCCCTACAGAAATCCCTTTTTCAAGTACGGGCTTGCGGTGCATGAAAGGCAGAGCCTCCCCTAAACCCTAAACCTCGCTGAGAAGGAAGAAGAAGACCACAAGGCTCCCCTAAACCCTAAACCCTAAAAACCCACTATGCGCCTTTTTTACAAACCCAGGCTCAACGACCACCCTCTTGCCTAAAGCCCTAGGGCTGGTACCGAGGCGCTTAATGGTGGAAGTGATGTCCTCCTCCTCGCGGGGAAGGCACCTGACGGCCACACTTTTCGTTGAAGAGGGGCGGGCGCGCTAGTTAGGGTTTAGGGTTTAGGGTTTAGGGTTCAGGGTTCAGGGTTTAGGGTTTAGGGTTTAGGACTTAGGCTTCGGGATTTTGGGTTTAGGGTGCGTTCTTTACACACCATCATTTTCTAATGCTGCCCAAGCCCTGCAGTGATTCAGTTTCTCTTTGGGGAGGGAGAGGCTTTTGCTTAAAAATTTAAAGCTTGGGGTGTTCCCAATTATGCTTGCAGTGCTTAATAGGAATTGTAGTAGGGGTACTATAAACCCTGTTAAGGACTGTTAGTATAAGGGCGGAACATCCCAACCCTGAACCCTAACCCTAAACCCTAGACCCTAGACCCTAACCCTAAGGGTGGAACATCCCAATTTAAAGCTGTTTCAAGAGGGCACGCTCTTCCTAAGCTCGCAGGGCGCTCCTCCGAATCCAGGGCCTTCGCATCCTTTTAAGGGTTTAGGGTTTAAGGTTTAAGGTTTAGGGTACAAAATCAAGATTTCTCAAGCATACTGGTAGGTTCGTGGGTAACCCTAAACCCTAAACCCTAAACCCTAAGCCCTAAACCCTAAACCCTAGACCCTAAACCCCATCTTGGGGTTGCACAAGACTCGACTGCTGCTCTTATCTCCCCCAAGATGGTAATCCTTTGGGATGTTCCCCCTGAAACTCCCAGTCCTTAGTAGGGATTGCAGTATCCCATTATTCTCATCATCTATGAAGGACCTGTTCGTATCAAGGGGGAACACCTAAACCCTAAACCCTAAACCCTAAACCCTAAACCCTCAACCCTAAATCCTTTAGTACAGGGTCCCCTTGACCTTGGGGAAGCCCTCAGCTGAGCTGAGGGAGCTCGGCCAAGGCGCAGCATCTCGCGCAGATCCCCTGCCAAAGTCTTTACCTGCTGCTTGGGTTTAGGGTTTAGGGTTTAGGGTTTAGGGTTTAGGGTTTAGGGTTTAGGGTTTAGGGTTTAGGGTTTAGGCTTTAGGGTTTAGGGTTTAGGGTTTAGGGTTTAGGGTTAGGGTTTTAGAGTTTGGGGTTTAGGGTTTAGGGTTTGGGTTTAGGATTTAGGGGTCGGTCAGGGTTGATCGCGATATGGGGGTTTCCGAAACAAGGTTTAACGGTTTACCCTAGACTCTAAACCCTAAACCTAAACCCCAATAAGGTACTCCTAGTTTGTCAGGGGTGCGGTGGCCACCCCGGCAAAACAAAATTGCGATGGACTATCTTCATGCATTTGCATGTCAATGTTGCTAGCTAAGTATACAAACAAGAAAGAGAGAGAGAGAGAGAGAGAGGGAGAGAGGGAGAAAGATAGAAAGACAGAAAGAAAGAACGAAAGAACGAACGAACGAACGAAATAAAAACCAATATAAATAAATGAGTAAATAAATAATTAATAAATGAATGAAAAAACACATAAATAAATACAAAGAGAGATAACAAAACACGCACACACACACATAGCCAACTTGTATAGCACTTGCAGCTGGGCACATTTATCATGAGGCCCCGAATCATCGGGCGTCTTGCACATGGATGGGCCGTCCTTCTGCCTAAGGCTGGCCTCGGGGTTCCACGTCGAGATCAGCCGAATGGCAAGCTTCCTGCGACGAGCAAAACTTCAACTGCGGCTTTATTTCGTCGGGCAAGGCCGGAAAAACATGTGTAAGCAGATCTTGCCAACACAATAGAGCTAAGCAGGGCAAGTGTTTGTCCAGCCTGCATACGAAAACGCCGCTGCATAACGGATCTGATTACAGGCCCCTAAACTCTAAACCCTAAACCCTAAACCCTAAACCCCTAAACTCTCTCTTTCATATAATAATTTAAACCTTAATGGGGAACGTGGCCATTGGCAAAAAAACCGTGGCCATTGGCAAAAAAGCCGTGGCCATTGGCAAAAAAGCCGTGGCCATTGGCAAATTCGCCAATGGCCACGGGAAAGTTGCCAATGGCCACGGCTTTTTTGCCAATGGCCGCCAATGTCATTAAGGTTGGTCGCCAAAATGGGTTTTTCAAACCCAATTCGCACAAAATGCCCCCCAACCTTAATGGGGAACGTGGCCATTGGCAAAAAAGCCGTGGCCATTGGCAAGTGGCATTTGCCAATGGCCACGGGAAAGTTGCCAATGGCCACTTGCCAATGGCCACGGGAAAGTTGCCAATGGCCACGGCTTTTTTGCCAATGGCCACGGCTTTTTTTTGCCAATGGCCACGGCTTTTTTGCCAATGGCCACGGCTTTTTCCCACCCCACCCCCCCCACCCCCCCCCCCCCCCCCCCACCACCCCACCCCCCCCACCCCCCCCCACCCCCCCCCCCACCCCCCCCACCCCCCCCCCCCCCCCCCCCCCCACCCCACCCACCCACCCCCCCCACCCCCCCCCCTCCCCCCCAACCCCCCCACCCCCCCCCACCCCCCAACACGGCAGCCCCTTCTTAGTCTTTCTCATCTTGGGTGGTCCGAGGGTGGGGTGGGGAAAAGCAACTTCGGGACCCCCATTCTGGGGTTGGAAACCTGGATGAGGGCTTCGCAACCCCCCCCCACCCCCCCCCACCCCCCCACCCCGAGAACGAATGCAAGCAGAATGAAGACGAGCAGAGAAATACGAGCAGAGAGAGAACGACTTCAAGGGCTCCAAGAGGGCGGTTGGGAAGGCGGGTTTCCAGCCCTAAAAACTCCAAGACCATGATTCCCAACCCCCCCTTCAAGAGAGGGGGGTTGGGAAGGCGGGTTTCCAGCCCAAAACACTCCAAGACCATGATTCCCAACCCCCCCTTCAAGGGCTCCAGAGAGGGGGGTTGGGAAGGCGGGTTTCCAGCCCAAAACACTCCAAGACCATGATTCCCAACCCCCCCTTCAAAGGCTCCAGAGAGGGGGGTTGGGAAGGCGGGTTTCCAGCCCAAAACACTCCAAGACCATGATTCCCAAACCCCCCTTCAAGGGCTCCGAATACGGGTAGTTGGTTCTAGGGTGGGTTGGGGATTGGCTCGAACTGGAATGGTTCGAGGGTGGGGTGGGGGAAAACAAAACATGAGGTTAACAAAATTAGGGTTTTTTTGTCAATCCGGACCAACACTTTTGGTTCTACCTTCGGTCTGGGGAAAGCAAGCGCGAAGACAAGGGACATGCGACAAAGCCGACGAGCACGAAGGGAGGGGACATACGACAAACCCTAAGGGCGCGAAGGGAAGGGACATGCGACGAATCTGTAGACCTTTCATCAAACCATACGAGCACGAAGGGAGGGGACATACGACAAACCCTCCGAGCACGAAGGGAGGCATACGACAAACCCTAAGAGCACGAAGGGAGAGGGCGTACGACAAACCTGTAGACCTCTCGTCAAACCCTACGAGCACGAAAGGAGGGGACATACGACAAACCTCGAAAATAAACCCGTACATTTCTCAATGTTTTGGGATTCTCTGCAAGCGGACAAAGAGGGACATACGACAAAGCCGACGAGCACGAAGGGAGGGGACATACGACAAACCCTAAGAACACGAAGGGAGGGGACGTACGACAAACCTGTAGACCTCTCATCAAACCCTACGAGCACGAAGGGAGGGGACATACGACAAACCCTACGAGCACGAAGGGAGGGGACATACGACAAACCTCTGAAAATAGAATCTCAGTTTCTGAATTCTTGGGATTCTTTGCAAGCAGACGAAGAGGGACACACGACAAAGCCGACGAGCACGAAGGGAGGCGACATACGACAAACTCTAACAGCACGAAAGGAGGGGACGTGCGACAAACCTGTAGACTTCTCATCAAACCCTACGAGCATGAAGGGAGGGACAAACCTTACGAGCACGAAGAGAGGGGACATACGACAAACCTCTAGCCCTCTCATCAAACCCTACGAGCAGGAGCCAACATGAGGCGAGGTCACCGGGGCACTAATTGGAAAGAAACCATGTGGAAGCCAGGCAGCTTAAAGTGTGCCAAACACAACCAACAAGACGGCCAAAAATAGGCAGGGTCACCGGGGAAAACGAGCAAAGTGAGTATGAGCAGAAAGAGAACGAATACGAGTAGACTGACGTCGAGCAGAGAGAGAACGAATACGAGCAGAATGAATACGAGCAGAAAGAGAACGAGTACGAGCAGACTCAGTACGAGCAGAAAGACCGCGAAAACGAGCGGACTGAAATCGAGCAGAGAGAGAGAACGAACGCGCGCAGAAAGAGCACGAACACGAGCAGAAAGAGAACGAACACGAGCAAAATGAATATGAGCAGAAAGAGAACGAATACGAGCAGAATGATTATGAGCAGAGAGAGAACGAAGACGAGCAGACTGAAATCGAGCAGAGAGAGAGAGAACGAATACGAACAGAATGAATACGAGAAGAAAAACAACGAAAACGAGCGGACTGAAATCGAGCAGAGAGAGAACGAATGCGAGCAGAATGAATACGAGCAGAACGAGAACGAACACGAGACGAGCAGATCAGAAAAAGAACGAATACGAGCAGAATGAATACGAGCAGAAAGAAACGCATACGAGCAGAATGGAAACCAAGCAGAATGACAAAGAACACGAGCAGAATGAATAAATGAGGTTGGAGGACAGGGCTTGCTGAGGAAAATGTGTACTTTATATTTCTTAATGTTTTGGGATTCTCTGGGTGGGTGGGTTTTTTTCTAGAGTCCAGACAGCGGCTCTACTAGAGATTGCTCGACCCAGAGCTGCTGAACCCTAAACCCCTAAACCCTAAACCCTAAACCCTAAACCCCAAACCCTAAACCCTAAACCCTAAACCCTAAACCGCCCCGGGGGTCATGAGGATCACACCGCGCTGGCCGCGTGGCAGGCCGAAACGCTCGAAGACCGGAGCCTGGAGGCTCGGGAATTTAAAGCGCCTTTGCAGTTAGTTAGGGTTTAGGGTTTAGGGTTTAGGGTTTAGGGTTTAGGGTTTAGGGTTTAGGGTTTAGGGTTTAGGGTTTAGGGTTTAGGGCTTAGGGTTTTTGTTACACTTCTCTAGGCTTTGTGGTGCACCTTCTCGATTTGTGCGGTTTAAGGTGTAGGCTTTAGGGCTTGGGTTCAGGGTAAATCGGGCTTTGACAAATAGATAGCAGGGCTTAGACGGCGGGAGGGGGGGGGACTTCATAATTGCAGTTTTTTTTCTGAGACCCTCCTTTTGCTGCAGCTTTTTCAAGGCATCCTGCTGCCTTGGACCCGACCCAAACAGTCATCACCCTCACAACCCTAGAAGACCCTCAATCCCCAAATCCCACAAGCCCCAAAAACTGTTGCCAACCTGCACTTCCTGCCGGGTGGAGGGGAGGCGAGTCATCACAAAGACGCACCCACCACGAATATTCCTGAGAAACCCATTCTGCAGAAAACCAAAAAGACTTCCACCGTAATCCTAAATCCTAAGCCCCCCCAAAAAAAAACGGCCCCTGCAAACCCTAGGCCCTAAACCCTACCAGCCCCCAAGCTCCCCCCAAGCCTGCACTGCGGCGGCCAGCGGGCCCAGGCCGGTGAGGAACTTCAGCCTCCGCTCTACTTAATCCCTGTTCCCCTAGGAAGAAAAAAGGATCCTTTTTGTTTATATATAAGAAAGCCCATAACCCAAAAAGAAAAAGGATCCCTACCACTGATTTAGTAGTCTAAGGCTGGCCCAGGGGCTCTCTTCGCCAGGCTTTCACTGCACTTGGTTCTGACAAGTCAGGGTTTCGACTCGGGTTTAGGGTTTCGGGTTGATAGTGCGTAGGGCGCCTAGGGCGCAACGATGCTCTCTTCGGTTGCCCACTAGAAGCGCAGTTTCGCTTGTCTTTTTTTGCGGGGCTTGCTGAGGGAGATGCATCCTTGAAAATGAAAAACGCTGGACATCCGTGACCATTTGAGGGCTTCGGGGTGTTCGGGGCTTCATAGGGGTTTGGGACTAAAGCACGGCCCCTGGATCTAAGCTTATCTGCAATAGGTGGGAGCGGGCTGCCGGTCTCAGGCTTTGGGGAGGGGATTCTAACTTGGTTTCTTTCAGCATAACTCTAAACCCTAAACGCACTAGCCTGGGCCTTAAGAGAGCTGTCTTTGGAACGCAAGGTTGGCCGGCCTCAAGCAATTTGCTTAAGACGCCCCCCCACCGCCCCGCCGAAAAAGACAAACAGAGACCAAAAAAACACAAAGTCCTATTTTTTGCCCTTATATGGAATAATATGTTGTTTTATGTTTGTTGACTTGGGGGGTTCTTGAGCGAATAGTAGGCAAGCTAAGGTCCTCTCAACCGCAGCGATGCGTCCCTAGACCGCAAGCATGAAACCGAAAGATCTTGGGACCGGGAGGCGGCCTTCCACCGGTCGACACGCAAAGCTAGCCAATTTGATTTAATTTATTTAGTTTGCTTTAACTTAGTTTATTTACATTATTGAATTTATTTCGATCGTGTTAGTGTACTTAGTTTATTTAATGAGCCACTCGCTGTTTCTGGGCTTAGGGTTCAGGGTTTAGGGAGCTGACGCCTCGTGTGTCACTCCCGAATCGTCCTTTTGAGGTTTAGGGGTGCCAACCTCCCCCTCAACCCTAAACCCTAAACCCTAAACCCTGAGCCCTAAGCCCTAAGCCCTAAACCCTAAACCCTACACCCAAACGAACCTTCCAAACCTTTCGAGAGCCCAAGGAGCTCGTCGGCGACTTCGGCCCGGAGCCTGGCAGGAACCACGGAAACATGATGTAATCTATCTATCTATCTCTATTTCTATTATCTCTCTCTATAAGTAAATAAATAAACCAAAAAAAAAATATATATATATATATGTATCTATACACCGTGACCGTACATTCAAACTGCATACATATATGTATCTCTCTCTGCCGCTGCATCCCAAAGGTCATATGTATATGCACCTTGAGTTATTTATTTACTGACTTTTCAATTATGCACTTGTTTGACTCATAGTCATAGACGCACGAACTTCAGTCACCCCTATCCCCTAGCCTGGACGGCGTTCTTCGGTTCTTGAAAGGACTGCGGTTTTCACAATTTTTGGGACGTCCTCTGCGTCCGCCATGGTTCTTGTGGCCCCTGCTGATGCTGATGGCTTGTGGCTTTCAGTTCAGGGTCCTTCTGAGGCTCAGGCCGCAGGCTCTTCTATAGAGAGAGAGAGAGAGAGAGAGAGAGAGAGAGAGAGAGAGAGAGAGAGAGAGAGAGAGACAAAAAAAGAGAGAGACAGAGGGAGAGAAAAGAGATACCGGGTGGCTTTGATTGTTGGAAATGCAAAAAGTGTCTTACATCACTGCTGGGGATGCCGACAGGTGGCTTGCGGATGCTCCCCTGGAACACGGGCTCGGCATAGGCCGCCTTGACATCAAAGGAAGCTGTGAATTGTGCCACTGGTGTCTCAAACCCTACTTAATTGACCCCGCCGACTTATCGACTTATAAGTATGTGATATGTATCGATTAAGTATCGATTAAGTTGTTTATCTTGGAGTTAAGTTTGTTTTATATAATTAAGTTCCAGATAAGTTCGACATTTTTTTGCTTGACATATCTCGGACTTAGGAACTTATGCGTGTTATGTCAAAAAACTTATATCGAACTTATCTCCACTTAGCTGTTTTACATTTTGGGATGTTTTTCACTGGTTCGCGCATGCATTTCAGCTAAAATTGAAGACATCGGTCTTGCAGCCCCTGCAACAGATATTCTATAGTTGCCTGGCAGCGTTGAAGCCTCCCCGGCCACCTCGGGACACTTGGGCGCCTTGTCCGCCAGGTGTCCGCCAGGTGTCCGCCAGTGTCCGCGACAATTTAGGTCAAGCCCTGGCTCGCGGACGTCCACTTCCGCGGAAATGATGTCCGCCTGCATGGGCTCATATAAGCCCGGACCCCGCGCCACTACCATCGGGCGTCGTCTGCTGTCCGCGGGTGTCCGCGAGCCGGTCCGCAAAAGTGCCAATGTCCGCGGAGTTGGCCTGCTTTTCCCTTGTTTTCGCACGTTTTGCCTTGCCATGCTTGCAAGAAGCAAAAGGTCTCTCTGCATCTCTAGGCATAGTCTTCTGCCATGCCTTAAGCCATGCGCCTTTTTTGTTTCGAAACAAAGGTGCTGTTCATGAAATGATAAAAAAGCAAGCCTTCGAACTTGTACGCAACTTATCTCCTACTTAAAACGTATGTAAGATAAGTCCAGCATAAGTTCAAATTAAGTTCATATGTACCACGGCGCCAATATAGTAAACCCTAAACCCTAAACCCTTTTAAGCACGGACTGAGGCTGCCGGCCTAAACCCTAAACCCTAAACCCTAAACCCTAAACCCTACTAAACGTTCAGACATGCCTCGGCAGGCCCAATCCCGCTATGGGCTTCTTCAAAATACTGGACACACAAGGCGAAACCGCTTGATGACCTGTGCCTTCTCATGGCCATGCTGCAACCATGAGCTGAGACCTACAAACCCCCCCAACATCCCCAAAATCGCAACAGCTCCTTGGGATGCTCCTCCTTATTGCTGATGGTCCTTAATCGGGACTCTATAGCACCCCCCCCCCCCATTACATTCCCTATTAAGGACTGCTAGTATACCTGGGATTATTTCAAGTGACTCCCAACATGTTTCCCCTAAACCCTAAACCCTAAACCCTAAACCCTAAACCCTAAACCCTAAACCCTAAACCCTAAACCAGCCAAAAGAAAAAACAACGGCTGCCTTCAGGGCCCCAAGCAAGGCCAGACCATCCTGGCTCAGCGAGGCCTGCGCCGGGATAAGGCAGCGTTTAAGGGTTAGGGTTTAGGGTTTAGGGTTTAGGGTTTAGGGTTTAGGGTTTGTCTTGCTACAGTTCTTGCCACCTCTTGCAGCAAACAGGGACTATGGTCCCTTATGTAACCTGAAATACCCCTTGGACGGACGTCGTATGGCGCCAACGTGTGCAACCTCTGTTGCCTTTCGTCTCAGTTCGCAGACAGCCAATGCCATGTTGCCCATCTGGCGATTGCATGGAGAACTGCGCAGTCGCAAAGAATTAAGAGGCAGAGACATAGAGGGCAGATGCATGGAGTGAGAATCAACAAAATGAAAATTCCGTGGGCTGCTGTATCATTGAGTTTGTGCACCGTGTCAAGTGTGCTTGTGTTTCTGAAGGGAAGATGAATAAACATGTTTAACCAAACAACAACCGAATGATGTAACAACGTGTGCATTGCTGAACCAGTATTGAGCAACTCTATTGCCAGAAGCATTCGCTATTGACACTTGAGTCTCTTGTGCTGCCCTAGAAACAATGCAAGGTTCCAGCAACGGCTGCCGAAAGCTTCGGGAACTTGCAGCCAGTGGGGAGGCTGCTTTCGTGCATCACGCTATCAGCAAAGTGAGAGGCCGCCTTTACGGGTGTCAAACAACTGTAAAGTAGCTTTCACGTGTGGTACTATTCCTCGTCGTGCATCTGACAGGGCATGTTGAAACGGATTTGCTCCGCGGGACCGTGGAAACTCGTAGTACCAACGGCGACCCCGTTTATGTTTTATCGAGCACACCAGGCCCACCAACTTGCGTTGTTGTACTTCTGTACAAACCCTAACCCTAAAACTTCTTGCAGTAGCCGAGTCTTAGCCCTCGAGCATTCTTTCATGAACGAGGCAGACGTTCCCCCGAAAACTAACAGTCCTTAATTGGGATTATAATAGGGGGGGGTACTAGAATTAAGCTATTAAGGACTGCTAATGTAAGGCGGAACATCCCAACTTTCGAGAGACGGCCCGAGCGATTCGCTTCACACAGCTCCCCGACGCACCTGGTTCGACTCGTCGCCACCCCGCGCGCTTGCCGCGACGGCCTCCAAACCCCAAACCCTAAACCCCAAACGTCGGAGCCCGGACCCCTTGACCTCCAAACCCCGAGCCCCAAGCCCGAAGCCCTACTTGGAGGTTCCCGGGTATAGTTAAAAGTCGGGTTAGAAGTACCCTAAATGGGGTTATAAGTCTTTAGAAGCCCTGCTGATAATTACCCATGAAGCGCCAAGTACCCTAAACCCTAAACCCTAAACCCCAAACCCCAAACCCTAAACCCTATCAGAGGCACCATAGGGGGCCTCATTGAGCCGCTTCCCCAAGGAAGCCTCGTCGCCGGCCGCGTTGTAGCCATGGCCGTGGGAAGGCATCGTGCAAAGGGCCGCGAACGGGTTTGGGAGTTTAGGGTTTAGGGCTAGGGTTTAGGAGTTTAGGGTTTAGGGCTAGGGTTTAGGAGTTTAGGGTTTAGGGCTAGGGTTTAGGGTTTAGGAGTTTAGGGTTTAGGATTCAGGTTTCGACTTGGTCCACTTCTTCGATTTGTGCATGTGGGGTTTCGGGTTTCGGGTTCGCCATGTCTTGAAAGATGCTGTTGAGCAAAAAGCTTCATGGTCAGCCTTTCGATTTTGTAGGGCTCGAGATTTGAGATGCCTTAGGTCCTTGACGAGATTTCGCTTTGGCTTCCTTGGGGATGCCATATGGACAGCGAAATACAAGTTGTTCGGTGCGGAGGCTCCCCGAACGTAAGGCTCAGAACGGGGAGAACATGATCTGACCTAGGGCTTGGGGTTTAGGGTTTAGGGTTTAGGGTTTAGGGTTTAGGGTTTAGGGTTTAGGGTTCAGGGGGCCGGCGTAGGCTCGTGCGCAAAGCTGGCTTGGCCGAGGCGGGTTACTTGCGGATGTTGCTGCTGCAGCTCATGACTCATGAGAGAGTGGGTAGGTCCTGAGGCTTCGAAAGCTTCGGAAGTCGGCTTTAGGATCTGCAGCTTACGGTTTCAGGGGGTTCACTTCGGGTTTATGGTCTTCCCAGCTACCTCCGAGAAGCCGTTGGCTGAAGGAGGCCCGACCCGAATGCTTCCCAAAAACTGTCGAAATCCCACGGAATTCGTTGTTCTTGTGGGAAAGCTTACCTCGGGATGAGTCTACTTGCCAAGTTCTGTTCGCCCGCGATCAGGAGTGACGTGTTGGGTGAGAAGTGCTGTTCAGGGGCCTTTTGCAAAGGGACCGCCATAAACCCTAAACCCTAAACCCTAAACCCTAAACCCTAAAACCCTAAAACCCTAAAACCCTAAACCCTAAACCCTAAACCCTAAACCCTAAACCCGAGCCAAGGTGCCAGGATAAATTCCCAGGGTGGGCCTAGGAGGGAAGTTAAGACACAGCCTGGAGTTTTGATCCTGCTGTGGAAACTCCTGCAGTACTCCAATGCATGCTAACTTGCGTCTGCAATTCTGCATCCACGCCTCGCGCAGGACCGCTGACCCCTGTTATTTTTCTGTGACCCCGAACCTTGCTTGCGGAAACCTGCTTCGCCAAGCACCGGACACCATAGTGAATGGCCCGACTAGGTCCATCCTCGCAGGTGCTGTTGCGGGTGCAGATGTCACTATGGTATACAGCGGCATATCATTGCATGCGAGTAGATATATATACACACATATATATATATATAGATGTAGAAGGCAGAATATTCTGATATTCGAAGCCCTCAAGCTCTAGAAATGATGCCTTCACGGCTGGTACGACGATTGCCAGGCTCATAGCACATTTTCTCCAGCGCCGCCCGTGATTTTGCCTAGCAGGTCTTCGGGGTCTATCGCCGAAGGGGGACGTGGGTTCAGTGCTCTGAGATGGATCACCATCTCACCATCCTCTGGTTCGAGTGCTGCAACTTTCGAGCTCATTCCTGCTGCCTTTGACTTGTTGGTGGAGGAGTTGGACTGTCGCCAGGGTTCGTCTCCAGCTCGCTCCCGACAGGCTCTCTTTGACTGGTGGTACCAGGTACACGATGTCCAGTCCTCAATGGTACCCTGGTGCCTGAGCATCCCTTCACAGATAGCTTCTTGAGCCAGCCAGGGCTTGCTGCTTCATCACAAAGGCCGTGGAGCCAGGTACCGAGATATGCGCGCGCCCGCCCACACCACGTCCGCAGCTGCTTGTAGGCCTGAAAGTGCACTAAAGTCCAGGCTTAGAAGCCCCTAAAGCCCTATAAAGCCAGGCAAAGCCTGCACAGCCACAAGCCTGCCTCGCATGCTGTCTGGCATCGAGACCGCTCGCTTCACGTTGGCCTGCGGGGACCACTTTTCGCAGCATTGCCAGACCAAACTTACATAATGTGCATCGTCTATGTGGAGCAAGCTAATCAAAGAGAATAGCTGCACAGATTTCGAAGGAATGGACCCGCAGATATTTGCGGGCACATAGGAAGAGCCGATGCCCCTCAGTGACGGAGCTCCCCCCCCCTCACTGAAAAGAGAACAAACTGCCTTCCGTCAAGTCGATGACGTCTTCACAAAGGAAAACTGCAAAATCATTCCCAGAGGTTTCTGTACGACAAATCGAAAATCTGGACCAGATGATATAGATCTATTTATTTATTCATATTTACTTATTTATATTTATTTGTTTTTTATATCCCTAAACCCTAAACCCTGAACCCTAACCCAACAGGGCCCACCCAGTGATGCCTGCCCAGGAGCCAGGTGCGGGAGTGGCAAAGGCCGAGGACCAGTGCAGCGGGACCAGGTTGGCCACCGAGCTCGCAGGTCTGCGGTTCTAAGGGTTTAGGGTTTAGGGTTTAGGGTTTAGGGTTGGACAGGGCCTGTTGAGGGAAGGAGGGCTCATGACAGGAGACCTGTGGTGACGTCTGCCAAGACTTACTGCGAAGACCAGGCCGTTGGGTCGGGCACAGCTTCGATTCGCCAGTCTATACATGCTCCGGCCCCTCAGCCCCCTTGGCAGACATCCCAAGCCCTAAGTTCGAAAAAAACGTACACTGCTGAGCCTTGACTCGCAGAAAAAAGGTGCCTGCACGGCTGCTTCGAAGCTGACAGCATCAGGCTGCACCGTGGTCTCCTTTTGTTACGCGCCCTCTTCTGACACTGAGCTAGCGGCTTTAGGGGCTTATAGGATTTGGGAGCTTTGGGGGGGCGCGGGCTTGGGGTTTAAGTGTTGGGACCTAGAATTCAGGGTTCCGGTGCGGGGTCAGGGTTTGTGTCGCAGAGATTAGCTCCCCAACTCCCCAACTCCTAAACCCTAAACGCTCCTGGGCCTCCTAGGACTCTAAGAGCTCAATTTAGGGTGCAGGGTTGAGAGGAAGGGACCCTAAACCCTAAACCCTAAACCCTAAACCCTAAAACCCTAGGCCCGCAGCTGCAACCAAAGGCTAAGAGGGGCTTTGAGGGTTGCGGAGGGGGGTCTAAGAGTCGGGGAGGGAGGGTGGGGGGAAGACGAGCACCGCAGAAGCAAGATACGAAACAGGGAGGCTGCAAAGCCTGACTTGGTTTAGGGTTTAGGGTTTAGGGTTTAGGGTTTAGGGTTTAGGGTTTAGGGTTTAGGAATTCATGTATAGGACCCCAACAGTGTACCGTACCAAAAGGAAACTCCCCAACTGCATGCCGGCATTTGCGCTGAGTTTCATTCGCGCCATGGCACACAGACGTATTCTAAGCTGCACGCGACTTCTGTGCCGATCAGCGCAATCCCGAACCTCGCCTCCATCTCTGCCAAGAGGAGAAGGGATCCCTCCCATCTCCTTGCAGCTTGTATTTCGAAACCCTTACAGATCCATGTACCAAAATAGTACATACTCTGGCCCTTAAAGGCGTTCCTATATAGTAGCTTTAGGGCTTGCAAGTGTATACGATAAAGGTACATGGATCCTTCAGGAAAAAGGTCGAAGCGTATCCCATGTCCGCTTGTCGTCAAAGCCTAAACGCGCATCGCAACCCAAGCCCCAAAACAGAAGAACAGCACAAGAACCCTTCCTAAATCCTAAACCCTAAACCTATTTTGAAAGTGAAGCAGAATGACACCTCTCCCGAAAGAGCCCTAAACCATAAACCCTAAACCCTATAGCCCAATACCCCTCAAATAAGGAATGTGCCTTGAACCACACTAAGGATCCCCATATGATTTCAGGCATATTCCTCCATTAAGGGGGCATGGGGCTCTCTGGGTCCCTGTCACTTCCCTACGACCTCCCTGCATCTGCGTCTCCGGGCAGCACGCCAGGCGCAGTGCGCGGCGTTTTGCAGCATCAGCTCGGGTTCCATGCCTGGGAAATGTCACGACATCCAAGAGATCCAGAAGCAGGGCAGAAGCCCAAAACCCAAAACCCAAAACCCTAAACCCTAAACCCTCAGCGCTTCTCCATCTAGATCCCGCAGGGGCTCTCAGGGCCCTAAACCCAGAAAACCGCAATTATGGGTAGGAGATCCCGGGGTCTTCCAGCAGATGGATGGTTTAGGGTTTAGGGTTTAGGGTTTAGGGTTTAGGGTTTAGGGTTTAGGGTTTAGGGTTTAGGGTTTAGGGTTTAGGGTTTAGGGTTTATGGTTTAGGGTTTAGGGTTGGGTGTTCAGGGTTTCATGGTTTCAGGTTTCAGGGCTGGCCTGCGGAGTCAGCCAGGCTGCGCAGGGCGAGCACGTGCTGCCAGCGGGCTGCCTGCCGGCAACTTCGGTACAAAGCACACCAGTTTTTTCAAGGAAGGCAAAGAGATGTAGGGTCAGTTCTCCAAATGAGGGTCCCTTTTGGGGCTACTATTCTGATGGAAGGCAAAGAGATGTAGGTCTTTTACCTTTAATCATGTAGTTTTGAGCTCCTTGAGGCTGCCAAGTTACCAGCTGGGCATTGAAAATTGTCTGGCCCTCTTGCTGAAAAGTTTCGAGTCCGCCCGAAGTCTTTGGCGACAGGTCATTATGTGTGCAAGCTTTAAATGATAACCCTCACTTGCACAATCCTACGCCATGACATCGGAAAGCACAAATGCTGCAACTACAAGTCTCACCTGACAAGTGCCGCGCAGGGAGCCATTTCGCAAATCGCCAACTGGAGTGTGCACCCCTCGATGACAGCTCCGAAGCTGGCCTGCCGGCAGGCGCCCGCCGCCGCAGCGAACGAGACAGCGTCCCTTTGCAGGCCTATAGACAGGACAGGGAACCCTAAACCCTATAAACCTTCCTTCCTTCGCTGGCTTGCAACTATAAACCCCATAAACCCTTCTAGAAGACAGGGAATGGCAGAAGGAGCTTCAGCCTAAACCTTCTTCCTGCAACAGGCTTCACACCCCAAAACCCCTAAACCCTATAAAACCTCAACTCTCCAATTACCCCACATGGTTGTGCTGTTTCTTTTAAACTACTGTTTGCTTAAGAACTCCCCAAAAAATGAAAATAAAGAAACACGCTATTCCTTTTGAGGGCAATGTAGGGATTATTCTTTTAATTTTTTTGGGATTCTGAAGCAAACAGTAGTACATATGATTCCTTATAAGGGCAATAAAGGGATTTTTATTTTGCATTCTTTTGGGGAGTCTTAAGCAAAAAAAAACCTTTTTGCAACTGGGCTTGAGGACTAGCCAGATTCAACTCCACGGCCGTTCGTGTTCACCCAACTCTGTGCTGGTGCATTACTTGGCCAAAGAATGATCCACTGAAGAATTGTCGAAGTCTGAATTAAGTCGCCGAATCATGTGGTTTTGTCTGCGTTCTTGTTTGAGCCTAAGACGTCGTGCCCGTTCTTGCTCCTTGAGCTCTTCCAAGGTAGCAAAAAAACCCTAAACCCTAAACCCTACACCCTAAACCCTAAACCCTAAACCCTAACCCTAAACCCCGAAAAATGGGGCCGGGGGAAGTGCCCAAAGCGCCTCCCGCGGCCGACGGGCGCAGTAAGGCCAAGGCCTCAAGCCATCGGCCCAACCTTTGGAGTTTAGGGTTTGGGGTTTAGGGTTTGGGGTTTAGGGTTTGGGGTTTAGGGTTTAGGGTTTGGGGTTTCGGGTTTGGGGATTAAGGGGGCTCAGGGGGTTTAGGGGGTTTGGGGTTTGAGTTCCAGGGTCTACTGAGGATGATTTTGGGGAGGCTTGGCCTAAGTGTTAGGGTTTATGGGGCTAAGCTTCGGGCTTGGGTTTATAGGGTATAAGTTTAGGGTTTGGTTTTGGGCTTATAGGGGCTTAAGATGCACGGCGTCAGACACTTGCGAGGGCAAAGATGCACATGGCATGTTCAATGCTGGGATGCGCAGATACTGCTCCGACAAAAAAGAGAGCTGCTGCTCATGATGGGGGACTATGCGCTGTGAAGATCACGACTGCCATCCTTCTGTGGGTGGTCGGTGCCCAACTCTTACACGCTACTGCTAGCGCAGACCCTTCTTATTACTGATAAGCTGCCCTCAAGGAAGCAATCCCTATACATATGCCCATGCCCCCGCCATGGGTACTGGATGCCAAGGTAGCTGACAAGGCAAAGCTGCTACATCTTCCTGAATGGACCACATAGTACTGAGCCGTCAAACCCTCCCACAACAGGGGTAAGTCAAAGTATAAATCGACTTCTCATCGGCTCTTCCAGGCAACTCGGTGCACGCCATCGTTGCGGCGTTGCGCGCGGAGACAATCACTGTCAGCTGCATCGCGAAGGCCTTTCAAAAATCATATTTACGGTTTAGGGTTTAGGGTTTAGGCTTTAGGGTTTAACTGAGTGTGGCGGCGTCGGGGTACAAGACTTTTTGTGCAGCCCGCCAAGCAGAGAACGTTGAGACTCTTTGTGGGGTTCGGGTCTATATGGTCTATAGGGCCTGGGGCCCTACACTGTAGTCCTGAAAACGAGCAGCTGTCTCCATCCCAAAATTCGGGTCCTTGTGAACGTAGGCCATTTGGATTCTAGCGGGGCATAAGGCTGCAGGCGGTTGCAAGCCTCGCTTTTGCAAGGCCCCTGTGAGAACCTCAGCCGGTCCACTTGGTTCAAGGGTCCCCTAAACCCTAAACCCTAATGTGGGACCTGCTTTAATGTGGGGGCCCCCCCCCCCCCCTGAACAGTCGGGGCGTGGATTGGGTCCTGATTACACGGCCCCGGGGGCTTATATGATTTTAATAGGGAGGAGTTTAGATAGATTTAAAAGGGGCAGCAATGCCCGGTTATCTTTTTTAAAGGCGCGCCACGTGGAATTTTCTTGCGGCGCCCGGACGGTTTGACTTTAAAGCGGACCCCTCAAACAGTGAGGGGGTCCTGAATAATTCGGCCAAATTGACTTTAAAGCGAGCCCCCCTAATAAAGCAGGTCCAACATTAAACCCTAAACCCTCTTTTCAGTATAGCATTTAAACCCTATAGTCTTCGTCGGCAATGGTCATTTTCGTGGGCAATGGTCATTTTTCGTGGGCAATGGTCATTTCTTCGCGGGCAATGGCAATTTTCCGTGGGCAATGGTCATTTTTCGCGGGCAATGGTCATTTTTCGTGGGCAATGGTCATTCTTCGTGGTGGGCAATATTCTTTCGTTAAATCCCAAACCCCAAACCTCAGACCCTAAACCCCCCTAAACCCCAAACCCTAAACCCAAACCCTTTTTGCAGCAGGCTTGCGTGAAGCCTCAAACCCTAAACCCTAAACCCCAAATCCCAAACCCCCATTGTTAAGAATACGTAACAACGAGTCCCCGGTCTTGAGGGCAACTCCTGGCCTTCGCCAGGTACTCCAAAGCTTGGCTCCAGTTCAGGGCATACTGGCAGGCACCGATGACCTTGCCGCTTGTTGAGTCTCAGGTTTTAAAAAGACACACACACATACAATATGTATATCTATATTTAAATAAATATATATATATGCACATCTCTCTCTACATATGTGTATGTATGCATATATATATATATATACGGTAGGATATATATATATATATATATATATATATATACATATATACATACATATACAGTGCTGTTGCAAACCCAGAGTCTGAGCTTTGCAACCGTCCGTTGCATCAGGTGTCCCCCAATTCGGGCAAGGGGGCCGAACAATTTTGAAGCTCGGAAGATATGGAGTTCCGACTCCCAGGCTCACGAGTTCAGGGGCCGGTAAGCTTGCCACGAGTATAATTATTATGATTAGTAGTAGTATTATTATTTAGGTTTGTGGGGTACCTGTTATCTTGCTATATTCTTGAATTTTCTTCAGTTCGTAAACAAGTGCGACTGCTTTACATGTCAGAACTATGTCAAGCAAAGCCACCGTCGAGAAGCCAATTGGGTCCGGCTCCTTGATTCCAGCCGGAAATACTGAGCCCAAAACTCCAAACCCTGCTGTAGGACCAGGGTTTAGGGTTTTGGGTTTAGGGTTTAGCCGGAAAATCTGGGGGGTTTCCGAGCATAGGGGTACCCTTTTTTGGGGGTCTCGTTAAGGGATTTCCATTCTAGTTGGGGTAGAAAAGGGGTACCCCTAGTTTTGGGAAATACCCGTTGAGCCCTGAACTCCAAACCCTGCTGTAGGACCACGCCAGCAGTGCAGAATCACAACGACATGGCTGTAGTCTTCGGATGGAGCTTAGCATAATGCTAAACCCTAAACCCTAAACCCTAAACCCTAAACCCTAAACCCTAAACCGAGCATTAAAAAACAAGGCGAGGCGCAAGGCGGGCGTTCTTCGCAGCCTCGAAGCCGGCGAGGAAAAACCTGCTGACAGCATCCCTACAAAGAAGGGGCCCCCTTAGTTATAAGTAGAGTTATAAGAACCCTAAATTGGGTTATAAGGATCATAAATTACGTTATCAGCCCCTTAACTACAGTTAGTATAGTAAGGGGGCCCCTCCTTGTAGAAACCCTTTGTGCAACTGGACTTGTGAACGACTGCCTATAAGTCCTATAAACCATCTAAGCCCTGTAAACCCTACAAAGCCCTATAACGCCTGCAGTATAAACCCCACGGTATAAACCCTCTAACCCCGAACCCTATAACCCCACAACCCTTCACCCTTTTTGTTTATAACCCTATAAGCCCTAAACCCCAAGCCCCAAACCCTACACCCTGTTTGAACCTGGAAGCTGCTTCATGCCCTGAAACCCTAAACCCTAAACCCTAATTAAACCCTAAACCCTAAACCCTAAACCCTAAACCCTAAACCCTAAACCCACTGTTTGACTCTGAGTCCGTGCCTGAGGGCAAGCCGCCACTTGAGGCCTGGAGCGGAGTTCGGGTCCCGAGCAGCGCTTGGAGTTGCGAGGGTAACAGAACGTTTAGGGTTTCTAGGGTTTAGGGTTTAGGGTTTAGGGTTTAGGGTTTAGGGCTAGGCATGTTGAGAAATCTTCGCATTCTGATCTCCAAGCCCGGGACGTCTTGATGTTTCTCTTGCGGGGGTGTTGCGGTATGTCGCCGCATGCACCGCCTGCCCCTGAGCCCTGCAAATCAAATCTTGAGCCTTTCAACCGGCTCCATCCCTGCTGACCAAGGCGCGACGACTGCAAAAAAGAGCCCCTTAAATAAGGAATGTACCTCAAATCAAATAGGGATCCGTAATATGATTCACGGTATATTCCTTAGTTAAGGGGTCTTGGGCTCCTTTGGGTCTGAAATCCTAAACCCTAAACCCTAAGCTTAAACCCCAAACCCCAAACCCCGCATGAAGCTGGAATCCAGCCTGAGCTTGCCGCACTCGCTGCCGAATTGAACCTGGCGCCGAAGGGTTAAGGTCTGAAGTCGGTCTCTTACCTATTAGGGTTTATAGGGTTTAGGGTTTAAGGCTTAGGGCTTAGGGCTACCTATTTGCTGTTAAGAACCCCACCCCCCCTCCCCCCACTCCCCCAAAAAAAGAAGAGACAATGCTCCCTATATTCCCCCTTATAAAGGAAGTTTAAGAACACGCCCAAACAAGAAGAGGCAACAATCCCTATATTCCCCCGTATAAAGGAAGAATATTGTTGAACTTCCAGAGAACAAGACGAACGGAACTCGCCACGCATCGTTTCTGCCCCTTTGACGAGTTCACAAAAGCAACTCTTAGCATCGCAACCACGCCCAGAAAGTCTTAACCTGAATGCAACAAAAAGCGGGAAATAAAAAAACAAAAAAAGGCAGCATCCCGGGTAACCACCGTCGAGCACCAGGTAGCCCAGTAACCATCTTATATTAAGGGCACCCTTTTTTGGGGTTGTGAATTTCATAAGGGAAACCAGAAACCAAAAGAAGGGTAAAGGGTACCACTGGGCTAGTGCCCCTAAACCCTAAACCCAAAACCCAAAACCCTAAAGCAACAAGAGTCGGCAGCCAGGGCACGTAATTGCCGAGGGGGCAGCCCCTTCGGAGAGTGAAGCCATCATGGAGGCAGCTGAAGCCCACTCCCCTCCTGCAAACGGTTTAGGGTTTAGGGTTTAGGGTTTAGGGTTTAGGCGCGTGAATTTTGAGGTAGGAAAACGGTAGGCTCGGCACGCACCGGAAAGGGCGTATTGGTCTAAACAAGATTTCAATGATAACGATGCAGGGTGGGCAGTGATCAGGGCAAAGGGTCCTGCTGTTGCCCTGCTCTTGCACTGTACAAACCGACTTTTGCAGGAGGCGCGCGACACAGATATTAAGATGCCTCCTGCCCTCTTGCAACCAGAAGAATGCTCACTTTAAGCCTGCTGGTGTGGTTGGTCCCTGCTGCTGCCCGCACGCATTTCTCTGCGCTCTGAGCGCGTGCGTGCGTGCCTGCGTGAGTCCAGCCGATCTCCATGGCATCTGTAGGTCCAATAGTCTTTCAAGACAGTCCAGGTACAACACGGCAAACCCTGCAAGGAGCGACGGCAAGGGCCAGCTTCTTTAACTTCCAGAGCTTCTCTGCTGTACTTCGTTCTAGCCCTAAACCCTAAATACCCTAAACCCCTAAACCTGATTGCAGGGTCAGCTCACAGTTGCTGGCTGGTCAGCTCAAACAAGGCAGCGGCTCGAACTCAACTATGGGTTCCTTGGGTGCCACATGAACCCTAAAATTGGGGTCATATACCCTATACTATACCATAGCTCCTATTGAGGCATATGAACCATAAACCCTTTTAGAATTCAGAATTGGCCCCCAAGGTTTGCACTAGGGGATTCACGATGAATGCAGGAGCGGACAGTTGACCCCTCTCCTGCTTCAGCAGCAGTGATCGCCGCGTTGTAGCTGATCCTCAGCTCGCAAGGGCTCTAGCCCTTGTAATCTTGACAGGGTTTAGGGTTTAGGGTTTTAGGGTTTCACGTTGGCAGATCTTCCCTCTGAATCCCTCTAAGACGCCTGGTGCATCGATACATAGTCTGATACTGAAAGGAAGATGATGATGCCGCTATTCGGCAACAGGAGCCTTCGCAAAAAGGCATCGGGATGTTTTAATGGCTCAGTGATGCTCTTGGTCCGGAAGCCCCGGACCTGCGCATGACACCCGCAAGATCTTCAAGCACTAAGCCCCACAAAAGAGGGTTATAAGTACAGGTACAATTGGCTCGTAAGTACGTACCATGAACCTCCAAGCAAGCCCCACACACTAACCTCAACCCTAAGTCTCAGCGCGCCTGGTCGAGCAGTCTGAATGTTGCAACCCTAAACCCTAAACCCTAAACCCTAAACCCTAAACCCTAGACCCTAGACCCTAAACCCTATAAACCCTAACTGACAAACAAACTGCAGCTTGAGCTCACGTCTGGCTGGAGCGTGGCTTGGCGCATGCGGCGCACCTGGGCTTAGGGAGCTGCCCTCTCCCAACGCAAGCACACTAACCCCTCATATACCCTCTGCTAGGGTACTACTACTATAATTCCTACAAGTGCTATGGTACTATGTGAACCATAAACCCTTCAGGGTTCATTTGGGTAGTTTCCTATTAAGTACTTTTAGGGTTCATAACTATAATTCCTATTAAGGTAATATGAACCATAAAGCCTTTTAGGGTTCGTAGTCATAGTCCCCAAGCTTGAGGGCCGAAGCCTGGGCCATCGCCTTGGGCCAGCCAGCGCCGCCAGCGCCACGAATCCTCGGCTCAGATTTTGGGCGGATTTTTCAGACCAAGGATAAGGAAGGGCGATTTCTCTCCCCTAGAATCGCATAAAGAAGCCCTGTGATCTTGATGCTGATTCTTGTTCAAGCCGGGGGTGATTCGCCACTACCGGCGCTCGCGCGAAGAACTGTGGAAGACCGAGGTTCAGAATGTTGCGGCCGATGAGGTCCAGCTCCAAGCCAGCATGTAGCAGAGACGATCCTTCAAACATGTGTCTGCAAACAGCCCCATGTCATGTCCATGGTCGATGTTCAGCCTGCCAGGTAGCACTCCACAGCAAGATGATGTGTCAATTTCAGAACTTTGTGACAGCCTTGTTGAAACCCGAAATGCTCTAGGTCTAATTAGGGCTTCGGGGGTTGCAGGAACGCCTTACATCGCGAAGCTGAAGCCCGAAAACTGCTGCCTGTTGCGAGAGCGAAGCTCCAAGTCGTAGCATCCGTAGCGGCGCTGAGCACGGCGTTGCCCGCGGCCACATCGCACTGAACTGAAAAGCGGCGCCTGAGACCCGTGTGAAAGCCATAGTCTGCCTAAGAGCATGCAGGCTCCAACAATCCAGTCCCTCTCAACAGGCTTGGGCTAACTTGGCGTGAGATGTGTGACGTGGTGCTGTGCTGGTATGCATGTTGTGCGGCGGACTGTGTTGTGTGCAGAGTGCTGCGAGGTGCCGAGAGGCATGATGATGATGATGATGATGATGATGATGATGATGATGATGATGATGATGATGCGGCGCGCACGGCGCTAGACATCGAGGACCCTCCCACCGACAACCCCCCCTCCTGCAAAACATCACCCGGAACCTCTCAAGCTCCCTGCTGTCTACGAACAGCCGTGCATGCAACCTCCCTTACAGCCCCGCCCACGAAAGCCCATGGCAGAAGCCAGCTTCAATCCTTCACAGCGCATCCGAACTGTAGGCTTTTGGGACCGTGTACCCATCTAGTATATACTTGGGCCTTAAAAGGGGTTCCTCTACAGTAGCTTGGCCCACATATGTCGGATATGGCAACATGGACTTTCATAGGGAAAGCTTCTTTACAATTACAGAAAACATTTTGCGGGATGTCTTGACAGCTCAGACCACACCCGAGAGGCAGATGGGTGAGCAGCCCGGCGCCACGCAACCAAGCGCGGGAGACCTTTTCCAGCTGTGTCTATGAAGGCGATCTCCGAAGGGTGTATACGGGGTGTATAAGGGGGGGGCAGCTGCCCTTATAGGGCCTGAAAACAGGCAGGCGCGTGGCCTGTCATTTTGTGGCTGATGCTTAGATGTGGCTTCCTACAGCTTGCTCGCCGTGGAAGGTACGCCAAACTCTCACAATTGAGCATAGAGCTTTCAAAAACGATGCTTTGTTAACCTTACCTGCGTCAAACAGCGCCCAGAAAGCCCAATGCCCCTTAAGGAAGGAACAAACCCTAAACCCTAAACCCTAAACCCTAAACCCGAACATGCCTTAAAGAAGTCTCGGGATCCTTCGTACGATTTCATGTGGTATATTCCTTCTACCGTTCTCAGTGCCAAGCCCAAAGAGAGCCCGAAGATGCCCCTTAAGTTAGGAATACACCCTAAACCATATTACTTAAAACAAAACTACACTTTACGTATACATATATACATATATATACATACAAATATATGTATTTGCTTTTATGTATTTGTTTAAAGAGATGCAAATATGACTCCAGGTCATGTTCCCTCATTAAGGGGGCATCCTGGGCCCTCCCTGGGACCCAGGATGATGGGTTTAGGGTTTAGGGTTTAGGGTTTAGGGTTTAGGGTTTAGGGTTTAGGGTTTAGGGTTTAGGGTTTAGGGTTAGCAAAAAAGGCAGCTTAGGGCTCCGAAGTCTGGTTTCACCCTGGAGAGTCAACCGCCTCCAGGTTTAGGGTTTAGGGTTTAGGGGTTTGGGGTTTAGGGTTTGGGGGTTTAGGGTTTAGGGTTTGGGGAGTTTAGGGTTTAGGGTTTCAAGAAATCTCTGTAAAACTCTACACCCACAACTTGCCAGCGTGAGCCATGCTGCCGGTTCTGCGGCAGCGCATGATAGACTCACCTCACGGCGGCTCACACTGCTGCCATAAACCCTTTTTGAAGCTGGACTTGCTGAGAGGCTTGCCGTAAAACTCTAAGAAGCCCTGAATCCCTTAAGTCTTTTTCAAGCTGAAGGTGCCCCCCTACAATGGAAGGTTTGGCTGAGGACAGGCGGCTATCGTAGGCTCCAGGCTCTCCTGCATCAGCTCCTGCAAGCACACATCCCCAGTTACCGGCGACGAATTTTGAAAGGTTTAGGGTTTAGGGTTATAGGGTAGAGGGTTTCGGGTGTAGGGCTTAGTGGTTGTTGGGGTTGCAGGTCAAGCCTACTAAGAGGTGTTGGTTTGGAGAGGTTGGGGCTTCACAAGGAAGTGATGCAGCACGTGCTCTAGCCAGCGCTGCAGCTGCACATGTTCAGCAAGCCCGGCCTGAAGGAAAAGTGCACTTTCGCGCCAACTCTGCGTAGCCGCGGCTGCCGTCATCAGCGCGTTGTAGGCCTGGGAAGTCGGTATGGGTGGCTTGGCAGGAATGGCAGGCTGCGAATCCTACCGTGTACAAGCGTAAAGGCCTTCCTGGCTGAGTGTACTAGGGGTAACCTACTCAACACCAGAAACCATGTGCAAGCAGTATTTTTTGAGAGATGCCCAATAAACACGGGCCAACCTTGCAAAGATGTGCGCTCACGAGGCCTACTTGGCTGATATGGTAGTTCTTATGGTGGCTCGTGCCTGGCATTGGGGGGTATTGCTTGGGGCGCCTGAACACCGCAGTGAGTTCTCGCTTGACCTGAATGTAACTTGCAAGAGGTGCAGCGCTTGTTCCTGTTGCTGCTTTGGTGTTGTGGGAACGAATTGGACACTTCCTGATAACCTCAGCTCACTCCCTGGAATTTAACAAGTATAGGGTTTACGGTTTAAGGTTTAGGGTAAGGGTTTGGGGTTCAGCGTTTAGACCAACAATAGTTCAGCTCTTAGCACAAGCCCCCGCACCCTACTGTACAAGGAGAGGCTGGTTTAAATTTGAACTGTACTTTAATGCTGTGTAAACTTTATAATATCACATTATTTTGTTAGTACTTCATTGTACTAACTTGTTATCTTATGATGTCGTTTTCATGTCACATTAGTGATTTTCTTATTGCATTATGATATGAATTACAGGGTTTATATTGCTAGCATCCCAAAAGACACCAAATACAAACACTCACCACCATTTAGAAGGAGCCCTCTATACACTCGCCATTAACAGCAATATACACCCTCAGATGAATCGGGCGGGGCGCCAGAATCTCTGCAGCTCTGCCAGCCCAAGCAACAGCCAGGAGCGCGCCCCGCCAACGGCTTCCTTTCCTGCACAAGAGAAGAATGCGTTTGACCAATGGGTGACTGTTCTCAGAGTTGCAACACAAAGCTCGCACGAGGTTGTTTTTTCGCAGTGGTTGCAACAGCATTTTGAGGCGTTCAGGGCTTAGGTCTTACTAGGGCTTATAGAATGAAGCCTGGATACGCCACTTGCATTCGGAAACTTGACAAGTTAATCTCTGCACAACGACAAAGTGTACTGAAACGAAACGGTGCATTCAAAACTCTTCGGATCGCAAAGAATCTCATAACCCTCTTCTAAAGCCTTAGCCTTCTTTCCACAATAGCTGCTGAGCGTCTCGAAAGCTGTGGCAGCCTGGGACTCTCGGGCAATGAGGCTCTGGCCCATGATTGTGGGGCTTTACAAGGAGGGGCCCCCCTAATTACTGACAAAAAACAAGTTATAAGAACCCTAAATTGTGTTCTAAGGATCCTAAATTAGGTTAGAAGCCCCCTTTACTGATAGTAAGGGGGGCCCCTCCTGGCCCCTCCTTGTAGGGTTTCGGCTCTCACAACTAGTGCCCGCGCAGGCAAGGCTACAGATGTCCCAAGGCATGGTGAAGACTTGGGATGTTCCCCCGTTAACTAACAGTCGTTAATAGGGATGATAGTACCCCCTATTGTAATCCCTATGATTAAGGACTCTTGGTATAAGGGGGAACATCCCAAGTGAAGACCATCACGCTTTGGTTGCCCAAGAAGTGCAAACTAGATCGACGGCTTCGTGGGGGTTGTAAGGTTCGGTGCCTCGACTCCGGCTATAGGGCGCCGGCTATAGGGCGGACGTTTCCTGATGCATGCATGCCCATGCAAGCATCCATTCTGCCCTGAAGATCCTGATGATTGGTTGCGTCCGAACCAAGCGATCACCCTGCAAACTCTCCAAGACCAAAGTTCTAGCCTCCCTAAGCTCTGCGTGCACATGTGTCATGATGCAAGGATGGCCCTTAAAGCCCTCAAAGAATCTCAAAGATCATAGTCCGCAATATTGTCCTCTTAACAGAAACCCCCGAAACCCTAAACCTCTTAAACCCTTCAACCCTATGAACCCTACAAACCCGATAAACCCTATAAACCCTATAAATCTGATAGACCCTTTCAACCCTAAACCCAAAGGGGCCTACCTAGTGATGCTATCCAGGGAGCTGGATTCGTGCAAGAGGCGTCCAGCCGCAACGCCAAGGAGGCAGCCTCGACCACAAACGTCGTCAGGGTCTAGGGTTTAGGGTTTAGGGGGTCAATATATACTGAACCTTTTTACTATATATAACACACAAAAAGTGTAGATAACGATGATATCGATTAATAAGAAACGAATAGTATCGTCATAATCGAAATAGCAATGCATACGTACGACTCATGCAGATAACTAAGAATATCAATGATCTGAAGTCTTGCTGACTTCGGGGGGTGGGGGCTCATCCGCACCCCTCGGCAGGCTCATAAGCAGGTGGAAAAGAGCATTTTTCATTACCGCAAATCCCAAAAGAAAAGAGGACGGCCCAACTCCGAACTCCTCGCCTCAGGGTTTAGGGCGGTTTAGGGTTTAGGGTTTAGGGTTTAGGGTTAGGGTTTAGGGTTTAGGGTTTAGGGTTTAGAGTTTAGGGTTGAGGGCCTCGGCAAGCACCGCCAGGGAGGCGGTCCAGGCGGATGCCTTGGGCTTGTGAGTTGCTGGTTAAGGGTTTAGGGTTGAGGGTTTAGGGTTTAGGATTTTTGTTTGGGGATTTAAGGGTTTCGGGGGTTTCTTGCTACCAGTCTAGCCATGCTCCACCGGGGAACTGCGGTGAGATTGCTTTGTACAGGTCGCTGGGGTTAGGGTTTAGGGCTTAGGGTCAAGGGGTTTGGCGCTGCAAAACCCCCCTCCAAGACTTTAGCCGCAGTATAGAGGGTTGCCTGAGATGGGACAATCCAGGCAAGGCAACGGGAATTTGGGCTTCAGAAAGGAGTCATGGCGTGAGGCTCAATGGTTCGAATTTGGCCAACCAGCAAGAAGCTGAGCAAGCCTTCGCGCACCGCTTCGAGTGCTAGTACGAGTTGCGCGGCTGGCGCCGCCAGCTGCGGCATTGCAGCAAAAGGCGTCTGGCTCGACACCTGCGCACACGTGCGCTCCATGGCAACTTTGAACCCTAAACCCTAAACCCTTTTTACCGCAACCCTAAACCCTAAACCCCAAACCCCAAACCCCAAACCCTGCCGAAACCGCGGTGTGAAGTTTCTCAGTTCATCTCGCGGCTGCTCATCATGTCTCAGTTGGTTTGCACATCGCACGGTGCGATGCGACAGGGCCCTAAAAGGGATTAGTGGTCATGTACCTCCATACTGGTAATTCTAGTCTAGTAGTAGTATAGGGTATATGACCCCCCAATCTTAGGGTTCTTGTCGTCCCCAAGGAGGTCCGGCTTCCAAGCCCATTGCAGGGCCTCCCGCGCCCGCTGTGCGGAGGAGGAGCACGTGAGCATCCTTCGACCAAGAAGTATAGGGGAGGTGGGTTTAGGGATTAGGGATTAGGGTTTAGGGTTATACAGCCTATACAGTCTCATGTATTTAAATATTCGCAAACCCTGATTTTATTTTGGATCATACATAACGCGTGACGCTTGGTCAGGCCCCAAACCCACCCACCCACCCACCCATTTACCAGCCCCGACGCCAACTTAGGTCTTAAGGAAGCTCCTGCCAGAGTTGCCGCTGTCCGAGTACGCCAAGCGAGAGTGCCAGGTCCTCTGCTGCGAAGTCAGGAACAGGGGCTTGTGGGCTTTGCCGTTAGTTAAGGGTCCACGTCGGGGCAGGTTCAGGCTCTGCATCAACCACAGCCAGAGATGGCATCAACTTGGGGCACACCAACGAAATAACGAAATGCTCCCCCCCTCCCGCTGCTTCCTGATGGTACAAAGAGAAGCTTTACCCTTTACCTGCCCAAAACAAGCCCTTGCACCATCTTCAATCCCACTCCCCTTCAGCCTGATGTCTCTTTAGGTTGTAGGGATTGGAGGCAGATGAGCTTCCTAACCTCGCAGCCGTCCTTGGTCGGAGCACCGGGAAGGTGCAGAAGTTTCTCCTGGGCGTCTTTTCTGCCTTTGGTTTAGGGTTCAGGGTTTAGGGTTTAGGGGCTCTCTTGCCTGTCTCCTGTCTCTCGCACTGTCGTTTTCTAGGGGTTTCTTGGGCCTGTTAGGGAGCGGGCTGCATTAAATCGCGCATGTGAGAAAAGGTACTTGCCGGCGCTGGAGCCCAAGTTGCTATGCGGAATTTGTGCAAAGAAGCTATGTCGTCGTTGTGCAGTATGATGGATCGGAGAGCCCCCCGATAAGGAACCAGTGGGCAAAGCTGCTACGAGGAAAACGGTGCTTGCCACAAACTCGATGCGTGGAAAACACGACCTCGAGAACGGCGCCGTGCTCAGTGTTAGGCCAGACTCTGTGCCTGTGCTCCCAATAATGCTGAGCACACTGGAGCTCAGCACTAATGCTGCCCCTGTAGTCCATAAGGTTTGCGCGATCGTTGTTTTCGGGTTTTGTCGTTGCGCTGCTGCTATCCTTACCTATGCTCCCTCGTCACTGATTGTGGCATGGCTAGCAGCATAAAGCACGTTCCAACTTTATGGCGTTTGCTATAAGCATCCTTTAGCCACCCGGACAGCCCAATAGCCCTGATTCAGAAATATGCCTTAAATCCAATTAAGGACCCCTACATGATTTCAGGTTTGTTTTCCTTATTCAAGGGGTGTATTAGGCTCTTCAAACCCTAAACCCTAAACCCTAAACCCCAAACCCCAAACCCCAAACCCTAAACCCTAAACCCTAAACCCTAAACCCTCCCTGAGCCATGCCCCTGTCCGCGCCGGGGTGCCGCGGCCGCTGGCAGCGCGGCCGCAGCGGCGCCGCTGCGCAGGAAGGCCAGGAGCTCCTGCGGCGCGCCGAGTCCGTCGGTTTAGGGTTTAGGGTTTATGGGGTGTGTAGGGTTTATAGGGTTTTATAGGGTTTATAGGAGGTTTATAGGGTTTAGGGTTTATAGGGTGTATAGGGTTTATAGGGTTTTATAGGTTTTATAGGGTTTGTAGGGTTTGTAGGGTTTATAGGGTTTATAGGGTTTGTAGGGTTTGTAGGGTTTATAGGGTTTGTAGGGTTTGTAGGGTTTATAGGGTTTATAGGAGGTTTATAGGGTTTATGGGGTTTATAGGGTGTATAGGGTTTGTAGGGTTTGTAGGGTTTATAGGGTTTATAGGTTTATAGGGTTTTTTAGGGTTTATAGGGTTTTGTAGGGTTTGTAGGGTTTATAGGGTTTATAGGGTGTATAGGGTTTATAGGGTTTATAGGGTTTGTAGGGTTTATAGGGTTTGTAGGGTTTATAGGGTTTATAGGAGGTTTATAGGGTTTATGGGGTTTATAGGGTGTATAGGGTTTGTAGGGTTTGTAGGGTTTATAGGGTTTATAGGTTTATAGGGTTTTTTAGGGTTTATAGGGTTTTATAGGGTTTGTAGGGTTTATAGGGTTTATAGGGTGTATAGGGTTTATAGGGTTTATAGGGTTTGTAGGGTTTATAGGGTTTGTAGGGTTTATAGGGTTTATAGGGTTTGTAGGGTTTATAGGGTTTATAGGGTTTATAGGGTTTGTAGGGTTTGTAGGGTTTATAGGGTTTATATAGGGTTTGTAGGGTTTATAGGGTTTGTAGGGTTTGTAGGGTTTATAGGGTTTGTAGGGTTGATAGGGTTTATAGGGTTTATGGGGTTTATAGGGTTTGTAGGGTTTGTAGGGTTTGTAGGGTTTGTAGGGTTTATAGGGTGTATAGGGTTTATAGGGTTTATATATGTTTTTTGGAGTTTTACAGGGTTTATAGGGTTTGTAGGGTTTATAGGGTTTATAGGGTTTACAGGGTTTACAGGATTTATAGGGTTTAGGTTTTAGGCTTTGGGGTTTAGGGTTCCCGCTTAGCAGTCCTGAGTCGATTGCACTGCAGGGCACTGTCGCGCGAATATTGGTATAGGGTTTAGGGTTTAGGGTTTAGGGTTTAGGGTTTAGGGATTCAAAGTGCTTCGCAGGCCCACATCGCTGCATGAAGCGCGCTGTGGAGATTTCGGCAACGACTACAGGACCGATTGCAATCAGACTACCAGCACGGGCTCTTTCCACCCTTTAACCCCTTAAAAGACCCTTTGCAGGGTTGATCACGGGGATTCTGGGGCCTAATAGCCCTGGTGGATTGAGTATACGACCTAAGCAAAGCGCCAAACCACCAGCTGTGGCGGTTTAAGGCTATTGGATACCTTTCTCTTATCATTCAAACATACTTTATATTTAATTAATGATTTTGGTAATGAATCAAAACATTGTTGTACATCAAGCTTAGCAGAAATCTCGGGGACCTTGCGTGTCTCCGGGAGCTGCTTGCCGGGAGCCGACATGGCCAGGTGCCGGAGCCATGGCTCAGCTGCGCGTCAAGGGCTGGTAGGGGACAGGATTAGGGGGACCCTTGGGGATATCGACCCTCTGAATAAGGTCCCTGCTAAGGGAGCCAGAAGAGGGTTAAGAAGGGCTCCCCTTTAAGGGTCTCCCTTTTCCTACCTAGGAGCTGGAAAGCTTAAAAATATCTGGGGCGCAAAGAACCTGCCTTTTTGGCTTAAGTCCAGCTGAAATGAATTGATGTTCTTCAATTGATCACACAATTTTCTCGCTCCTGCACCAGGCACGTCAAGCACCCTGAAGCTCTGCAGTCAGGACGCTTGAAACCCCCAACGAAATAGAATCTAAACTCGAAAAGAGACGCAGTCGCCAAATCCCTCCAACAGATTGGAACCCTCAGCCCTATGTTGTAGACAGTTTACACCGCCAAGATTAGGGCTGCTTGGTTGGGATACCCACCCATCTCCCTAAACCCTAAACCCTAAACCCTAAACCCTAAACCCTAAACCATCTGCGTAAACCCTCCGCCCTTCAATCCGATGCCACCCCAAGGCCCCAAGGCCCAGGGCCGGCCTCTTTTGAGGGAGCAGCGTCCTCTTCCTCCGGCCCTTGCCTGCGCTGTAGGGTTTAGGGTTTAGGGTTTAGGGTTTAGGGTTTAGGGTTTAGGGTTTAGGGTTTAGGGTAGGCTATCTCAAAACAGGGGTTCCCCTACTAACCCCCAAATACTAAACTCCTACTTTGGGAACAGTGCCCCCCCCCCTGTTTTTGGGAAACTTCCACATGGGGGTTGATCGATATTCTTGTTCCGACGAGTTACGTAAGAATACCCCTTGCGCCCGCCCTTGTACGCGCTTGCGCACTTCTTGCGCGCACACCAGTTTTTGCATAATATCTTATGTTGCATTCTAAACCCTACATATAAACCTAAAACCCTGAACCCTAAACCTTTTCGTACTAAAGGGTGACCAAACTGGGCAGTTTTGGGCTGATGTCTCCGGCAGGATTTAAAGGCTTGAAGCTCGCAGGCTTGCGATGTGGTCTTAGGTTATAGTGGTGGCAGGCTCCATCCCGGCGCCAACCGCGTTCTCTTTCAAAACCAACGGGTTTACCACGAAGTTCTCATGTAGATGGCTTTGTATTTGTATTGATATATTAAATATGCCCCCTGCGCGCACTTGCGCCGCCCTGCGCGTTCTTGCGCGCGCACCATGTTTGGAAGGCTTTTACAAGAGTGGTCTTATGAATAAATCGCGTCTGTAGTACTACGTCAAGAGCGGGGGGTTTAGAACAACCCTCACATGGCAAATACTCGGAATCAGCGCAGAGGTCGCAGAAACCGATACAAATCCCACGCTTCGAACGTATCTTTGGCACCTGCGCCCGCTACTGCAGCGCAGGAGCTGCAGGTACTCGTCCTGCAAGCGCTGGCGCCGCAATTGGGCTGAGGGTGTTGGGCGCCAAGCCTCTGCAATGTGTGCTGATATTAAGTGCAGCTGGCAAACTGATGCGAGAATTTGGGGTCTCCTGAGAACCGCAAGGTCACAAGTAGGCCCATTCTCAACGTCAACTCCCCACAACCAACTCGATCCCTTGAAGCAGAACAAATAAACGCTAAGCCACTCAACCGTGGCTTTGTGCACCGAGTCCAACCCCTCCTTACCGCAGGCGCCTGCAGTAAGGAGAACCTCAGATAGCGCCGGCTGAGCTGTGGAAGCGAGAGGCATTGGTATGGCAGATGTGCGCATAAGGCTCTGGGGCCGTGTTGTTTATAAAAGTTGTTGCAAACCACGAGGGCGCGATGCGTGCCTTGAGGTGCTGCCTTAAATCAAGAAACCAGTGGCAGACTGACAGAATGCCAGAAAAATGCTCTCTAGAACCCTCAGTCCACAATCCCTGTCATCCTCAACCATTGGAACCTCCTAAACCTAAAACGCCATAAACGCCCTAAAATTAAACCATCCCACAGTCATTGATTCCCTTCCAGCAGCCCGCAGTGCGGGAGGCGGCCTCATTTGCCACTGCACCTCCGAGGCAGATCTAGCTTATGGCTTACGGGGCGTATGGCTTGTTGGTGGGAATTTAGGGTTTAGGGTTTGGGGGTTCAGGGTTTAGGGGCGTCTCTAGCAAGAAGTACATGGTCAAGGAATGGTCAAGCAGCCATTGAAACCCTCGAGACAAGAAAGCCACTGGCTTCATGGCCTCATCCCGCCGGTCCTCCTCGCGCGCCAGAGCCACAACATGGCCCTTACGTGGGAGGACGTGCACCTGAGGCAATGGTGCCGCGAGCGATGTAGCAGGGAGTGGCAGTGGCCGCATGCATGAACCATCCTTGCCATCATATAAGCCCCGATCGTATTCTCAATCTTGACCCTTAAGGCTTACCATCATTTTCAGAGGATGCGGACCCAATCCTCTGGAACTAGAAACGTGCCATGCGCCCATACTTGCTGCTTATCTACAACTGCGATTGCCATCATTAACTACTCCGACGACTGCTGCTACTCCTACGGACTACTACTGCGGAGACGACGATGACTGCTGCTACTACTACTACTGCTACTACTACTACTACTACTACTACTACTACTGCTACTACTGCTACTACTACTACTACTACTACTACTACTACTACTACTACTACTACTACTACTACTACTACTACTACTACTACTACTACTACTACTACTACTACTACTACTACTACTACTACTACTACTACTACTACTACTATCACCACCACCACCACCACTATACTACTGCACCACCATACTTCTACTACAATTCAAATTCAAGCCCTGCTGCACAAACACCTCTGCCCCAGGCATCCGGGCACCTGCCAATGGGGAGTCGCCTCCGCCAACTCCAGCAACCGGGCCGCACTGGCGTCCTTGAGTCCTGGATAGGGTTCAGGGGTTTGGGGTTTGGGGTTTAGGGTTTAGGGTTTAGGGTTTAGGCTTTAGGCCGCCCGCCTAGCAGACGCCCTCTGGGTTTAGGGTTTAGGGTTTAGGATTATTTTGTGCTTAATTTGGTTCACTTTAGTCTCAGATGTTTCAGAGGGTTTGGGATGGGCTTCAAACAAGGATCATAGGGCTATTCGGCGTGAATGAAGGCTTCCGGCCAAGTCGTAAGGGTTTTTTAACTGTAGTGGCTTCCCTCGCTCTGACACCAAGCGGCGAACGCGAGAAAACTTCAAAGGGCGGTCGGAAGTGTCACCTGGGCGCTTGGAAGCCGAGAGAATGTTGCGAAACATGAGAGTTTTCGATGGTGTGCCTAATCGCCACCCACCTCGGGCGGGCCCTGTGTTTTTTTGAAGCCAGCCGAGCAAAGTGTTTCAAGCATGTCATATCTTTAGACATGATATGAAATTATCTATATTAAACTATATAAGCTCTCTTCCTTCTCCTACGTGGGCAGCAGTTTCGTAACAGATACGTGCAGAAGGACGAACCCAAACGAGTGATCTCGAACAAACTCAAACAGCATGGAGGGGTACTTGGAGGTTCACGGGTAGTTATCAGTAGGGCTATAAGCACCTTAAGTGGGGTGATAAGCTATGCTTACCCCTAAACCCTAAACCCTAAACCCTACTTATACCTACCCACGAACCTGCAAGTACATTCAAGCGCTCATGCTGCGATGTCTGGAGCGCTGCAAAGGAGCTAGTGGCAAGCACAGAGGTGGTTTAGGGTTTAGGGTTTAGGGGCAATATTTGCTATATATATATATATATTATTCTTTATTATTGTTTTTTTTTTTTTTTTGGGGGGGGGGGGGGGGGGTAGGGTTAGGGTTTAGAGTTTCGGCACCTGCATAGCTGGACGAACCACTCCGCAGGGATTTAGGGTTTAGGGTTTAGGGTTTAGGGTCCCGAAGTACCAGCACCAAGGCTTTGTGGGAACTCACCGAATAAGGCCTCATACACGCATGTGCAGACACGGACGGGAAGCTAGAGTGCAGGCACCCAACAAGCAAAAAACATGGATGCAAAGTGACAAGCTCTCTCTGCCCACGACGCTTGCTCTCCAAGCAACTCATCGCCTCCATAAAAACCTACAAAACCTACAAAACCCGCAAACACCTTATTTCCCTAAACCCTAAACCCTAAACCCTAAACCCAAAGTCTTGTGAAACCCTATAAAACCACAAACCCAAAAACAGATCTATGCCACTGTAAAGCCTATAAACCCTGTAAACCCTTTACGAAATCACCCCCCAAGATCAAAACACCCAGATTCCCGCAGGCCAAGCTACTATTTCTCAAGAACCACCCCAAAACATACAAATGTTCTTCCCTAGTACTAGGGCAAAAATAGGAACACTAGTCCATCCTCTTCCTTACTAGGGCAAATTAAGGATTATTTATTCCGACTTTTTTTCTAAACCCTAAACCCTGAACCAAGCTGTAGAGCAAGCGGCCGGGCCGGTAGTCCTGCCGGCGCGGGAGCTCTGAGAGGCGCCTCGCAGTAGCTTTCGCGGGGGGGCGCCGGAACTGGGCTTTTCAATCGAGATCTTTCTCAAACAGCCGGGGAAGCCCAGTTTGCATGGCAATGGCCATGTTGTTCATGGTTTATAATAGACAGACATGTATATATATATATATATATATACGTATATGTGTGTATGTATATATATATATGTATATGTATATAAATGTAAATATACATAAATATATATATGTGTATTCAAATGAATATGTTTTTTGTCATCACCAGGAAACTACAGCATCACACCGCAGGATCGCCAACGCCCCATTCTGGGTCACATAAAGCTCTGCACTCGAAAAGCCTCGTTTAGGTTTTAGGGTGTAGGGCTTAGGGCTCAACACCCTATAAGCCTCACCCTGAGACTCCTCGAAGAAGCCCTCTCATAAAATGATCTTAACATATGGGTGGCTGTCAAAAGTATGGTCCCTTTTGGGTCCCTATTTTTATAGGGTACCTAATACTCAGGGTACCATAATTTTGACAGCCACAACCCACAGCCCTACAGACGACCTCCGGCCTCCGCCCCTCGGCGTGCCGCGCCACCTCTAGCCCCCGCGGGCGCGCGGGCGCCAAGGGCGCCAAGGGCCCCGCCAGGAGGCCTCAGAGTCACTTGGAGGTTCATGGTACTTGTTAACCAAGTAGAACTGTACTTATAAACCCACTTCTGTGCCCCTTAAGTGCCCTAATATGGTTACAATTGGGTTCTAAGTGCAGTTAGTAGTAGGTTCATAAGTACCCTAAACCCTAAACCCCAACCCCAAGGTTAGGGCTTCACGGCCTGCGTGGAGTGTATCGGGCCCAAGGTTAGTTTGGAGGTTTCAGGGTTTCAGGGTTAGGGTTTAGGGTTTAGGGTTTAGGGTTTAGGGTTTAGGGTTTAGGGTTTAGGGTTTAGGGTTTAGGGTTTAGGGTTTAGGGTTTAGGGTTTAGGGTTTAGGGTGTAGGGTTTAGGGTTTAGGGTTTAGGGTTTAGGGTTTAGGGTTTAGGGTTTAGGGTTTAGGGTCACCACGACAGCAAGAGCCGAAAGGGTTCTCAGGGCCAGATTTAGCGAGGACTGTGGCCTCGCCCTGTATATTGACATGGCGAACATAGCAAGTCGCTTGAAAGATCGATGCCTAAACCCTAAACCCTAAACCCTAAACCCTAAACCCTAAACCCTAAACCCTAAACCCTAAACCCTAAACCCTAAACCCTGCGCAAAGCTGCACAGATGTACCGAAGGCCCTAGTGCTCCGAGATGTCAGTCGTATAGCTCATCTGAGATTGGATCGGCAGGCTGGGACTACCAGGATGGGCTAAACCCTAAACCCTAAACCCTAAACCCTAAACCCTAAACCCTAAACCCTAAACCCCAAACCCTAAACCCCAAACCTTACCCCGTAAGTGTGCGGAGATTCCCTTCTGGAGCAAAAAACTGTCGGCTGAGAGAACCCCTTCTTGCACCTGAGCTCCGGAAGCGTTCCCTAAGCACTGAACAACCCTAAACCCTAAACCCTAAACTCAAAACCCAACAGGCTGGCCATAAACCCTAAACCCTAAACCCTAAAACCCTAAACCCTAAACCCTAAACCCTAAACCCTAAACCCTAAACCCTAAACCTCCGACTTCTTGCAGTCAGGGCGGCCGAAGCCGCGGCTGCAAGGGACGCCGGGCCATGCAAACACCATGCTAAGTGAAGTTCTCCAACCCTGGCTGCTCTCAAAGTAGGGTTTAGGGTTTAGGGTTTAGGGTTTAGGGTTTTTTTGTTTAGGGTTTGGGGTTCATACTCATCTCCTGAACAGCTGCTCTCGGCCTTTCTTTGAGAGTCTTTTCAACATCATACATGTACCACAGAATGCAGCAGATATTACTTTTGGGGAACAGGACGTCGAGCGCCGTGCATCGGTGCACACAGCATGACAAGCTCGGTGATGCGACGAACGCGCAAGCGTCAGACACGTGAGCGGCTGTGGAAGGCTTGAGCTTGGGCATGAAACGGCGGCGGAACTGTCAGCACACTATTGACACTTGTGGTCAGATGCACAACACTGCAGCTGCTGTAGCTATACGACATCGGAAATAGCCTCAAACCCAACCCTTGTGTGTGAGATGATGCATCATCCGTCCTGCCAGGCGCTCTACATATATACTAGAGGAGACAAGCGTGAAGAATCATACAAGTGTTCCTCTTTCTGCGAATGTGGCGCTTTCATCTCAGGCAGCTCCAACTAACAACCCTCCTATCAGTAGTCTACTCTGTCATAGAAACACACTGCACTGCGTTATGCTGCGTTTGTGCCGATGTGTGTTTATGTGTGAACACGTAGGTACTCGGGTACATGAAGCATCTCATATTATGCATTCTTTCAGGCTCTATGGGCGCTACATCGGCTTGCCAGCTGTTGTGCCAGAAACGGAAGAGAACTATCCATCTCGCGATCGAACCGGACCCTGAGCTTTGTCCTAAGGCACCAAATGGGGGTTTACGAAAACAAGGGCACCCTCATACAGACCCAAACTGGTCGGATTCCCTTCTAATAAGGACCCCAGTAAGGTACCCCTAAACCCTAAATTCTAAACCCTAAACCCCGATAAGGTACCCCTGATTTCGGAAACCCCCAAAACCCACGTCACTCTTCATCAGATCTCCATGGGCGGCATCCGCTCAGTTTTGCGGCACGTCTCGTGGAACTTGTCCGAGGGAGCCGGCCTGTCGTTTAGGATTTATATGGTTCAGGGGTGATATTATAGTAGTATATGTTATATTAGTCTATTCTCTGTATTCTCGAGATGTTAGATTAGCACCTTTTTTTATTTTTATACTACATGTATTTGATGAGTATCGTTATTGCACTATTGTGCGGTCTAATTCTAGGGTGTGCATCGACACCTGCTTCGGAGGCTGCCAGCCGTCATTGGTAGTTGGCTTGGCAGTCACTCAGTAGATCTGGCAAGCAGGTGGCGACTCGAATCGAACAGCCAGAGAGCGCAGTAGAAAACCTCGAAACAAAGCTGCCGAAAGGCCCGAAACCCCGTGCCGCCTGGTGCACATGGGGAGCAGCATCAGCCCTGTCCTTCTGCGAAGACCACACCTGGCAGCATGCTTTCGGGTTTTTAGGGTTTGGGGTTCAGGGTTCCGAAACCCAGGTTGAGCTTTCAACGCCAAGACTCCGTCCCGCCCACCCCCACGCCCCACCCTCACCTCAAGCCTGTTCCACATTCTACGTTGAGTTGCGCGTGCCCTCCCTATAGCCCATCCTGGAAAATGGGTGTCCCTAAACCCTACACCCTAAATCCCTAAACTCTAAACCCTAAACCCGAAACCGTGTGTGAGGGCGTGACTTGCTGGCTTGCAGGAATTGGACTCACTAGGGTTTTGGGGCGACTTGGGGCCCCGACGGCTAATGCTTCATGAGGCTTCTGCAGCTTCTGCTCTGGCCAGCAATCCCTAAGGATCCATATACCTAGATAGTACATACTTGGGGGCCTTCAAAGGGTTCCCATATAGCAGCTTTAGGGCCCCAAGTATATACTATACAGGCGCATGGATCCTTAGGGAAATGGTGTTCGCAAGGTCGAAGCCGCCAACAGCTTCTGCCGCGGCACAATCCCCTTTGGCAGCAGGCTTGGAAGGGTACATGTTCTAAGGGCCCTAAACCTGAAACCCTTGGTTTGCCTGAAAACTGGGATAATCCGGGTTTGGGTGGGACACCGCATGGAAAGCCCTACACATGGGTCCACCATCTCTTGATGTTTCACACCCTCAGTCATGTTCCCATATATCCCATGAAAAAAACCTACTATAGAGCCCAACAACCCTTACAGAGGTTCTACAAATTTGGCCTAGTGCTAGCCGATCGCTCAAAGTTCTTTGGTCCAGCGCGCATCGAGAAGACTCCGCTTTGGAAGCGCTTCTAAACAAGCGACCTATAGGCTAGCACACAAGGATCCATGCACCGATATCGTATGTAGTTGGATCTTAAAGCTGCTATCTGGGAACCCCTTTAAGGCCCCATGGGTTTAGGGTTTAGGGTTTAGGGCAAGTATATACTCTCCAGGTACATGGATCCTTCGGGTCGGTTACACCCAAAGCCGAAAATCTATACCTGGCATCGTCACAAAGATGGTCTAGGCGTCATAGGCCGCCTCCTGGCCGGAGAATAGTGTTTAAGGGGTTTGGGGTTTAAGGGGTTTAGGGTTTATAGGGTTTTAGGGTTTAGGCCCCAACCAAGTGTATTATAGCTAAAAGCAGCCAACCTTTTAGCTGAAACGTCCTGAAGCCCAACTTTCGTGGGTTCCCCTACTACCCCCCTCTATGCTAACCCCCCCCCCCCCCCCGGTTAGGCTATTTAGGGAGAGTTAACCCATGAAACCTCAAAACTTCTCTCTGGACCGGGCATGCAACCACCACAACCCCTGCAAACCCCGTCAGTTCAAGTCTGGGTCTCGGCCAACTTGAAAACCTCAAGCTAAACTTAAGGGGTATAAGGAGGGACTCCAACATTCCCCGATGTAACCCTTATAAATACCTCATATAGTCCCTATATGAGTCGACGTCAAAATTACTTGTTTAAGCCTTGCTTGGTTTTGCATTTACGCGTCCCCTATCGTTTTCCATGTTTTCACCTACCGGAGTTTTGTACTATCGTATCAAATAGCCCTATCATTTTCCTCGGCGTTTTGCTGCAACAACCTAAAATAAGAAATCGGTAATTTTGACCGCGTCTCATATACCTAAGTAACCCCAAGCGAAACCTTTGCCACGACCCTGTTGGCCCTCAACCTTTTTTGAGCCCCAGGGCTCCCTCCGGTACCCCAAATCCTAAAGACCAAACCCCTAAACCCAAAACCCTAAACGCTTTTTGCATCCGGACTCCTGGGGTGTTGCCTAAACCCTAACCCCTAACCCCTAACCCCTAAACCCTAAACCCTAAACCCTAACCCCAAAACCCTAAACCCTAAACCTCACAGCACAAGGAATTCTGTCAGGTTGGCAAGCTGCGCCGGCACCAAGGTCCCGGGCCCGGCGGGCCTTTGAAACCTTAGTTGGGGGTTTACGAAAAATAGGGAAGTTTAGGGTTTAGGGCTAGGGTTTAGGGCTAGGGTTTAGGGCTAGGGTTTAGGGCCCCCCAATAAGGTACGCCCTACTTTCGGGAACCGCCACTTCGAAGGTTTTGGGGGCCCCCTCTGCAGGGCTTTGCAAAGTTGAGGGGGCTTGAGGGTTTTTGAGGGTTTTTTAAGGGCCCTTGATGGGCTTCTCAAGGTTTCTTTGGGCATTGAGGCTTTTTTTTGTAAGGGTTTAGGGTTTAGGGTTTAGGGTTTAGGGTTTAGGGTTTAGGGTTTAGGGCTTCAAGGGTATTCAGGGGGCTTCAAGGGCTTTCGGGGTTCGGTGTCATGTGATCAAGATCACTTCGGGCATCTGCAAGGGGTCGGCGCCTGGAACTGTGCCGTACTAGTTCATGGTTGGGATCGCATTACAAATTTACACTATATATTCCTTATTAGGCTTTAAGTACACGTAAAGATGTAAAATGATATACACAACTATGACCAGGTACAGTCACGAACGAACTTTCCAGTCGATTTTCGCTGACCAGCAAGAGCTTCAAATACAAACCCTGAGCCCTGAACCTCAGAAACCTTGCTTCAGAGGCACCGGCAACTCGGACGGTTGCAAAAGTGTTGCAAAGAATTTCTAATCTGGTTATAACTTCATAAGGCCGGAAGCCACATCCATCGACATGAGGCAGCAGGTAGCCTACTTTCGAGACGAGAAGATGGTTGCAAAAATTCGCAAAAGCTTCACTCATGCCGAGGCTTTGCAACCTGACCTGCAAGAAATTCGCACGGAAAACATGTGCCGCGAATGATCTCTTCAAGTGTGAGGTGATAGACAACACATAAAAGGCGATAGGCCAAACTTGTTAAAATATACTTATAAGTTATGTCCTAAGTTCATAGCTACTACCTCTGATAAGTTCAACATAACTTCCACAAAAGCTCATAAGTGCCTCGGGGCCTCTAAAAACTAAAGCCTGCAACCGTGGGACCTCAGATGATGGCATCAGGTGCAGCTGAGAAGCCGCAGCATTCCAGGCGGGCGCGGGCTTCAGACGTGAAGCCTTCATCCTCGGATGAGGAGCCACATTACTACCAATTGCTTAAGCACCCGCCAAAAAAATGCATATTCTTCCTCATAAGGGTAATATGGGGATTCTTTTCTTGGGGGTTCTTAAGCAAATGGTGGATTAGGGGCCCGTTCTATACTAGGGCTTACATTACAAAACTCCTCCTTTCAAGTGCTGAAACAAGCCGGAGCACTCTTCAAGCCACGCTTCAGCCTCCCAGGCGGAGGGGGCCCTGGGGGACGGGGTCTGGGGGGGGGGGGGGGGGGGGTCCTTTGCAGATATAATGAAGTAGAATGACAAGAAAATGATCCATGACTCCCCTCCAAAAATCTCAGGCCATCTCAGGCCTTATTCTAAACCTTGGGCGCGACCTAGTAAGAGTAACAATGAAGTTAATAATAAAGTTAATAGTTAATAATAATAATGAATATAGAATAATACTAATAATAATAAGAGAAATAGTAATAAGACCCTTTGACAACAGCACTTGCTTTGACGCTACCTTTCGTTGCGAAGAGAGAAAGAGTGGGGGGGGGGGGAGAACGCGAGAGAGAGAGAGAGAGACAGAGAGAAAGAGTCTCAGAGAGCGAGAGAAAGAGCGAGAGGGGGCGGGGGTGGCAGAGGGGGAGAACTGTGGACGAGCAAGACGATTAGACTGATTAGACTACCCCCAAACCCCCTAAACCCCTAACCCCCTAGACCCCGACCCTAAACCCTGTTGAGACTTCGTGGCCTTCTGCGTGTCTCCAGAGGACGCGGCGCTTCGGATCCTGAGCGAAGGGTTTCAGGGTATAGGGTTTTGGGTTCAGGGTTCAGAGTTTAGGGTTTGGGATTTAGGGGTGTTTGGGGTTTAGGGTTTGGCGTGACAGAGCACAGCTTGCAGCTCCTTGCCAAGCCTTGGAAGAGTCTTTGCGCCGACAGTTACATATAATAAACGCGCACACACACACACATATATATATATATATATGTATATTACATATACATATACATATACATATACATATACATATACATATACATATACATATACATATATATATATATGTATTCTGTATATTTAGCTTATTGCATACCGTGCCCCAGGGCTATACTCTCCACATTCTGCAAGAACTGTTGGCAAGGTGTGGCTGGGAAAATCCGACTTACTTTCAAGGCCTCACAGCCCACCCGAACTAAACCCTGAACCCTGAACCCTGAACCCTAAACCCTAAACCTAAACCCTAAGTATCCACCACGGCGCAGCAGGCCATACATGGAGCGGTATATTGCGGTGTTGCCGGCCTGCGCGCCAAGGTGCAAGAGATGCCCAAAGTCAACGCATTCTGCAGATGGAAATAACATGTCCTAAACCCTAAACCCTAAACCCTAAACAAATCTATGTCGTGATCCCGATGATGGTCCAAGGTTGGCCAGCCTTCCGCACGAGTAAAGGCATGGCGGGGGCGAGGGCCTCCCAGGCGCGCTCTTTGCAGACTCCGGATTAGGGTCTAGGGTTTCGGGTTTCGGGTTTAGAGGGCTTAGGGCTTCTACCTAGGGGACCCAAAGCATACGGACTTATATGAACCCAAAGAGGCCTCTATACCCCTGAAATACATTAATATACATTGAACCATAATGAGGATCCCTCTAGAACTTAAGGTAGACTCCTTACATCATATTCAGGATCCTATAATATACTACCATTTAAGGTATATTCCTGAATTAAAGGGTATTGGGCTCTCTGGGAGTGTTAGGATTCCCGAAGTGGGAACCCTCTGAACTCCTAAGGTTCACGGGCTCTCGGTCTTTAGGGTTTCGGGTGACTTTGTTTTTGGTATTCGGGCTTAGGGTGTTTTTGTTGGATTTAGGGGTTTAGGGTTTAGGGTTTAGGGTGACTTTTTGGGTTTTAGGGTTCAAGAGTTGGAGAAAGGTTGGCCTCCTTGCCTCAACTTTCCATGACGGCTCGATTTGTGGCAACATGACATGGGAGCACTGCCAACCGTACAAACCCTACAAAAACCCTGTAAAACCCCGTAAACCCGGCAATCCCTGTAAACTCTAAAAACCCTTAAAACCCTACAAACCCTAACCTGGGCGACCAGAAGCCCACATCCCGATCATCCCAGTCCCAGGCCTTCACCTGGGAGAGCCACTGTTCGGCTTTTTCGGCCTTGCCCGCGCGGACGTAGCCCTTGTCAGGGCAGACTGTCTTCCACGGACGGCTTCCTTTAGGGTCTCGCGTTTCGGGCTTTCTCTATAGCATGGAAGGTCATGGAATGCAAGAGCCCTTGTGGATACTGACCGACACACCACGACGAGCAAAAACTCAACGCCAAAAAACCATCTAGCATGGACCAGTCCTTTTGCCTACGAAGAAGCATCCCAAAACTTACTGTTGGTTAGCAGGGAATGAGGGAACTAGGGCCCTATATATATAACCTTTAAGGAATAAAAAAGGGTACCGCATTCCCCCATCCCTACTAACCAACAGTAAGAAAGTCAAACCTAGAATAGGAACCCAGAACCAAAAAAATGTATTAAAGTACTCCAAAACCCAGATAAGCATCACAACCCTAACCCCCAAACCCCTGAATCCCAAAATCAAAACCTGCGCCCTCAGTGCCCAGAAAATGACAGCTTCCCGCAGGCCCGCAGCACGGCGGCGCTTGCGGCCAAGCCGACCTGGTCCGGCAATCAATCTATCCCCTGCTTAGGGTTTAGGGTTTAGGGTTTAGGATTTAGGGTTTAGGGGTTTAGGGGTTTAGGGTCGGATTGGGTCTAGGATGACATCCGGCAAAGGACGATGTCAAGGGTGAAGAAATGCATTTCAGACGGTCGAACATTACAGGGCTTGAGGTCCTCCGAACGTGGCGGTTCAAGGCCCTAAACCCCAAACTCTAAACCCTAAACCCTAAACCCTGAACCCTAAACCCTAAACGGCCCTAAACCAATTATGGCAGCATTCTTCAGGAGAAAGTGCTCTGAGCCACAGCTTCATGTGCTTCTTTTCTGAGCTGCTTGCTTGGGCTCCTGAACTCAAAGACATCCATCCTGCAGTTTACGTTTAACCTGTATGCGCCTTCTGCTCCCAAACCCTAGCAGATGGGTGGTTGTCAAAATTATGATCCCTTTTGGGGTACGCTAAATATTCGGTGTCGTATTCGAATAAGGATCCAAAAAGGACCATAGTTTTAAACCCTAAACCCTAAACCCAACACCCAGATAGGCCTAAGGCTTTCAAGGCTCATCTTCCCCATCACGCGTGCTTGGTTTAAGTCAACTCCCTCATAAGGCTGCTCAAGTTCAAGTCCCTAAACCCTAAACCCTAAACCCTAAACCCTAAACCCTAAACCCTAAAGGTTTCTGATGCTGACACGACCTGACACATCATGGCATCGGGTGACACTTTCGCTACATGGCTCTTTGTGGCTTCAATGAACCCCAACACAGAGATGAACTGGAAGCGCGCAACACCCTCAGCCCATGCAACGAATTTGCCTCCACGGAACCCTAAACCCCAAACCCTAAACCCCAAACCGATCGTCCCACTGCGGAAAAAAAATCCCGGCTCGGCCTCGACGCCCCGCGCCTGCGCACGACGGAAGGTGGCTTCTGCGGCCTGGGTGCCCTAAACCCTAAACCCCTAAACCCCTAAACAGCTAAAGCCCTCAACCCCTCAACCCTAAACCTAAGGGAAGCAATCTCGACTTTGGTGTCATGGTGTCAGGGCCGACCCAGAATACAGGGTATGGGGTGTAGGGTCATGGGGGGGTAGTTTTAGGGTTTTAGGGTCTATGTTATCGCCAAGATGAATTTACAGCCTGGAGTGCATGAAATCGCACTCCCGGACAGCAAAGCAACAACAACGAGACATGCGAGCAACGCTTCGGCAGCCTTTATGTCAAGAACTGCTACTACATGGTAGGGCTGATAGGGCCACTAAGCTCATCTAAACTCTGAAATTCTACACATAGCACTGAACTTAAGTTCTCCTCCTGTACTGGTCTTGAAGCCCCCAAAGCTTGGCCCTGTAAACCCCAAACCCCAAACCTAAACCCTGAACCCTAAAACGCCCTAAACCCTAAAACGCCCTAAACCCTACACCCTAAACCCTAAACCCTAAACCCTAAACCCTGTGAAAGCTTAGGACGTATGCCGCGACACGGCAGGTCTCCGGTCTTCGGAATATCTGTCCACCAACGCGGTGACCTGAAAGTCTCCAGGTTTATTTATAGGGGTTTGGGTCTGGGAGTTTAGGGTTAGGGTTTAGGGCTCTCTATGGATAGGGTGTTGGGTCTAGGGGTTTAGGGTTTAGGGTCTAGGGGTTTATAGGGTATAGGGCTTGGAAAAGGGGAATGTTGCTGAGGATTCTCTTTTTCCGGGCTCGCTCGTCAAAAATTCACTTGGGCAACCCTTTTCCAAGAAACTTCGCCCGCCTCAATAATATCCCTGTGAGCCAAGGCCGCCCTGCAAGCCCCCCGTACTCGTGACAGCAAGGCTCCCAATCCCCCTGCACTCTTGACAGGGGCAACCCTAAACCCTGAACCCTAAACCCTAAACCCTAAACCAAGAATCCTCGGATGGGCGCCGGGCTTCTGGAGTCTTGGGGATTCAGCGACGACCCGGGGTTGATCAGCAGGGCTCTCCGTTTCAGGATTAGCTGCACTTGGTAGCCCAGTAGCCCTATTACAATGAGGAGACCCCCTTTTTTTTTGGGTTTAGCGGTTAGGGTTTAGGGTTTAGGGTCTGGGGGGGGGGTTGGTTACTAAGGAAACCTGGACCTTGAACCAAAAGAGAGGAAAAGGGTACCACTGGGCTCCCATCTGCAGATACACGTGTGATACAGTGTTGCTGTAATATAGGGGCCTGAAGAATTCGAACAGGGTTTTGGGGGGGTCATTATAGTAGACTAATAAATGATAAAGGGACCCTAAAGGTTTTAGGGTTTAGGGTTTAGAGTTAGCCTATATTAGGTGTTGTGTGGGTATAGCGAAGGCCTGTTGAAACCGGTCTCTGCTCCATGCTGACTCAACACCAAACCCTAAACCCTAAACCCTGAACCCTAAACCCCAAAACCCTCAACCCTAAACTGAACCCTAACCAATGAGCTCGTTCCGTCCAAGGCCTCTAGTGGATTCCTAGCAGGTCTCATGACTCTGGGGCAGGCTTCCGAATTCCAAACATACGTGCGTGAGGTTAAGGGTTTAGGGTTTAGGTGCTGTTAGACGCTTGCTAAGTCTCACCCATGCAGGCGAAACCAAAGCCAACATCGCAGACAAAAACCGACACAAATCAACCCGAATAAGTCAAGGGCTTGATGCTTTGAAGGCGGAATCGGGTCCCTCACGATAGCACGCAAACCCCCCCTCCACCCCTGAAAGACCCTGCTGACAAAGCCAGCGCTGGGTCGGCGACGCTGCTTTCGGGCACGTGCAAGCGCGACTGGTACCTTGACTCTTGGGACCCATTTTGCAATCACTTAGGGTTTAGGGTTTAGGCACCCTACACACTACAGCGATCTCTGTGTATAAGATACGCCAGGCTAAGGCCCTAAACCATCCAGGCAAAGCATGACAAAGCGCTGGTTTCTAAGAGCCTTCCAAGCAACATCTTCACCAGCCATCCCTCCGCCTCGCTGGCGTCGCTCCTTTGTGGGTTTAGGGTTTAGGGTTTAGGGTTTAGGGTTTGTGATACTTGCCTCGGGGCTGGGGCTTTAGATGAACTTAAAAGTGTATTTGACAAGCCTGCAAGGTCTGAATGGCACTTGCATAGCATCCCTCACCCCAATACTCCGCATCCAGAGAGCCCGAAACCCCTTAATTAAAGAATATACGTTAAATCATATTCAGGATCCCTGTATAACTCAAGGTACATACCTTAATTAAAGAATATACGTTAAATCATATTCAGGATCCCTGTATAACTCAAGCAAGGTACATATCCTCATATCAGGGGTATTTGGGTAATTACTCTCCAGCTTCTCAGGTCTCAGGCTCGTCTGCGCGGACGACGCGATCAGCATGCGATAGGTTCCAACATCTGGCGCAGACCTTCAGGGAAGGAGGGTTTAGGGTTTAGGGTTTAGGGTTTAGGGGGTTGGCTGAACTGGGCTTTGTTTGGGCTTCAGGACCTTAGCAGTCTTACGGTGCGTACCATGAACCACCCCTAAATTCTCAACCTGAAACAATGGGTAGTTATAGGGGTTAGGAGCACCTTAGGTGGGGTTTTAAGTACAACTGCCATACTTATAGTTTCAACTACCCACGAATCTCCAAGTAGGACGAAACCCTAAACCCTAAACCCTAAACCCTAAACCCTAAACCCTAAACCCTAAACCCTAAACCCCTAAGTACTCTAAGCACGCCTGAAAGCCCCAAAACGATGCGCCAACCTGAACTCTGCCATCCTTCTCACCCAGTCTGCCGCCGTGCTGGCTCGGCGCTGATCTACCTTTGGGTTGCAGAGACCCTGCTAGGGTTTAGGGTTTAGGGTTTAGGGTTTAGGGTTTAGGGTTTAGGGTTTAGGGTTTAGGGTTTAGGGTTTAGGGTTTAGGGTTTAGGGTTTAGGGTTTAGGGTTTAGGGTTTAGGGAATACTTGGGTTGCAGACCCAAAGAGCCCAATACCCCTTAATTAAAGAATGGACCTTACATTGTATTAAGGATCCCTACAGGACTTAAGGTCCGTACCTTGTTTAAGGGGTATTGGGCTCTTTGGGGAAACCCCGCGTTCGTCCGGCGAGAATATTTCCTAACCCTTTTTTGGCAGTAGGTCTCCTTACCACTGCCTGCCTCGCCCTGTATGCCCCCCAGCAGCCCAGGACAACCTATGAACCCTAACCCTAAACCCTAACCCCAAACCCTACACTCTAGACCCTAAATGCTGAACCTAAACCCTGAACCTTGAACCCTAAAAACCCGAAACCCACCATGACATGAACTGAGGGCCTAACCCTAAACCCAGCATGAACCAAAGACCATGAACCACAAGGGGCGGAAGGGAGGGAACCAAAAACCCAAAACCCAACGCCCACCATGAGCCAGGAAGGTGGGGGGTACAATGAAATTGTTCCCTCCAGCTGCTGGCCAAAGCAGCTTGAGTCTTGATCATGTAATTGAAGGCTTCGGTTTCAGGCCTGCCCCGTGGCCCATGGGCGAGGGGCGTTTCCGAAATATGAGGGTACTGTTTGGGGGCTCCTGGAATAAGGACTACCGATATTACAGCTTATTTGCGCAGGGCATCCCGGATTCAGCACGTACCCACAATCGCCAAACAGAATGGCTGAAGTCGGCCACAAAACAAGCAAACACAGAGCGCTAACAGTCTGCCAACCAGCCAAGCCAACACGACACATAACACACGACACACGACACACGGACACAAAGCACACAACATACAACACACCACACCACACCCCACACAAAACACAATGCGCAACAATACATCACTAGTACTTCACATGCAAAAGAGCAAGCAAACACGCAAACAACCAACCAACCAACCAAACACAAATACAACACACAGCACACGCACACAAGCAAACAAGCAAGCAAGCAAGCAAACGAACAAACAAAAGGCAAGCAAGCAAACACACAAACATCAGTTCTCGGCCTAACCCGGGCTGATCGCATCTCGTAGAGAAGCTTCTCAAACTCAGCGGTTTTGTCGGCCTCCGCATGGACTGTGTCTCTTCTCGTGCTCTGTTGCTTGCGGTCCTTGTTGAGAAGCCTTGCGTTACTGAGACGTGTTGAGACCATGGGTTTTGCGACGTCGTCCTTGAACTCGAGGGTTCGGTAGCCGACAGTTGGGCAGGCAACAGCAAGCTACAAGTACTTCTCAGAACTTCGGCCCACCATGGTTCAGGAAAGCAATGTTCTGCCAGCAAGGTGTCCTCTGACGGTTAAAACCCTAAATCCCTAAACCCCAAACCTGAAACCTTAAACTGTGCACTCGTCTGTATCTCAGCGATGCTTCCGAGGACTCGCGCCTCCGCGTAACGCTGGAGCAGACGGCCGTAAACCGGCCGGCTCGGCTGGATGCTTGCCTGGATATATGCAAAGGGTTTAGGGTTTAGGGTGACATGGTCCCTGAATCTGCGTCCCCCCCCACCCCCACTTATATACCCCCCTTATATACCCTTGAAAACCCACGGGCCCATACTTCAGAAGCCGTTGAAGATGGTAAGGGACCATGCTCGAAGGGACCGTAACTACCCTTAGATGCAAGGGAACGGCCCGCTGCATAAGCCCTGAACCCCAAACCCTAAACCCTAAATTAGGACGTGGGCTTGGGGCTTCGTTTTTTCTAGCTGCACCGTAGGAAAGGAAGCTACAGCGGAAACATATCTCACCTTCCAAGTTCTTGCTAACTGCCTTGGGGACCCAACGAACCCTAAAACTGGGGTCATCTACCCTATACAGACATAATCCCTCTTGGGGTATATGTGAACCATAAGCCCCTTTACGGTTCCTGTGGTCCGTTAAGGTGGGATTTCGGGTCTAGGGTTAGGGTGCAGGGTTTAGGGTTTAGGGTTTAGGGCGCAAAGCAAGACTCGAGCGCGCTGGGTGCTGTCGGGGTCACTCCCCGCAATCGCTGGAGCCATTCGCGGGCTCCTCGGGCTGCGCGGGGGTCACTACCTCTAAGTTTGTAGGGTTTAGGGTTTAGGGTCGTTCCAAAGGAGGGGGGTGTGTAACCCAAGGTTCCCGAATACTCTTTAAGGTACTTACCCCCCATGAACCCCCTAAGGACCCTTTAGCTAAGTTTTGAAGACGGGAAAAACCCCGAAAATGTACCCACAGCTGGAATGCTATTCGAGAATTTTGAGCCAACATCTGATCGCCATTGCAGCAAAGGCTGTGCTAGGCTTGGGTCGAAAAAAAAACAAGTAACACTGACGGGAGGGTTCGCAGCGAGGGCGCGTGAGAACGAGATCCCGTTCGCGAGTGGGGAGCGGTACGCTATAGACACGGGCTTCAGAGCGTGCTATCTGGTTGACGGTGGACTCATATAAGGGATGAGAAGCATGATAGCCGGTCGATGGGGGGAGGCGCGGAGACTCTGCGCCCTCCGCATTTCCTCGCCCTTTTCGTATACGCACGCCCTCCCTCCCCATGCTCTGCACACCCTCCGCACGCCTTCCGCCCTCCGCGCGCTCTGCGCCCATGCTCGTGCTCCATCTTTCTGTGGGCGCGCTGCGTCTATTCTTCGGGCGTTTTCTTTGAAAACCAATCTGCTTAGAAGGCACGCACGAGCAGCACAGCCTCTAAGTGTCCATCTCCCCCCCCCCCCCCCCAAGAAGAAAAACCTAAAGGTCTTAGGGCCCTAGATGCCATAATAGCAGCCCTAATACCCCAACCGCCTTTTGACTGCCAGACACCTACCTACCTTATTCACCCCAACAGCTTATAAACCCTAACACCCCACCCTATACACCTAAACCCTAAACCCCGAACCTTAAACCCTAAACCTGCGTCCTCCCAGCTCTGCTGCGGGGCTCCAGGCTACACGCGCGACGACCAACGCCATGAGCCGATCCTGCCATCCGCCCCCAAGAAGATTTCTTGGCCAAAAATGGTACACTTCGTGACTTGTGTCGGGGGGAAAGGGGTTAGGGCTTATGGGGTTTGGGGTCTAGGGTTTGGGTTCTAGTGGATTTGGGGTTCGGGTTGTGGGTTTTTCCTGCTTTGTGGTGGGAACTAGCCGTTCAAGCCCCATCTGAGGAAAAGCAAGGTGCAGCTTGCCTTCGTACCACCAAGTACAGACCCCCTAACAACCCGAAATGCAAATCCCGTGAGCAAAAGGAATTAGCTGGCTCATGTCCCTTTGTTTTCTTCCTTGCGCTTCTCTCACTGAGGAACGACGAAATTCTATTGTAAATACTTCTTGTGGGGTTCAGCTAGAAAAAACACAGGGAAAGGGAGCTCACGGCATCCTAAAATCCACTACATCTTACTAACTAGCTTCAAGAGCGGAACGACAACACCAAACTGTTGTTCGCAACTGTTCTCTTTCGATGTAGTTCTCTCTGTTTCCTTCTCACTACTTTCCAACAATGTACTAATTCACGAGACCTTGGCTCTCATAGCCTATAAACTATAGTGAGCGTGCACATGCTCAATACATCTCAATACGTCTCCCTGGCACGGGGGACCTCACCGACCGAAGCTGAAACTAAGCTAACTTGAAACAAACTTAAACAAATTATCCGAAAGTCGAACACGTACCCAAAAAGCCTTCTGTATCACCTCAAGGCGTCCGACGGTCAAATGGAGGAAACAACTGAAAGCCTTTTTTCCAACATCCGTCTATGCCCCTAAACTTGCTAAAATCACTAAACTCCCAGAGCCACACCGATGAAACTAACCCTAAACCCTAAACCCTAAACCCTAAACCCCTCCTTGCCTCTGCCTCTTTCCACTTCGATGGGCTGGTCTCCCTCAGAGCGGGGAAGCGTCGCAGCAAACCCTAAACCCTAAACCGTTCGAACGCCTGGGGCTTGGTCCCCTGTATGGCAGGTCGTCAAAAGAGCAGTCCCCACGATACTCGGCGTGACAGACCATGTGGAGGCCACTCGATGGTCTCTCTTGGTAGCCCAGAAACCCTGTCACAAAAAAAGGCACCCTTTTTTTGGATTTTTATAAGGGAACTCACGAGCACAAAAGGGTAAAGGGTACCGCTGCGCTACCCAGCTCTCAAGTCTCTCAAGACATCCGAGCAAAAACAGATTGTCAACCACATCAAAAAACGGAAGAACTGCATCATCTTCGACCCTGTCGAACCGGGAGCCACTCCATAAAGCCATACAGTTAAGTCAGTTAAGGCATGTCCCTGTACTGTAGGGCGTGGTGATCGTGATGGAACAGCATGGGGGGGAAGGCAGTCGGTACCACCTTTGACTCCTGCAAGCTGCTGTGTGCTGTTCTGGGCAATCTTCAGAAGCTTCATAGTCCAGTCGTCTGCCTTGGTGGCTCAAGGGCAGGGCAGGTGCAGACCAAATCCAGCCACCCCTGCGCCGGGCCCAAGCCCAAACGCGTGCCAATAAGGGGGCCCCTGACGCATCACACCAGTAGAGAGAACTCAGGCCTGGTAGAACAGTAACCATGTTACAATAAAGGATCAATAAAGGCACCTACTTTGGGTTGGTTACTTGATAAGGGAACCCTGAACCAAACAACAAAAAGGGCACCACTGGGCTACCAAGCAGGTCACGTCGGGAGCGCAAGGTATCCTAGGGTTCAGGGTTTAGTGTCTTTCGCCTAAACCCCTAAATCCTCTGTCCACCACCATGGGACAGCATTCCGATGCTTAGCGGCACGTTGGAGCTCGCCGCTCTGTGCGCAGGCACGGACGAAGGCCACGAAGGCAAAGCGATCCACTTTCCTTACCAGAACTCTGTTTTTTTGCGGGTTTTTGACATGCAACCCTAAACCCTAAACCCTGAGCCTTAGGCCCTGGGCCGCTGCATCGTCGTGACTGTCTTCTGGCTGTTGGGTGCTTCTGTGCGGCATGCGCATGTCGTTTTGGAACTTTGGGCGGCGACAGGAAGGTGTACATGGAACCAGCTAAGGGGTAATCTTAAAAACGCATGCAGTTACAAACTATAGGAATGTTAACCCCGACATACAAGGCATTAGCGTAACGCTAACGACAGGCTCGTGACCATTCGCCACTGAGACAGCTTCTGCCTAGGACCTCGGAAGTTGCTGTTTTCATGCAGAAAAACAAGCTAGCTGTCGGGGGGCGAAACAGCCTCACAAGCCAATACCATCAATCGGGCCACCGACTAAAAAGCCCGAAGCCTGTTGCCGGCATGATGCTCGATCTGCGTGCCAGACAGCCACAGCTCTGCCTGACATGGACAGACTTTGTACTTGCAATGGCACCTAGCTGAAGAAACCTTGCTGCAAGAATCAGGGCAATCCTAACACCCTATAAAACCCAAATAGAACCTCAACCCGAGACCCGAAACCCTAAGCCCTAAACCCCAAAATCTCTAAACCTAAACCCCAAGCCCTAAACCCTAAACCCTAAACCCCAAACCCTAAACCCTTCTACTTTCCTGTAAGAGGGCCTGCCGAAGTCGCCCGGCTCGCGCCCAAGCACACACCAGCTGGCCACAGAGTCTGGGATCCCTGGCAGGAACCGGGCAAAGCTCGCACTGCCGTGATCCAGACTGTAGGGTTTAGGGTTTAGGGTTTGGGGCTCGGGGTGAGGGTTTGGGGTTTCGAGTTTAGGCTTTGGGGTTTGGGGTTTAGGCTTTAGGGTTTGGGGTTTAGGGTTTAGGGTTTGGGGTTTGGGGTTTAGGGTTGAGGGGTTTAGGGCTTAGGGTTTAGGGTTGAGGGGTTTAGGGCTTAGGTTTCTTTTCTCACTCCCGCAGAGCTGGCCGAACCGCAAAGCAGGTCTTTGGATTTCGAGGCGACTTTTTGAGCTACTTTACTCTCACACCCAGGCTGCGAAGGCGAGGCTTCGACCCTAAACCCTAAACCCTAAACCCTAAACCCTAAACCCTAAACCCTAAACCCTAAACCCTAAACCCTAAACCCTAAACCCTAAACCCTAAACCCTGAACCCTAACCCCAAAACTCAAGCTCCGAGGCTTGCCCCGTCCTTTGGCTGGCCTTCTAAAGGCAAAAAAAATGCCGCGGGGGCGTGAGGTCATTGTGAACCCATCAGCCAGGCACTGACAAGAATGCAAGATATCCCTCCTGTTTGCTTAAGAACCCCAAAAGAATGAAACATTGAAATCCCTATATATTATGAACCTTAATAAGGAAGAGTTTTTTCTGGGTTCTTAAGCAACTAGTAGACAAGACCGCAAGGTATCCATTCCGGATACTGGACCGTGTAGATGTTGCAGCCTACGCCTAAAGCCCTAAACTCTAAAGACTAAACCCTCAACCCCAAAACCCTACATTCCCAACCTTAAAACCTCACAGCACCTCGTGGCGTCGGCGTGGCTTGGCCGCGACCGGAGGCTTTTTTCCAGCGCCGAGGCCCAATCGAAATCCCCCGCGCGGATGTAGTCCTGCGGATTGGGGGCTTGGTTGTTTGTTTGTTTATTTTGTTTGTTTGTTTGTTTGTTTGTTTGTTTGTTTGTTTGTTTGTAGTTCAGCTCTGTTGTGACATGGTCACGCGATTGCTGGGCTATTCTTATTGTAGCACAGACTACGCAGGGCGTCAAAGTCAAAATATATGTTCGTTTTTGTATTTGTTTTTGTTTGTTTGTTTGTTTGTATGTGTTTTTTTGTGTTTGTTTGTTTGCTTGCTTTTGTTTGTGTGTGTGTGTGTCTTTGCTTACTTGCTTGCTTGCTTGTGTGCGTGTGTGTGTGTGCGTTTGTTTGTCTGTGACTATTTGTATGTTTTTGTTTGTGCCTGTTTGTGTGTGTGTTCAAACTTGAAACAATGATCATGCTTAGGTTTTCAGCAGCATAAGGCGCTTGTTTTGTCGAAGGCTATGACGGAGGTCCGGCAGGATTTAAAGCTATCAACCCTAAACCCTAAACAACCAGAAAAAACCCAAAAGCTTTGGTTGGGTAGCCGCAAAGGGTTGCGGGTCACTTTTTCTGGGTCCTGAGCGAAAGAAACGGTTAGGGTTTCGGGCTTCTTTTTATGACGCCCGCCCAGCGTAATGTTTCTTTAGGTTTTCGTTTGCCACCTCTACGAGGCATGCATTGCAGAACATATGTGTAGTGTCCTAATTAGGTCCGTTTTTGGGTACCCATGATAAGGCGTCACCAAAAAAGGGATCCAAAAAACGCACCCTAGTTGGGAAGAACTACCCATGTATACCCAAACCCACACAAGGCTGATGCAGTCCCGGATGATGTCGACCATCAGCCGCGCATCTTCGGGAGCAAACTGACAGACCTCCCAATCTTGTTGCCGCATCCGGGGGGCTTCGGGGCCCGTAGGGTTCGTAGAGGGAACCCAAACCCCATGCATGAATTCTTAGGGTTCCTGATTGAGATCTCTGTGCAGCAAGTAGGGAATCAAAGGGAATGATAAGAATTCGTAAACTTTGGGGAACCCCGGGCAGGTTTGCCAGATTCCAGTAGAGCCGAGCATTTTGAACCCTACCTGCGCAGCTTGCTTCTTGACCGACTCTTCACCCCCTCTGACCGTAACCGACCTGAAACTTTCCGAACATAGGGGACCCAAATATAGACCCCCCAAATAGTTGGATTCCTTTATAACAAGGACCTCAATAGGGTACCCCTAAAACCTAAACCCTAAACCCCCGAAGTTCGGAAAACCCCAGGTGTCGTTTGCGCGCACCACAAGGTACCCCCTAGTTTCGGAAACCCCCACCGAAAACCCCAAACCCCAAACCGCAAACCCCAAACCCTAAACCCTAAACCCACCTGGCGAACTGATTTAATTCAGCTTCTCGCGGGGCCTCCTCCATGGCCTCCTCGGCGGCGACCTCCATCTGCTCAGACCCCTCCGTTTTGGCAGCCTGGCCGAGCTGTGGTAGGGTTTAGGGTTTAGGGTTTCGGGTTTAGGGTTTAGGGTCCCAAAGAGCCCTCTATACCCCCGTCAATGAGGAATTATACCTTAAACTATATGGGATCCTTAAAAAGATTTAAGGAGCCCAATACCCGTTCAATGAGGAATATACCTTAAACTCTGTGTGGCTGTTGCACCCTCTAGGTGGCTTCTTGTCAAGGCTTGCGTCAGGCTTCGCCTGCAAGGGGTTTAGGGTTTAGGGTTTAGGGTTTAGGGTTTAGGGTTTAGGGATCCAAGCACTCTTTAGGCCATGCCAGGGTGCAAGCAACAGCCTCCTTAAACCCTACAGAAAAACCCCCAAGGTTGGCACCTCCTTATCCCCCCATTACCCCGAAAGCTAAAGGGAATCCATCATCCTAAAACCATGTTCCAACTTTCTGGAGCTTACTGCAAGCTCCAAACCTAAACCCTAAACCCTAATCCCCTCCAAGCATCCGCAGTTCGGCCTGGGCCCCGACAGTAGTGTACAAAGGCTGCCGCCGCCCTCGGTCACATCTCCGACGCGGCCACGCGTGCGAGAGAAACCTGCAACACGTTTAGGGTTTAGGGTTTAGGGTTTAGGGTTTAGGTGTGCCAGGGGGTAGGAGCCGGGCGCTGTGGAAGCCCCAGGGGCGGGACTCGACCACACAGGTCCAAACCGTTCCCTTTGTTTTAGGTTTAGGGTTTAGGGTTTAGGGTTTAGGGTTTAGGGTTTAGGGTTTAGGGTTTAGGGTTTAGGGTTTAGGGTTTAGGGTTTAGGGTTTAGGGCTTCAACTCCTCCTCTTTTCGTTTTTTGAACCCACGCTCGGACAGGCTTGCTGGGACTCCGGGGCTTGCTGCTTCAACTCCTCCTAAACCCTAAACCCTAAACCCTAAGCCCTAAACCCTGAACCCTAAACCCTACACCCTAACCTACACCCTGAACCCCAAACTCCCTAACCCCCTCCCGGAAACCCACGGTACCTACCTTTTAGGACGAAGGCAGGTTCTACGGGGGGCCCAGGTAAACCCAAAGCCCCATGACATCCCCAAGAGAGAGACGGCGTTGGGTCGAGGGGCCACGCCGCCGCGCCAACTTTGGACGCCGGCTCTCGCCGAACCTGTTCGGGGCTTGGAGCAAGAGGTTCTTTTTTTTGGGTTTAGGGTTTAGGGTTCAGGGTTTAAGGGGCGGTTGAGGCTGCTCAGGGCTTAGGTGGTTTATAGGGCTTTGGTGAAGGTGTTGCGAGCGGTCGACTTGGGCTCTTGTCCGGCGGCAAATCGGTGCTTTAGCTGTAGGGTGTTGGGACGATCGAGGCAAATGATACGAATAATTCATGGTCATGATGGTGATGATGAGTAAAGTGCTATCGGTATGAAGAAACAATCTTGTGTATTACAGTGGCAAGTTACATTAAATTAACACATACTATGCTACTCAATCCACATACAGGTGCAACACAGCTCAGCTGGACCCATTGATAGACAGCGACGGCAATGCAGCAGCCCCAAGCGCACCACAAAAACAGTTACCCTAAACCCTAAACCCGAAACCCTAAACCCTAAACCTCAAGTCTTGTTTCAATTCTTGGCCTTCGCAACCGGCCGCCGAGCAACAAACGGCCTGGGATGGGAGATCGACCGAGTCGGACCCAAGCCCTTAAGCTTAGGGTTTAGGGTTTAGGGTTTAGGGCTTAGGGTTTAGGGTTTAGGGTTTAGGGTTTAGGGTTTAGGGTTTAGGGTTTAGGGTTTAGGGTTTAGGGTTTAGGGTTTAGGGTTTACACCAGCATCGGCACAAAAAAGTGCAGAACTAAGGGTTTCCTCTGCAAAAAAAAACCTGCTCTTTTCTGGTAAGTTGCCTACGAACAAGGGGCTTTAGACCCTAAACCCTAAACCCTAAACACCCCAAAACCCTAAACCCTACCAAACGGTTTCGGGCTCTTCGGGTGGAGAATTGGCGCGCTCGCTCCGCTCCGACTATGACCCGTATTATATTATATTGTATGAGGGTTTAGGCTTTAGGGTTTCATATTATATGGAGTTTAGGGTTATATACATATACTGCTATACTACTGCACTAGTGCGTTTGTTGT